GGAGGTACACGTCTGCACCGCAGCTGCGTGTGCGGGTCAGGGCTCCGGAGTTTCCAGCATGTTCGCCAGGGCCCTGGAGAGGAGGACGCAGAGGTTAGACAACTCAAGTGTCCAACGCTCCTCCCAGGGCGCTGAGAGATTGTTAACCTTCCCATTTTCCCGACGGGGAAGTGGGGCCCCAGGGTGGTCCACTCACTCAGCGGGACAGCATCTCTCTAAACAGGGCCCTTAAACTATCCCTTCCACGCACTTACTGGTACAGGGACGAGGAGAAGTAGTCGACGTAGCTTCCTGTGGGAGAGAAGAGAGAAAAGACTTCAGGGGGCCTCAGTGTTCATTGCGTCCGGGATCAAAGCTAACTCTGACCTCTCTTCCGAATTTCTTCCCCAAACCGAATTCCTTCCACTGGGACTCCTTTGAAGGTCTCGCTCATTCTTCCTTGCTCTGGGTGACCCCATTCTCCCGTAGACCCGGTCCTTCAAATTCTTCTTGCTCTGGCCCCGCCCACCTAGTTCTAGCCCCGCCCCTCAGCCCCGCATCCATTCTCGGCTCAGAGTCTTCAGCATCTATGCCCAAGCACTTCTTTGCCCAGGCCCCGCCCCTCCGCGCTCGCCCCGCCCCACCCACAGACTCAGCCGGAGCCAGTTTCCACACCTGGCCTCGCCCCACAACCTTCCAGCCCCACCCCTCGAGTTTGGCTCCGCCCCCACCAGATAGCACCTCTCTGGGCTCCGCCCCTTCCTCAGGTTTCCCCTGAGCCCGCCCACCACGCTCACCGGGAGTGCAGACAGTTTCGCAGACCAGAGGGCAGAGGTAGCAGAACTGGCAGTGCTGAGGATGAGGATGGGGAGAGTGAGTGAGTGGCCGGGCGTGGTCAAGGGCACAGTCAGGATGGGGGTGCGGGCAGGAGGCTGGCTAGGTGGAAGTTAAGGTCAGAGGCAGGATGGAGCGTGAGATCCAGGCCGGATCAGGGTAAGAGATTTGGTCAGAGGCCAGGATTTGAGGCTGGGGGTGCGCATCTGGTCCAGGGCTGTCGTGAGGCCGGGTGGAGCCCTGAGTCTGGGGCGTGTCTCACCTGGCACTGGTCGCAGTGCTCTCCCATGTTCTCCTCGTCACAGTGACAGTTCTCGCATTCAGTGCATCGCTGCGGACCGGAGCCCTCTGGTTAGAGGGAAATCCTAACCCCTTTGGGAGCCGGCCCCCCTCACCCTCATTACTGCCAACACCGAGCTCAGCACCTTCCCCGAAACCCACTTCTTCCTGCTGGATTTCCTGTGGCCAGGGGACTCCACATTCCCCCGTCACTGTGGGCAGGGCCTGAGGATGCTGTCTTCACCCTCTTCTCTATTTCACCAGGGCTCACCCGTCTCCAGTCCCAGGGTCACCCCCTCCCCAGACTCTTGGTCAAGGGCTTTCCCCTCTCCCCACCTCCCCAGGGGCAGCTCAGGCCTCGGCCTCCCCCTCCCCTTCCTGAAACGTTGCCTTAGCGTCCTCCATTGCCTTCTGGCCTCCAGTCTGTCCCCCACGTGGCCCAGAAGTGTCTCTCTTTGCCTGGAACTGTCCCTGCCCTTCCTCTGCTCAAAGCCCTTGTCCCTTGGACAAGTGCCTTTGTCCAAGGCACCCCAGGGCCCTGGGACAAATTCCAGGGACCACTTGGTGGATGACCCTGGTCTGGGGACATACATTGCAGAAGGAGCAGTAGCCACACAGGGACCCTGGTTGGTAGTTCCCGTACTCTTGGGCATCCTGCGGACCTGTGGGGACAGGAGGATGACAGTGAGCCGGCCCCCCTCGGCTCCTCCCCACGCCCACCAGGCCAGAGCACTTACTGGTGTCTTCACCACTTTCCTCCTCACTGGAGCCACCTCCAGCCACCTCCCTCCTGGCCAGGGGGTTGGGGATGATGGTGAAGGGGATCTGGTCTTCATCCAGCCCCTCCTCCTCCTCATCTTCCTCCTCCTGGTGGGCTTGGCTCAGCGGGGCCTGAACCTCAGCCCTCTCTTCTCTCCTCTCATCCTCTTCTTCCTCATCCTCCTGGCTCAGGCTGAGGCCATGACCTTCCTCCTCATCTTCCTCATCCTCCCGGTCCAGGCGACCACGGTGGGTGCCTTCTTCATTCTGCTCTGAACCTCCATCCTCTTCCTCGTGGGAGCCATGGTCTTCTTCCTTCTCTTCTTCCTGAGATTCTCTTTCCCTAAAATGGCTTCTATCCTTGACCCCTGTGGATTCTGGGAGCTGGTGGCTCATCTCTTCGCTGGACACTCTCTGGCCATTGCCTTCATCCGGGTGGCCTTGTGGTCTATGGCTGGGAGCTTGGTGGCCAAGCTTGGCAGAGCTGTCCTCATCTTCCTCCTTGGGGACTTCATGGCGGTGGTGGACAGAGACTTCGGTTTTATACTCGTCAGGGAAGTCCTCCTCCTCAGCGCTCTTGTGGCTTTCTGGCTGGTGGCTTGCAACATGGTGGCCGAACTTGACCATGATCCCCTCCTCCTCATCTTTAAGGCTGTGGTGAGTATGTCTGGGAACCTGGTGCCAATGTTCCGTGGACATGGCCTCATCCTCTTCCTCAGCTTCCTGGTCTTCAGGGCCTTGGTGTCTGGGCTCGTGATGGTGGTGTTCATCGGAGATGTCATCCTCTTCCTTCCTGTGGGCTCCGTCCCTGGGGGCCAGGTGTCCATACTCAGTAGAGACATTATCATCATCATCATCTTCTTCTTCTTCTTTGTGTCCATGGCCAGGGACAGAATAGTGATCTTCATCTGAGACATCTTCATCCTCTTCCTTGCCATGGTCTCGGCGCCCGTAGGCCTGATGTCTGTACTCAGTGGAGACATTATCATCATCACCATCATCATCACCATCATCTTCTTCCTCATGGCTTCGGTGCCGGTGGACAGGGATGTGATGTTGATGCTCATCTTCTTCCTTCTTGTGGCCATGGTGTGCGTCGACCTGCTGCCTGTACTCAAAAGAGACTCCATCATCATCATCATCATCATCATCTTCTTCTTCTTCTCTGTGGCCTCGTTGCCTGTGGGCCTGATGTCCGTACTCAGTAGAAGCATCTTCCTCATCTTCTTCATCATCTTCTTCTCCATGGCCCCGGTGCGCATACCTGAGGATACGCTGTGGATACTCACTGGACACAACCTCGTCCTCATCCTCGTCTGAATGGCCAAGGCTCCCGTGGCTGGGGAGGCGGTGCCCACCCTCTACCGAGTCATCTGCATCTTCATTCCCGTGGCCTCGGTGTCCGTGCGCCGGCTGAGCGTGCCCCGGGAAGACCTCCTCCTCGGAGACGTTCTCCTCTCCAGCCTCATGGCTCTGGAACCTGTGGCCTTGGAGTTGGTGACTGTATTCCCTGGAGATATCTTCGTCCTCTTCCCCGTGGTGTCCGTGGCTCCACAGTCGGTGCCCGCTCTCTGTGAACACAGCGTCGTTCTCGTCTCTGTAGCTTCTGTGGCTGTGGGTGGGGTGCCCCAATTCACCCGACCCGTCCTCCAAGGGCCTCGAGACTCCCGCATTGTTGTTCCAGTTGCCGGGCCCCGGCCCAGCCCCTCTCAGCTGCTGGGTCACAGCCGGGGGGAGGAGCAGGCTGACCACGGCAGCCCAGAGGAGAGAGGTGTGCAGCCATGGCCCACGGTGGCCCATGGGGACGGACAGGCAGCAGGCCCCCTCCAGGCTGGTTCTGGCCTCCACTTGTGGCTCTGCAGATGAATGTTGGGGGTCCTTGTCTCTTTTGGGGTCTCTTTCTCTCTGTGTCTTTCCTTGGCTGGGTCTCTCTCTCTCTGTTTGCCTGTCCGCCTTCCTCTGGCCCTTGCTGCTGGCTCTGGACACCCCTGTGAGGCAGGCTCAGGAGCCCCCGACCCCCCTCTTGGGCCCTCCCTCCCACTGCCCAGCCAATAGGGTCTCTCCCCTCCTCTCCCTGTGGCTAAATTTACTCTCAGCCCTGAGTTATTCTGGGTCAGTGCCGCTTGCCCTTCCCCTCCTGCTCCTCCTCCTCCCAGCTGGTAAGGGGTGGGTGAAAGGGTCTCTCCTTTGCTAGTCAAGGAGAGACCCTTGACTAGGTGCCAAGGGACTTGGCAAGGGACTCTCTCCTGGGTGCCAAGGGACTTGACTTGGGACTACCAACAAGTTCATGTCTGGCAGCTGCAATGACAACAGCCAGACTTGTCATGGACCAAGTGGGGAGAGTCAGGAGAGATGAACCTGAGGGGTACGACTGCTGCCTCGGAAGGATCCAGGGTTAGACTCTGGGGGGTGAGGGTGGGGTTCTGGCCCCTGAAGACGATACTTTGCTGCGAGAGTGGATGCCACACTGGAGGCCTGGGAGAGGAGCAGTAGCAAGCCTGCCCCCAGCACACGCACCCGTGACCTCTGGTACCTGGAACTCAGATCTGGGGGCAGGGGCCAGGGCCCGGCCAGGGCTATAAATACAACTCGGGGCTCAGGTTACCCAGGAGGCTGCAGCTGTCCCTGTCAGAGAAAGCCGGCAAGAGACATGTGGCCCTGCCTGTCTGTGTGTCAATATCTCCCACTTCGTCCTGTCACTCCAGCTCTTTGGGTCCCAGCCCTGTGGATGGGTCTCCCTCTCCCTCTCACGGCTTCTGTCACTCACCCCCCCAGGTTCCCTGTCCTCTCCCCCCTCAGGATTCTGCCTCTTCTCACTCTTTGGCTTGTCTTTCCCCCCTCACTCTGAGTGTCTGCCCCCCACCCCAAGTCTTCGTCTCCCGCTCTGGGTCAATTTTCCCCTTCCCTTTCTCCGGCATTTCCTCTCTGGGTCTCTGTCCCCCACCTCTGGTCTATGAGTTTCTGTCGCTCTCTCTGGATCTCTTTCCCACTTTCTCTGGGTCTCCGTCCCCTCTGGGTCTCTTTCTGCCTCTCTCTGGGTCTGGGTCCCATCTCTCTTTGCGGACGCCGACCGCTGACCACCAGTCCCGGCCCGCCCTCTGCCCCGCCCGGCGCTCTACGCGCCTCGGAGACGCCCCGCCTCCCCGACCTCGGCCCGCCTCCGGAGGGGATGGGAAGTGGCCGATCCAGTTTGTTCAGGGCGGATCTGAAATCGGGGCTGGCGGAGGGAATGTGGGGAGCCGGATAGGTTGTGGCGGCTGTGGCAGTATGGTGGGCCCCAAGGAACAGGTACGGTGGCCGGATCCTCGGGTCTGAGGGACCCGGGAGCTGGGCGCTTGGTCTCCCAGCTCTCGGAGAGGAGGGTGCTGGAGGCCCGGATTCGGGGGGGTGGGGGGGTGGCGCAGACGAAGAAGGGGTTTGAAACGGTCCGGGCTCCTGGGTCTTTGGGCCTGGCCGGGAGGGGGGCTGTGGGACGGGGGCCGAGACTCCTCAGTCCAGGGGAGGGGGGCGCCGGGGTCCCCGAATCCTGGTCCTGCGGTAAGGCGCGGGGCGAGGGCCTCCGCATCCCATCCCCACCCCTCGTTCCTATCCGCAGAGTTGGATCCCCAAGATCTTTAAGAAGAAGACGTGCACGACATTCATCGCTGACACCGGAGATACAGGGTGAGGAGTGCGCGCTGGGGACCTGCCGGCCCGGGCCCGCCCGGGGCACCGGCGGCCGTCGCGGACCGCTGACCGACCCCGCCCACCGCAGATCCCACCCTTCGCCCCGCCCCCATCTCTGACCCTGGGGATGCGTCCAAGGGCGTTCCCTGAATTGCTCGGCCCCTGGGGGAGGGTTTGGGTCTCTGCAGACACTTCCACTATCCCAAGCTCCCGCTCATCGCCCGCGTTAAAGCGCCAGGACTCGCTTCCGTCTCCTTCCTTCTCCACGTCTCTGTCTCCGTCCATCACTTTCCGTTTTTCCTTGTTGGCTGTCTCTGTTTTATCCACCCATCCATCCATTCATCTGTCCGTCCCAGAAACCGTCACTCAGCGCTCCCACGACAGCATACTTTTCAGGAGCACAGGCCCTGTCGGGCTTTAAATTTTACCCGGGGACACGTGCTGTGTGTCTTTGTGCAAAATCATTGCCCCTCCCTGGGCCTCCTCTGTCTTCTGGGCAGAAAAGCAGAGCCTACCTGCTGGGGTGATCGTGAGAAATGAACGCTTGTGCGGTGGCTGGAACAGTGCCCGGCGCTTGGTAAGCGCTGAGAAATGTCCGCAACTCCCTTGGGAAGGCAGCAAGCCCTGCCCGTGCAGGTCCCGAACTCGTGCTGGGCGGCGGGACACCACGTGAGCCTGACGGGCTGTGTGGACCGGTGAGCGGCTCCCAGCTTTCAGCGATGGGCGCTCAAGTGGGTTCTGGCTTCTAGTGATTCTCAAGACGATCTTCGGGGCGTGGAAGATGTCAACAGTCCTAATTTCGTGTGTGTTTTGTCGTGAACATATTATACGAATGTAGTCTGGCTTGCAGTTATGTACAAATGAACAGATACAAGTTTACGGGGGCAAGTGCTCCAGGCTTACTGGCGGACACAAGCGCCTGGTCAAAAAGTTTAGGAACCTTGGGTCTGGCGGGAGGAGATCGGAGCCGCAAAGGTCGCGCCACTGGGCCACGTGGGAGCCCAGAGGAGGCGTCTGGCCGAGGCTGGGCAGGGGACAGGGTGTCGGTAATGTCTTCTGGAGGAGGGGCCGTGAGATGACATTGGAGGGATGAATGGAGTTTGACAGCTGAAGGCGGGCTGGGGACAGGAACTCAGAAGGTGATTCTGGAGGTGGGAACAGCATGTGCAAATTGTCCTCACTGACTTTGCATGGTGGCCTGAAGATGGCACGGAGGACAGGGTGCAAGAGCATTTTTAGGGGAGTGGAGGCCCAAGAGGTTGGCTGGGCCAGAACTCCCGGGGCCTCAAATGCCACCTGAGGGACTGGGACCTTGTCCTAGGCTGCTGGGGACCCGCAGGAGGGGCAGGCTCCGCTATGGATGTGGAAAGACACTCCGGGGGCCGTGGGAGAGTGCGTAGGAGTTCGGGAAGCCAGGGAGGAGGTCGGTTTGTTGATGGGAGAGACCTGGTTCTTCTTGCTGACACATGTAAAGAATTACAGATCAGCCCTGGCTGGTGCAGCTCAGTGGATTGAGCCCGCGCCTGTGAACCAAAGGATCACAGTTCGATTCCCAGTCAGGGCACATGCCTGGGTTGCAGGCCAGTTCCCAGCAGGGGATGCACGAGAGGCAACCATACATTGATATTTCTTTCCCTCTCCTCTAAAGATAAATAAATAAAATCTTAAAAAAAAAAAGAATTATAGACCAGCAAATCTAGTAGCATGTAATCAGTTTATTAGTGACCCACTCCTATGGAAGGACTGGGTAGAATAGAGAGTGAAAGGCAAAGATTCAGGGCAAAGCAGGGAGACAGAAGCATAAGCGGCTGAAGACCAGGGTGGCAAGCGTCTGGGCAGCCTGAGGCCGGGTGGCCAGAGGCCCTGTGTCCCGAGAGCCAAGAGCACCCCGACCCCCTAAGAGAGAGCAAGACCTTAGTTCTGAGGACTTACATAGTTGGTGGGATAGGAGGGAAAAAGTTACATATTGATTAACGGGGACATGCGGTGCCAGCTTTTCTGGGGGAATGTGACTGCCCAAACTCAGGTATGTGTGGGGGTCTGTTAGCCCGAATCCTTATCTTGCTCCAGACTCCATTTGTTCATCTTGCCGTAAAACAAATCGTGACAAGAGGCAGTTAATTAAAATTGGGGCACTTTCCAAAGTTATTTACGGGCTTTTTCTGCAAGCATCAGGGCCTCCCTCGGAAAACAGATAGTGACCAGAGGTAGATAACTAACCAGAGTTGCTTTATGGGCTTTTTCTTTGGACACCGGGGACCCTCTCCCACATTCAGGCCTTGGGATGAAAGCCCAGTGTCAAAGCTTTCTTTCCCAGATAGTGGAAATGCTACATAGAATTTCAAGAACTTCCCTCCTTTCTTGCTAACATAGTGTCTCTTGTGATGTTGGAACACCTGCCCATGTTATCGGACCAGGCTCAGGACTGCTGAGTTAGCTGGTGAGACCTGTCTCCTTCCTCCTCCTGCCTTGGTTTATTATTTAATCTACCTAATTGATAAAAGGCGTTTCCTGGCAACCAGGGTGCTAAATGCTGGCCCGTAACAGTATTGCAGTCTCAGAGTCCTTCCAGTGCTGTCTCCTGCTTCAGGTCAAGGGTCCGGGTGGGAGGGGAAGAGGCCCGAGCCAGGCCAGGGTTGTAGGACCCGTACAGGAGCCGATGAGATGGATTTGGGGAGTAAGGACAGCGGCTCCTGGACATTTGACCTGGGGACTGGGAGACAGTGGGCTGGTTGCCACCATGAGGGACCCAGGAGGATGGGCAGGTTCGGAAAAATTTTCGGAGCTCAGTGCGAGATCTCAGTGCGCAAATGGAGGGGCCCAGGGAGACCCCGGGGCATTGCAGACCTGAGCCTGGGAGCCAGAGCAAGGCCCAGGACTGGGCCTAGGTGTCGGTCGTCATGGAAACCGGAAGTAGGAGAGATGGTAAGGGGGGAACATGTAAAGTCAGGGAGGCTGCAAACTCGAAATTAATTCTATGACTAATTTTTTTTTTTTATGGAAGCACAGCTTGAAAAAAAACCTGTCTCTGAATGACCCAAGATAAACCTATGTGCTTAAAGTCACCATGGCCTCTGGTACAGCCACTTACTTTTCACCTGATGCGTCTTCCCTTTAAATTGCCTGGCCCCTGGGGGGCGTCCAGTTGGAGACCCGTGCAGGGAAGCCCTGTGGTCCTGGAGCTGGGGATGCCTATACTCAAGCGAGGCACTGAGAAGAGAAAGCCACAGAGCAGGGAGGGACAGATGTGCTCTGCTAAGGAAAAGGTTCTTTAGCCCTGGCTGGTGGCTCAGTGGACTGAGTGCCGGCCTGTGAACTGAAGTACCGAGGGTTCTATTCCCAGTCACAGCACATGTCTGAGTGGCAGGCCGGGTCCCCACTTTGCAGCCTGTGAAAGGCAGCTGATCGATGTATCTCTTGCACATTGATGTTTCTCCCCCTCCCTTTCTTTCTCCTTTCCCCTCTCTCTAAAAATAAATAAATAAATAAAATAAAAAGAAGTAGTGTAAACAATCTTTAAAAAAAAAGGGGGGGGTGTTTCTTTCAGCTCTGCCCACTGCCACTTTGTAATAGTCAGATGAGACCTGAATAGAGACCATTGTATTCCGGCCCTTGAAGGTAGTTGCTAATCTTATCGGGAACCATTTCAGTTTTGGCGGCCACACAGGGAGGAAGGAGGGGGGTGGGAGGTGAGAGGTGCACCGGGGAGTCGGCCAGCCCTGTCCACCAGAACTTTCTGCGAAGGCAGAAAACGTTCAGCATCTACATCCGGCAAAGCACCACTGGCCCCACGTGGCCCCTGACCAGAGCGGCCGACGAGCTTAATTTTTAACTGTACTTAATTTTAATTTATTTGACTATAGAGAGCCCTATTTGGCTAGGGGTTACTCTACCTGACAGCTCTGGTTTTGGAACGTTCCAGGAATCAGATTTGCAGGGAAAGGCTAGCAGGATGAGGGTGGAAGGGAATGAGGGACCCCAGAAATGGTGTTGAGATGGGTGAAAGGATCAAATGGGGAAACTGAGGCAGGCCAGGAGCCTGGAGGTAGACTCAGACGGGAGGAAGGGCGCGTCCTGCCCTGTATTCTCTCTGTGGCGGGAACTGGGCTGAAGGTACTCTGTTCATCCTGTGTGTGGGGCGGGGGCCATTTTTTTAAAAAAATATTTTATTTATTTTTAGAGAGGGGGGAAGAGAGGGAGAAAAGAAGGGAGAGAAACATCAATTGGCTGCCTCTCGCGCACCCCAACTGGAAACCAACTGCAAGGCAGGCGTGTGTCCCGACGACCGAAGGAGTGACCTTTTACTGGGCGGGATGATGCCCAACCCATCGAGCCACACCAGCCAGGGCGGCCATTCTTTTGTTGACCAAAGTTTTGTCTTCACAGCTCTTACTGAATCCACGTACCACCGTGCCGTCCTTTCCATAAAATGGGTCCTTAAGCCCTGGCTGGCGTGGCCCGGTGGACTGAGTGCCGGCCTGCGAACCACAGGGTCACCAGTTTGATTCCCAGTCAGGGCACATGCCTGGGTTGTGGGCCGGGTCCCCCGTTGGGGACATGCGAGAGGCAGTCAATCAATGTTTCTCTGTCCCTGTCTTTCTCCCTTCTTCTCTCTCTAAAAATAAATAAAATCTTTAAAAAAAGATTTTATTTATTTATCTTCAGAGGGGAAGGAGAGAGGGAGAGAAACATCAATGTATGGTTGCCTCTCATGCGTCCCCTGCTGGGAACTGGCCTGCAACCCAGGCATGTGCCCTGACTGGGAATCGAACTGCGATCTTTTGGTTCGCAGGCCCCTGCTCAATCCACTGAGCTACACCAGCCGGGGCTAAATAAAATCTTTTTAAAAAATTGGTCCTTAAGTCCCAGCTCACTCTGTGTATGAAGGCAGGCCTGTCCTCCATCGGAGTCTCTTCTGGATTCCGGACAGAAGAGACTAGGAGACATTTGCAACTAAATCCCTCACTCCCCACACCCGTGTTCCATGCTCTTTACAACTCTGGGGTTGATCACATACAAGGGCTTCCCGTTCGTTTATTTAGGGAAGAAAGTGTCGTGTATGGTCCACTCACCACAAAGAGAAAGAAGCAAGCCTTAAAAGACAATTACAATAAAAAGCAAAGAAAGGTTTTTCCCTTCTCTCTGGATGTAGCTGTTGCCAGCCCAGGTTTCCGCGTCTGAAGCCGGCTTTTCTGCGCTAAAACGGAAGCAGCAAAGGCTTGCACATTCAGGCGAGAATGCACCAGCTGAACTTCTCCCGTTGACTGTAATCAGGCCTGAGAAAGGAACGATTATCTCACTGTGTTTGTTATTCAAGGTCATTTAAGCTCGGCGTGGAGTTCAAGTGGGGTGTGGTATGCAGCCCTTGTTCCTGGGAATGTTGCATTAGGTCATTGGTCCTCTTAGTCCCACGGAGATGATTGTCTTTGCATTGGAGGAGGACATTTAGCTCAGAGAGGCGAAGCCACTTGTCCGAAGTCACACAGCTAGCTGCCTTAGCCTCCAACCTGTGCGTGCTCTCAGAATCTCTCTCTGGATTTTTCTTTTGTGGTTAATATACTCTGTGTGGATTGAGGGCAGCGGGGACCCCACAGGCCCAGTGAGGGTGGGGCTCTGCGGACCCCCCTGCCCTGACCTCGGCTTCCACTCTGGACCAGAGTGGGCTGTGTCTCCTCCCGCCCCAGTGTCTCCCTCAGGTCCGTTGCAGCCAGGAAGGGGCGGGGCCAGGGTCAGCAGGCAAAAATACCGACACTTCTCCAGGATGCTTGGGGCTGTGGGGACGCCCCTGGGGTTCATGCTGCCCTGTATCCCTCCCTTTAGAGGGACCCTGTGCCAGTGTGGGTGTCCCCGGAGTGCCCACCCATCAGTGGCTGTGGAGGATGCCTTCGGGGCAGCCATGGTGACCAGTTGGAACAGTGACTTGCATACCACGGAGAAGCCCACCGATGCCTACGGGGAGCTGGACTTCCTGGGTGCCGGCCTCAAGGCCAGCCAAGTGAGGCTTGCATGCCCGGGCAGGGCCAGGGTCGCGAGCTGGGCTGCATGCCACAGGGGCTCCGAGCTGGGGTCCGGGGGCTCCCCGCCTGAACACTGTGTCTCCTGTTTGTCCGTCCCTTTCCTCACCCCTCTCTGGGTCTCTGTCCCCCTCCCCCCCTCTGGATCTGTGTCTCCTTCTCTCTGAGCCTCTGTCGCCCTCTCTCTGTCCCCTTCCCCAACTCTGGGTCTCTGTCTGCCCCCCCCCCTTTGGTTTTCTGTCTCTACCCCTGGTCTCCGTCACCCTCTTTGTGTCTCTGTTCCTTTCTCCCCGGGTCTCTCTCTGTCCCCTTCCTGCTGTCTGTGCCCACCCCGTGTCCTCCCCTCCCCTGTGTCCACAGTTCCTCCGGCTGTCTGACCGCACGGACCCAGCCACAGTTTATAGTCTGGTCACGCGCACATGGGGCTTCCAGGCCCCGAACCTGGTGGTGTCCGTGTTGGGGGGGTCGGGGGGCCCCGTCCTCCAGACCTGGCTGCAGGACCTTCTGCGAAGAGGGCTTGTGCGGGCCGCGCAGAGCACAGGTGACTGAGGGCGGCGGGGGGCGGGGCCTCCTGGGCGGGGCTGGCTGCTCGCCTCCCGCCCCACCCGCTTCTCTGGGGGCTCTGGCCTGCATCTCCCGTGGATGGGTTTTAGTCTCTCTCTATTCTCTCTCTCTTTCTCCCCCGCCCCCTGCACGCTGGTGTGTTTCTGGACCTTGCCACCACTTCCTGTGTCTCCGTGCAGGGGCCTGGATTGTCACCGGGGGACTGCACGCAGGCATCGGCCGGCATGTTGGGGTAGCTGTGCGGGACCACCAGACAGCCAGCACGGGGGCCACCAAGGTGGTGGCCATGGGCGTGGCCCCATGGGGTGTGGTTCGCAATAGAGAGGCCCTCACCAACCCCAAGGTGGGACCCAGGGTCTTGGAAAAGGAGCAATCTGAGGGAGGAGGGGCTGGGGGCCCGGACTCCAGGCCCTGAGGGAAGGACTCCCTGGTCTGGTCCCTTGCCCCCCAGGGCTCTTTCCCTGCGAGTTACCGGTGGCGTGGCGACCCTGAGGACGGGGTCCAGTTTCCTCTCGATTACAACTACTCCGCCTTCCTCTTGGTGGATGATGGCACCCACGGCCGCCTGGGTGGGGAGAACCGCTTTCGCCTGGGCTTCGAGTCCTGCATCTCCCGGCAGAAGACGGGCGTGGGAGGTGAGTGGCTTCCTCCACCCGTGCGTGAGCCAGGGCCCCAGGCTCAGGATCCCAGTGATCCGTTGTGGTCGAAATTTGGCGTTTGGGGCCAGGAGGAGTTTCCTGTGGCCAAGGCCTTCCCCATCATTTGCTGTGTTGTAGAAAATCTTTATCTGAAATCTAAAAATACACAAAAGTGGACAGCTTGATGAATTTTTTGAACCAACTGAACCTGCTTATGCAACCAGCACCCAGATCAAGAAAATTAGCCCCTCCGGAAGCCTTCTCCTGCCGGCCCCCAGGGGTCGCCCTATCCTGCCCCAAACATCCCGGAGCTGTTCTGACTCGCTGGTGCTCCACTGCCAGCTGCATCCTGTAAAGTCCCGCTTCTTATATTCAACATTATTTCTGTGAGACTCATCTATACCATGGCCTGAGTGGTGGTTTGTGGATAACGCACAAGTGAAGAAGAAAAAGGAGAAAATATTTTGAACAAATATGTGATACACCAACACGTTTGAGATGCAGCTAATGCAATACTTGAGGGAAATTCATAGCTTTAAATGCATTTTATCCAAAAAGAGAAGAAAGACTGAAAATGAATGATTGAAACCTCCAGTTAAGGAAACCCTACAACCCTGGCTTGTGTGGCACAGTTGGTTGGAGCATCGTCCTGGAATTGAAAGGTCGCAGGTTTGATTCCCCATCAGAGCCCATACCTAGATTGTGGGTTCGATTTCTGGTCTGGGTGCTTACAGGAGGCAACCAATCCATGCTTTTCTCTCACACTGATGTTTTTTTTCTCTCCCTTCCTCTCTAACAGCAATGAAAAGATGTCCTTGGGTGAGGATTTAAAAAAAAAAAGAAGAAACAATGTAAAAACAAAACAACAAATCAAATCTAGGGAAAGTAGAAGCGAGAAAATAAAAAGACAAGGGCAGAAGTTGATGAAACAGAAACATGTCCAAGGAAGAAAGCGAACTAAAACAAAAGCTGCTTTGCACAATTCTGCTTTATTCTTCAACTTTACTTAGCGTTTGGGTGGCTTTAAACTTTTTTTTAATTGTCATACAGTCAAACTTAGTTTTTGCGGGATATGCAGTTCTATGATTATAGATTCACGTGGCCAGTACCATGGTCGGGATGTAGGTAGGACCGTCCCGTCACCTGGAAGGCATTTGCTCCTTCCGTACCCCAGCCCCTGGCAGCCGCTGACCTCTCCACCAGCCGTCTCGTTTTCTCGTTCTGGAAGGTCGTATAAATGGAATAACATGATATGTCACCTTTAGAGACTGGCTTTTCCCACAATGGAAGAGATTATGGCAGCTCAACTCTGTGCCCTTTCGAACAAACTAAGTCATGCAGAGGTCTATAAAGAAGCAATTAATGATCTTCCCTCCCTCCCTCTAATCCGCTCTACTGCAATAATCAGTCTTATACAATATGGACTTTGTCCTTGTATGCCTATCTCAATATTTGTAAAATTCCACGCAATTATATTTCCTCCCATATGGTGTTTCTTTTTCTATGCAATATATACATGCGTATCACGCTTTCTTATGGCCATCCCTTTAGGCCCCAAATGCTCACCCAGCCAGTTTAATATTCTGTTTAAGTTTTTGTCCTCTCTTGGCTCCTCGGCAGTTAAGTAACTACGCAATTCACTTACGCCTCCGACAAACTCCTGGCTCATTCAGGAGCCCAGGAGTCCGGGCCCCCAGTGCCCTCCTCCCCTGGGGAGCCCAGCGTTACCGGCTTCAAAATCTGGCCCCTCCCACATGTGTTCAGACAGCGCAGTTCCCAGGAGCCTCAGGGACTGGGGATTAGGCAGAAGCCGGCGTGGGCCCTGGGGACTTCCGGCAAATGTTCTCTACCGTCCCTGGCGAAGGCTGGTGGGAGGCGACTAAGCCCCTGGTTGTCTTCTCTCCTCAGGGACTGGAATTGACATCCCTGTCCTCCTCCTCCTCATCGATGGTGATGAGAAGATGTTGAAGGTATCATTGCTCAGACACTTGGGGTTGAGGGGTGGTGGGCCCTGCGTTTCGCGGGAGGACGGGCCTGGGGACCCGGACTTCAGGTGGGGTGAACACCTGCCTTCCCTGACCTCACTCCCCACTTTGTTGGGCAGCGGATAGAGGACGCCACCCAGGCTCAGCTCCCGTGTCTCCTGGTGGCGGGGTCTGGGGGAGCCGCGGACTGCCTGGCCGAGATCTTGGAAGACACTCAGGCACCGGGGAATGGAGCGGGCAGGCGAGGTGACGCCCAATATAGGATTAGGCGTTTCTTCCCCGATGGGGATCCCGAGGTCCTGCAGGCCCAGGTATGACAACATCGTGGACCTAACTCTGGGACCTGAGGTAGAAGAGGGCTAGGAACCCGGGCTCCTGGGTCTTGCTAAGGGCTTGGAGTCCTAGATCCAAGGGAAGAGGGGGATGGGCACCCAGATTTGTGGATCTGAGGGAGGAGAGGCCTGGGGCCTGGACTCCTGGGTTCTGGGAGTAGCAGGTGCCAGGCACCCAGATACCAGGTCCTGAAGGCCGCCTGTGTCTCTGTGGGCAGGGCCCAGGTGGAGTCGGGCTGAGGATGCTGCATTTGGTATTCTGCAGGTGGAGAGGATCATGACCCGGAAGGAGCTGCTGACCGTCTATTCATCTGACGATGGCCCTGAGGAATTTGAGACCGTCGTTTTGAGGGCTCTTGTCAAGGGTAAGACTGGGACCCCCAAATTCTCCCACTCACTGTGCCCAACTGCGGACAGTGTTCCCAGCCTGGGCACTTTATCCGTTCTCTCTGATCCAAAGCTGTGCCCCCTTTTGATCTCCTTCTCTGTGTCGTTCCCCTTTGCATGGTTTATTGAGGCTTCGCGTGGTTTCCCATGATACTTTCATTGTGTTCCAACATTGCTTTCTTTCTGTTGAATCCATTTATCCATCGATCCACCTATTCACCCACTCAGAACGAATGTCTGTACATTCGTTCATCTATCCATCCATGTACCCACTTATCCATCCATTTATCTACCCACTCATCCATCCGTCCATCTGTCCATCCACCCACTCATCCATGCATCCATCCATCTGTTCATCCATCTATCCATCCATCCGTCCATCTATGCACCCATTTATCCATCCATTCATCCATCCATACATACATACATTGATTTTTCCACCTACCCTTTCTTTCATTCATTCTCGATTCTTCCATCCATCCATCTTGCCATCCACCCATCCTTTTACCTATCCATCCCCACATCCATTGACAATTCCATGCACTCCCCATCCTTCTCTCCATCCATCCTTCCCTCCACCCACCCATCCATCCATCTATTCATCCACTCACCACTTCTTCCTCTCCTGCTTGCCTCCAGCATGTTTCAAGCACTGCAGGGTGGAGGAGTCAGAGGTGAGCTGGAGCACTGTCTCCCAGTGAGGACCTCCTGATATTCCACCAGGGGAATGAATGACCGAAGCCAAGGTCAGAGCACAGTGGCTGCCTGGTAGAGGATGGGGCTAGTTCATTCATTCCACAAACATCATCCCAGGCTCCAGAGCTTAGAGCAGGTCCTTATCCTGCACTCAAGGATCCTTACCAGGGTTGTTCAGACACAACCTAAAAGGAAATGTAAGACAAAAGTTGAGAGGAGGAAGCACAGCCAATAAGGGCGAAAACTGAAGGAGGAAGTGGTATGTAAATTGGACCTGGAACAACCAATAGAATTTGGACTTGGTAAGATGAGGAGGTGGGACCAATGAGTGGTCTTGGGGACTCCTAGGGCTCTGCGGGGTGTGGGCGTCAGACGAATTTTAGAGTAAACACGGGCTTGGATAAGAGCTCCCAGGAGGCACAGTATCAATTTATGACAGGTTCTCAACCCCAGGCCCTACCCCGGTTGTACCCACCCCGTTCTATGGTGGCAGAAAGAGCAGTTATTTCTGACTTTGGAGTCTGAGAAAGCCCAACTTGGATACCAGCGTGGCCCCTTTCCGGCCGCGTGGCCTTGAGAAAGAGACTCGCGCCTTTGAGTCTTAGTTTCTCCGAAAAATGGAGATAACACCTGCAGGAGTGCGGAGAGCAAGAGAGGCAGCTTCTGAGCAGGCGCTCCCTGGGGGCGGGGGTGAGGTGCAACATGGGAACTCTCTTAGACTGATTCTATTTCTTTCTTTCCTCTTCTTCCTTCCTTCCTTCCTCCCTCCCTCCCTCCCTCCCTCTCTCTTTCTTTCTTTCTTTAGTCTTTCTTTTTCTTTCTTTCGTTTAGTTTGCTTTTAGAAAGAAGGGAAGAGAGGGAGAAAGAGGGGGAAAGAAACAGCAATCTTCAGGAGATACATCTATTGGTTGCCTCTCACACACCCCAACTGGGGACCTGGCCTGCAACCCAGGCATGTGCCCCGACTGGAAATCGAGCCAGCGACCGCTTGATGCGCAGGCTGGCATTCAATCCGCTGACCCACACCAGCCAGGGCTGAGAGTGATTCTATTTCTTATGGGAACATATCGTCACTTGGGGGATGAGAGGGGGCAGGTCTGCCTCACTTTTATGGAAGTTGATGCTGAGCGTCTTGGGAGCAAAGCAGCGGCTCTTTTAGATGCGGTTTGGGGGCAGTGTTGTCTGTCAGTCCCTGGTACTCAGAGGTGGAAGTGATCCTGCTCTGCCCAGGAAATTGGAGCCGCCTGCCTGACTCCGTGGTAGCAGAATCGCACGGATGGGGTTTCCAGCAGGGGAGGGAGGAGGGGGGAGGGAACAAAGGCTCCTTCAGAGTCCCGCGCGAGCCAGACACTGCACTGCGCAGCTGCCATGCGTTTTTTGGCCCCTGAGCCTCCATCGCTGCCTGTGAGGATGGCTCCCCACTTTACAGATGAAGAAACTGAGACGCAGCAGGGGCGGCGGGGTGGTGACTTGCCCAAGGTCACAAAGATCTGCCCGACCCTCACGCGCACCGCATGGGCTGTATCTGGGGGAGAGGTCAGAGACCCATGCGGATGGCTTGAAGCAGGTGACGAGACAGCCAGTGATGTAGACAGGGCCAGACGACACAGGACCTCTGCTGAGACTTCGTCCTGAGGTGCATGGGAGGGACAGGGTCAGTTCTGTGTACAGAAGGATCCTCTGGGGTTGGGAGTGGGCAGACTAGAGAGGAGAGACCGAGGAACAAGAAGAGACCGCAGTGTTGGTGGGATAGGAGGGAGCCCGGACCATGGGGTCAGTATGGGGGTCCCAGACAGACTCAGGGGCCTAGAGAGGTAAGGCTTGAGGACTGATGTCAAAAGGAAGAGAGGGACCAAAACAGCACCTGGGGTTCCACCTTGAAGACTGGGGGGAGGGAGGGGACAGGGGGAGGGGGACATAGCTGCTGTCCCTGAGAGGGAGGACCCAGGGGAAGATGGGTTTTGGGGAACCCCCCCCCCAGCTCAGTGTGGGAAATGGTGAGCATGAAGGACCTCCGCCATGTGTGAAGGCAGAATATAATGCAAGCTATTTAAATATTTTTTCTTTTAAAAAATATCTTATTTATCTTTAGAGGGGAAGGGAAAGAGAGAGAGAAATATCCACGTATGGTTGCCTCTCATGCGCCCCCTGCTGGGTACTGGCCCGCAACCCAGGCATGTGCCCTGACTGGGAATCGAACTGTGATCCTTTCGTTCGCAGGCCCGGGCTCAATCCACTGAGCTACACCAGCCAAGGCTTTTTGCCTTTTCTCGAATCCGTGAGGAAAGTAGGGGAGATCCAGACGCAGAATATTCCACCCTGAAGGTGCCTCAGTTTTGGGCAGAAACCTGAAGTTGTGTGGTCTCGGACCTGTGACTCCCTCTCCCGGGGCCTGTGTTTTCTCAGTTCTCAGCCTTCGGGGTTACGCTGGTCAAGCTATAGAGTCTCCCTGTTCGGGACTTCTTACTACAATTCGTATTGATGGCAATTCATATTGATGGCGATGCTCCGAAGTGGGTTTCCCATTTAGCATTCCCACTTTACAGACGAGGAAACTGAGGTCCAAGGCTCGCCTGAAGCCCTTCGGTTGGATTTGGGGGGGCTGGGATGGGACCGGCCTCGGAGCACATTGCTCACGTCCTCTCCTCTAGACGCCCTAGCCCTGCCTTGCCGATGGCTGGAAGGGCCGAAATGAGGCAAAGGTCCTTCCTCTGCCTTGTAGATAGATGGGGAGCTAGTGGAGGCGGAAGGAAAAAATAACGCCATAGCCGAACACCCCAAGACGCAGCAGCTTGCAGACCTGCCTTGTCTTTGGTCCACTGCGTGCTTCCCACCGTTCAGCCCCCTGCTGAGTGCGAGCCCTTTGCATCCGCCCAATGGTTGGGTCTGAGTTTCAAATGCCTCTTGATCCTCCTTTAAGGTGGATCGTTTTTAAGGACGTCCAGGGACTTCCGGAGTCCCTCTCAGGTCTGGATTGTTTCCAGTCCCGTTTTCTGCTACTGTCTCCTCTTTCCTCTCACACATACCCCACGTGTCAGGGAATCAGAGTGTCCCCCGTTTGCGGTCACATCCTGTGTTTTCCTGCACCCCAGCCTTTGCTCAAGCTGCTCCTGCTGTGCCGAAGGTTCTTTCTTCACCTTAGATGTATACCTTCAAGTCCTACCTGTCATACTTCCCTTTTTTAAAACTTAAAAGTATATATTTATTTTTAGACAGAGCAGAAGGGAGAGAAGCATCAATGTGTGGTTGCCTCTCGTGCGCCCCCTACTGGGGACCTGGCTTGCAACCCAGGCATGTGTCCTGACTGCGGAATAGAACCGGTGACCTTTTGGTTCGCAGGCTGGCACTCAGTCCACAAAGCCGCACCAGCAAGGGCGTCCTACCAGTGTTTTAAAAGCCCCACCTCACCCTGACTGGTGGGGCTCAGTTTGTTGGGTGCCATCCCTCAAAGTGAAAGGTCATCAGTTTGATTCCAACTGAGGGCACATGTCTGAGTTAAGGAATCGGCCCCCCAGTCAGGGCCTGTCCAAGAGGCAAACAATGGCTGTTTCTCTGTCTTCTTCCCCCCACTTTAAAAATAAATAAATAAAACCTTTTTTAACAAGCCTCCTGTTTGAGGCTTCCTTGGATCATTCAAACCTCTGATTGCAGTGTTCCCTGGGCCCTAATCACATGCTTCGTCCACCTCTGAGGGTACCCATCACTCTGAGGATGGTTATGTCATTCTGGGATGTATTTTCCAGGAATGAGCTCCTTCAGGGCGTGGACCGTATCCACTTTCCCGCCCTCCCATTGCCTGGTCCACAACCTACCTCAATCCATGTGGAATGAATGAATGATTCCCTTCTCGGGACCTCTAAACCGCTGGTCTGCGCCCTGCCCCTGACTGGAATGACCTTCTGCTTGTAATAGCCTGGCTTCTCAAAGACCCCAGACTCTGCCCGATAACACCTCCTTTATATGGGATGTAAATGTGAGGCGTCCCAAAATGAAGCAAAACAGACATTCCCCGGATGATCCCACCCTCCCCCTGACTCTTGCCTCCTCCCCTTCTCACCCTTGCAGCCTGTGGGAGCTCTGAGGCCTCAGCTTACCTGGACGAGCTGCGTCTGGCTGTGGCCTGGAACCGTGTGGACATTGCCCAGAGTGAACTCTTCCGGGGTGACATCCAATGGCGGGTGAGGGTTTGGAATGGATGGGGGGGGGTCCCAACAAGGGGGATGCATCCTCCTGCCTTCCTGACATTTGCCCCAGTCTTCCATTATGGCCTTTCCAGTTTTCTCTTAATTGTCCACCCATCTGTTATTTATTGTCCATCTGTCCTCATTTTGTTCCCTCCCTCTCCATCCATCCATTCCTCCGTGCATCCATTTTGTCCCTCCGTTCTGCACACCCATCTCTTGTTCTTAACCTCTGACCTCACCTGGCCTTCTCTCTGTCTCTGCTCGTCCCACCCCTGCCAGTCGGTCCACCTGGAGGCCTCCCTCGAGGACGCCCTCTTGAATGACCGGCCCGAATTCGTGCGCTTGCTCATCTCGCACGGCCTCAGCCTGTGTCACTTCCTGACCCCCACGCGCCTGGCCCACCTGTACAACGCGGCGCCCCCCAGCTCGCTCATCCGCAGCCTTCTGGACCAGGCGTCACACGGCGCGGGCACCAAAACCCCAATCTTTAAACCCTCTGCGGAGCCCCGACTCCCTAACGTGGGGCAGGTGCTTCGGATGCTGCTAGGTGAGATGTGCGCGCCGAGGTACCACGCCTGGGCCACCGGGGATCCCCATCACGACCACGGCTGCAGGGAGAACGACCGTGGCTGCCCGGAGAGCGTAAGGACCAAGCGATGCTGGGCGGGGAACGCCCAGAAGGCCCTGGGGGTGGAGCTACGTTGGAAGGGGGCGTGGTCAGATAACGGTGTGTGTGAAGGAACTGGGGTGGGGCTGGTGGTTGGGGCGGAGCCAGACAGGCATCCGGGGCGGGGCCAATTTTCACCACGCCTCCCTCCACCTGCAGTCACTGCTGCTCTCGGGCAGGGCCACCTCCGAGCTCATGCTGGACGCCGTCCTCGGGCAGACCCCCTGGAGTGACCTGTTCCTCTGGGCACTGCTACTGAACAGGGCTCAGATGGCCTTGTACTTCTGGGAGATAGTGAGTGCTGACTTGATCTCTGACGCCATTCTCCCGCATCCCTGTCCTTTAAGTTCGCCAGACTCCAAGTGTCCCCGCAATACGATTCCTTGACCACTGGTGCCTCTAGTCCCCGTCTATGACTCCAGCTGCTGCTGCTTCCTTTTCTTCTTTTTTTCCATATCGTGCTTTTCTTGCAACTTGCCTTTCCCATTAACGCTTTATATCCGGCCTTTTCCCTTGTTCATACATGTGAATGGGTCTCATTCTTTCAAATGGTTGCCTGTGTGAGGAAGTTAGACACATCCTGTAGCCGAGGGGAGCCGTTTAAACCTGGGTACTCTTGCAATTCAGATTCGTTGTTGTAGCTACTGCAATGCAGAAGGCGTAAAATTAGAGGCGAGGGAGCAGGTAAGATGGTCAAGCTGGGGTCCTGCAGGCAGCTGGCCAGGGGGACGGGGCTGGACCCCAACAGGTAGGAGAGGTGTTGGGGCCCATTGAGGACGTTTGCAGAATTTAAAAGAAATGCTTTACCACGCTGCCAGGCCTAGCTCAGTGGATTGAGCATGGGCCTGCGAACCAAAGGGTCACTGGTTCGATTCCCAGTCAAGGCACATGCCTGGGTTGCAGGCCAGGTCCCCAGTTGGGGCCACACGAGAGGCAACCAAACATTTATGTTTCTCTCCCTCTCTTTCTCCCTCCCTTCCCCTCTCTAAAAATAAATAAATAAAATCTTTTTTAAAAGTTTTGGAATTCCAGTAGGATCTAAGAGCTTATTTTTATGTCTTAAAATTTTATTTTATTTATTTTTAAAAATATTTTATTTATTTATCTTTAGACGGGAAGGGAAGGAGAGAGGGAGAGAAACATCAGTGTATGGTTGCCTTTCATGCGTCCCCTGCTGGGAACTGGTCTGCAACCCAGGCATGTGCCCTGACTGGGAATTGAACCAGCCACTCCTTGCTTCACAGGCCGGCACTCAATCCACTGAGCCACACCAGCCAGGGCTTTATATCTGTATTTTAGAGAAATATCTTGACAGGACTCCTTCAACGCTGTTGTTTTTTTTTTTTTTTTTGAGGTTATGAGGTGATGGGTTAAATACAGATTTTGTTCATTGATGTAAAATCCATATATCTTCCAGTGCACCATTTTAACCATTTATAATTATACACTCACAAAAAAAAATAAAAGTAAAGTAAAATAAAATAAAAGTATACACTCACACTGTGGTGTAACCAACCTGTTTACCTAGTTCCGTAGTATTGCGATCAGCTCCCCCGAAGGACACCCGTACCTGTTAAGCATCACTCCTGGTCACTGCTCATCTGCTCTGTCTCCATGGACTGCCTATTTGGAATGGTTTATGTATACGAAACCATCTATTATGTGGCCTCCTCCACTTGAGTGTCTTCACGTAACCTGGCGCTCTCAGGGTCTATCCATGTCTGGTGGTCTGCGTTTTGTTTATCATTTACCTGCTGATGAACCCATGGACTCTGTGAAAAGTTCAAGTTCAAAAATCCTTTCTTTTGCCTCCTCAAAGCTGCTGTTGAGCCTTTCCAGTAAATTCTTTTTTATTTCAGTTATTGGTCTGTTTGGCTTGAGAATTTCTGTTGGGTCACTTTTATAATTTCTCTCGCTTTATTTATAGTCCCTATGTGGGAAGACATCACCCTACTGGGTTCTTTTAGTTCTTTGTTCCTTGTTTCCTTTGGCCCTTTCGGCACATTTAGGACAGTTGATTTAAACTAGGACAGTTGATTTAAAGTCTAAGTGTGGTCTGAGCTTCCTTAGGAACAGTTTTTATTATTATTTTTTCCTGTGAATGGACCGTACTTTCTTGTTTCTTTGTGCACGTCATAATTTTTTGTTGAAAACTGGACATTTTGAATATGATAATGTGTTAACCCTGGATAGCAGCTTAACCGCTTCCTCCAGGGTTTCTTGTTGTGGGTTGTTGTTTGTTTAGTGACCTTTCTAAGTTATTTCTTAAGGAGTTCATTTTATTTGTTTGTTTTAGAGAGAGGGGAAGCAAGGGAGAAAGAGAGGGAAAGAAACATGGATTGGATCCCTCTCGGCTATCTCCAACTGGGGACCAGCCTGCAACCCAGGCATGTGCCCTGATCGGGAAAAGAACCTTGGACCATTCAGTTTGCAGGTGTGCAATCTGAACTACACCAGCCAGGGCTCTAAGCTAATTTTTTTCCAAGATATTATTTTTACATTTTTATTTATTTATTTATTTTCGAGGGGAATAGAGGAAGAGAGGGAGAGAAACATCAATGTATAGTTGCCTCTCCCACGCCCCCTCCTGGGGACCTGGCCTGCAACCCAGGCCAGTTTCCTGACTGAGAATCGAACAGGCCACCCCTTGCTTCACAGGCTGGTACTCAATCCACTGAGCCACACCAGCCAGGGCTCTAAGCTATTTTTGTAAAGTCTATATTTTTTGTCACGTGTGGCCACTGAAGTCCCTTCCTGTTAGCATAGTGTTCAACTTGATAGAGATTTGCTTAAATGCTTGGGGCGGGGGCGGGGGGGGGGCCCAGACTCCCTCAGTTTGCTGATTCACCCTGTGTCAGAGCTGTTTTTTCAACACAGGCAAGGCGTTTACCGTTCTACCTCAGCTGTCACTTCCTGCTTTTGTTGCCTGAAGGTCAGCCAAGGATGAAAACTCAGGGCTTTGCTCGCCTTTTCTGAGCCACTTCCTAGCCTCCTTGATCCCCAGGGACCTATAGGAGGTTGGCAAACGCCATTGCCCCAGGTGTCCACTTCCCGCCCAAGCTGTTCAGTATATCACAAGCCTAAGCCTCTATTCTTTGTCTTCTTTGTTCTTGAACTGTAAGAGGGAAGCTGAGGTTAGTACCTTTATTTTTAAGTGCTTTCAAACACTACCTGGGAGGCTACTTCTGCCCTGGGGAAGCTCCAAGAACTGGAGAAAAGCAAGCTCTTGAGCCGGTTCTTTTTTTTTTAAAGATTTTATTTATTTACTTTTAGAGAGGGAAAGGGAGGGAGAAAGGGCAAGTAAACATCAAAGTGTGGTTGCCTCTTGAGCACCCCCTACTGGCGACCTGGCCTGCAACCCAGGCACATGCCCTGACTGGGAATGGAACCGGCAACCCTTTGGTTCGCAGGGTGGTGCTCAATTCCCTGAGCCACAGCAGCCAGAGCTTGAGCTGGTTGTTCTGGGGGTCCCCAACGAGGCTGGCACACACAACCACGATTATTTAAGAGTAAGATCTGAGTTGCTCCCTCTGGTACCGAAAACCCACAACTTCAAGGCTGCCACTGAGCTGGGGAGTTGGTCGGGGTAAACGGGCTAGTTACCGTATTTCGCCATGTATAATGCGCATATTTTTTGCCCAGGTTTTCTAGGGAGAAATAAGGATGCATATTATATATGCACAGTACTGATTCCGTATCTATATAAATGTTTCTAGTTCTTTTACTTATGCTTATGCATTAAAAGTATAACGATATCCGTATGCAAAATAATGCCCTGGAAGATGATAATCGGTTTTGTGTCTAAATATAAGTAAGTAATTGAATTTAAAAATTAAAACGAAAGATTTTTTTGTCCTGAAAATTTGGGCCAAAAACGTGGGTGTGTCTTATACATGGCAAAATATGGTAAAATTGGAATTCAGCGGTTTCTTTCTTCATTAAGCACTTTCCTATTTGTGCTAAGTTTTATAGTAGATTCCAGAACTCTAGAAAAGTTGATTCTGACAGTTTCTTGTGGCTTCTGTGGCGGGATGGAGTGTGGAAGTTCTCTTCTCTGCCCTTTCTAGGCCATGTCTCCAGCTGCCTCCTGACCTGTCTGTAACCTCCGAAGTCCTTCTAACTCCAGCCTCAGACCCTGGTCTGGGAGCGACCTGACTTCCCCTCCATGTCCCGTTTCTTGCAGCGCCATCTACAAACATTACTTTATCCTTGGCCTCTGCCGATCCCCGTTGATCTGACCTCTGGCTGTTGTCCTTCCCTTGATTCCAGGCTTTCTGCCGCTTCCTCAGCCTTCTGTGACTCTCACTCCGAACTCCGACCCCCGACCCCATCCGCGACCTCTTCCTCTGTCCCTCCAGGGCTCCAACGCCGTGGCCTCGGCTCTCGGGGCCTGTTTGCTGCTCCGAGTGCTGGCGCGCCTGGAGTGGGAGGCCGAGGAGGCAGCGCGGAGGAAGGACCTGGCCGCCAAGTTTGAGGGGCTAAGCGTTGGTGCGTGGGGGCAGAGTGGGGGCGGGCGGGGACCCAGGGCCGCCACTAAGGGGGGGTCTCCTGACTCATTTTTCTTCTTCTCATGGCAACCCCCTGCGCCCAGATCTCTTTGGCAAATGTTACCACAACAGCGAGGAATGGGCTGCTCGCCTGCTTCTCCGGCGCTGCCCCTTCTGGGGGGATGCAACCTGCCTGCAGCTGGCCATGCAGGCCGACGCCCGTGCCTTCTTTGCGCAGGATGGAGTGCAGGTGAGCGCCGGAGACCCAGCAGCCAAACCGTCCCCAGCTCCCCAGCTGCGCTCTGCCACTTCGGGCGGGCGATGGTCTAGGCCAGCCTCTCTCCCCCGAGACCACCCCTCCTCCAGACAGCCTCAACCCTGTCCCAGAGAAGCTGCTCTTCCCCTGAGGAGCCCCACCCCCTGCCACAGCAAAGCCCACCCTCCCAAAACGGTCCCCTCCGCACGCAAGAATTGCAAATGACTCTAGAGGGAAATCCCAGCTCTGACGCACAAGAAGCCCCTCCCAGCTCCTTTGGAGAACCCGGTTCCAGGTCTCCGCGATGGGAATGACCTCACCCACCTCACCCGGCAATTTCGTAGCTTTCTAGACACAGACGCGCTCTGGGCTGGGAAACCCCACGCCCCCCGCTGGCATCCCTCTCTCGTGGGCAGCCCTGCTTGCCTGTAGTCCTCCCCACCCCAACATGGTGAACTTTCTCGGTATCCTCAATCTACCTGCGGCGGAGGCACCCACAGGCCCACCCTGGTACAGGGTACAGGACATGACAGGAAGGCCAACTCAGCCCAAAGGGAAGCCCCATCCTCAGCTGTGGGAATGATCTGATTGGCATTAGAAAGAAATACCCAGAGTCCTTAGTGTCACGTAGTGGTGAAACTCAGTGGGGTCTATTTATGGTCTTTTCTTAACCTCCCTGTGTTCCATCTCTGTGAAAAGGGAGGAAATATTAGTACCTGTCTTCCTGGGGGTGTGGCGAGGGTCAGGTGAGCTAGTCGATGGTAAATGCCAGTACCTGGCATGTTGTGTTCATAAACGTGGGCTGTTTAAGCTCAAAGCTGTGGCAGGGTGGTCCTGGCCTTTGGCTGCCTTCCCCCACCCCGATCGTTAGGGTGCCCAGGTTGAACCCTTGCCAGGGGTCTGCGGGAAGGGGCTGGGCCCCTGAAGGGGCGGGGGGGGGGGTGGGACTCAGGCTCCCCATCTCCCCCACACCCCGCAGTCCCTGCTGACCCAGAAGTGGTGGGGGGAGATGGACAGCACCACGCCCATCTGGGCCCTGGTTCTCGCCTTCTTCTGCCCGCCACTCATCTACACCAACCTCATCACCTTCAGGTCAGTCCCCCGGGGTCAGGTTGACAGGAGGGGGGGTGCTCTGTGTCTCTTTCTGCTCACATCTGGCCACCTTTCAGTCTGTCCAGTGCTTCCTGCTTTGTTTTCTCTCCTTCCCTCCCGAACACTGGCAGCATATTCTGGGAGGTGAGCTTTGGGGGTGGAGGGGGGCTCTCTGTATCTGTAGGAGCAATTCTTCTGCCCTCTGGCTTGGCTCTGGGACAGGTCCCTCTGGGGTGACTCTAGGGGGGCCACCTCTCCGTCCCCCGGCCGTGTGTCTGGGTAAAGAAGTTGGGTATCCCCAGGGGAGCCCTCTCCCGCTCTCTCCTCGCCACGCCCCCCAACCCCGGCCATTTCTCACACTGTGCTTCTCTCCATGCCAGGAAGTCAGACGAGGAGCCTGCGCAGAAGGACATGGGGTTGGGCGTGGATGGGGGTGTCAATGGGGAAGGGCCATTCAGGTGAGTGAAGCGCCGAGGCTATGTGAGGCAGTGAGTGTGTGTGTGTGTGTGTGTGTGTGTACACACTCCAAAATGTTGGATACCTGGCTGGTGTGGCTCAGTGGATTGAGCGCAGGCCTTGAACCAAAAGGCCACCTGTTCAATTCCCAGTCAGGGCACGTGCCTGGGTTGCAGGCCAGGTCCCCAGTAGGGGGCGCGTGAGAGGCAACCACACATTGATGTTTCTCTCCCTCTCTTTCTCCTTCTCTTCCCCTCTGTCTAAAAATAAATAAATAAACCCTTCTGGGGGGGAAAAAAAAGGTTGGATAGAAGGCCCCGTGTCAGGGCCAATAGTGGCGTCCTGGCCAAGTGATTTCCCACCTTCTGCACCATGTGACTGATGGTGACAATGATGGTGGCAGTAGCTGGTGTTGTAGAACATTGACAGTGGGCAGCTGTGTTGCGAAGTCCTTTGAAAATCAGTTCGTTGAGTTTTCTCAGCAACCCTGGGCAGTGGGCTCTGTTACCATCTCAGTCACAGGTGACGGAACTGAGGGCTTCGCTTCTGTGACTCAGGTCACGTGACTGGTCAGTGGGAGTGCTGGGATTGGAACCCAGGTCTTCTCGTGCCTGAATCTGGGTTCTTAGCCTCGGACTTACCCCTGGCTCCTCCCTCTCCCAGGGAGGCCTGGGGCCAGGCCCAGGAATCTGTGTGGCCCGGCTGTGGGTGTTTCAAGATGGCAGTCCTCTGGGCGGGGGAGATGCTCCAGCCCACCACTCGGTCTCGGTCCCACGATGCTGCAGAGGGTGCAATGGATACATCAGGGCTATTCCCTTGTCATTCCCTTGTACTCCTCTCTGCTTCTCAATTTCTTTAGCTCTTACTGTTCTTTCCACTTCTTTTCTTTCTTTTATATATATATATATATATATTTAAAGGTTTTATTTATTTGTCTTTAAAGAGGAAGGGAAGGAGAGAGGGAGAAATATCAATGTGTGGTTGCCTCTCATGCATCCCCTGCTGGGAACTGGCCTGCAACCCAGGCATGTGCCTTGACTGGGAATCGAACCGCGGTTGTTTGGTTCGCAGGCTCGTGCTCAATCCACTGAAGCTACACCAGCCAGGGCCTCTTTATTTAAATATGATTTAAAAAAATCTATTTTAGGGAGAGAGAGAAACTCCCATGTGTTTTTTCATTTATTGATGCATTCATTGGTTGATTCTTGTATGTGTCCTGACTGGGGATCAAACCCACAACCTTGGTGCCTGGAGACAGCGCTCTAGCCAGGGTCCACTGAATTTCCTTAGCACAGCTTTACTGAGATATAATTCACATACCATTCCCTTCACCCACTTAAGGTTATACAATTCAGTGGTTTTCAGTATATTCTGAGTTTTGAAATCGCCACCACAATTCATTTTTTTTTCAAAATATTTTACTTATTTATTTTTAGAGAGAGGGGAAGGAGAAAGAGAGGGATAGAAACATCAATATGTGGTTGCCTCTCTCACACCCCCTACTGGGGACCTGGCCTGCAACCCAGGCATGTGCCCTGACTGGGAATTGAACTGGTGACCCTTTGCTTCACAGGCCTGTGCTCAATCCACTGAGCTACACAAGCCAGGGCCCACCACAGTTAATCTGAAAACATTTTTATCACTGCCATGAGAAACTCTGTCCCCCATTAACAGTCAGTCACTGACTGACTGACCCTGTTCTCCTCTCCCCAGAGCCCGGGCCACCACGGGACCACTCTGTCCCTGTGGATTTGCCTCTTCTGGCCATTTCCTACAAACGGAAGCATGCACTATGAGATCCTTCATGGCTGGCTTCGTTTACTTAGCATTATTTTTCAAGATTTAGCCACACTGCACATATGTCAGGGCTTCGTTCCTTCTTCTTTTTTTTTTAAAGATTTTATTTATTTATTTTTAGAGAAGGGACGGGAGGGAGAAAGAGAGAGAAACATCAATGTGCCATTGCCTCTCACCTGGCCTGCAACCCAGGCATGTGCCCTGACTGGGAATCGAACTGTCGACCCTTTGGTGTGCAGCCCGCGCTCAATCCACTGAGCCACACCAGCCAGGGCTCCAGTCTTTCTTTTTGCTGAATAAAATCCCATTTTCTGGAGAGACCATGTTCTGTTTATGCATTCACCGGGTGATGAACATTTGGGTAGTTTCTGCTTGGTTTGTGAAGAGACGCTGCCTCTCCAAACCTGTCTGTTTTCCCTGTTGGCTTTTTGAACATGTTATTCCTAGTATTTCCTCATCTTGGCATTTCTCTTTGGGGTCACCATTAAGAGTCAGGATGAAATGGAGACAGAGGATCAGCACTCAGGAGAGAAGGATTGGAGATACGTGTGGACTGAGAAGGTGGGAATTCGGAAGCCAAATACGGCTGTATGGTCAGATACCAGACATGGGGAAGGAAGACTCATATGAGAGAACTGTACTAGGCACTCTGATCTCAGAATCTGTGAGTCGGAGGTTGATATGCAGGGTCTACGTTTTCAACCTTGGGGAGCTGACGTCATGGAAGTGAGGGGGTCAGAGGTCATACTTGAGGGTCAGAGGTCAGGTAGATGGGTCAAGGTCAGACAGAGAGACAGAGATGGTGATAGTGAAAGAACAGGACTTGGGAGTCAGAAGCCAGAGAAGAGTCAGAAGTCATCCCAGGGCCAGAGGTCAGAAAGGTGGCAGAGGTCAGAGGTGAAAGGTAAGCAGTCTTGTTGGTAGGAGATGTCAGAGGTCGGAGGTTAGATACAGGGATCACAAGTCAAGGAGATGGCAGACCTCAGACGTAGTTTAAGTTCAGGCCTGGTCAGAAGTCGTGAGGGTGGCGGAGGCCATGGGACAGGTTAGCGGTCTTGCTAATTGTGAAGGTCAGGTCCAGAGGTCAAGTTGAGCTCTCCTCTCCCTCCGTCTCTCTCAGGCCGGGAGACCCCCCTGAGAAAGTGCCCTTGGGGGTGTTGAGTCAGCCCAGGCGGAGCGGGTGCTCCCCGCACCTGCGGCGCTGGTCCCAGTTCTGGGGGGCGCCTGTGACGGCTTTCCTGGGCAACGTGGTCAGCTACCTGCTCTTCCTGACACTGTTCGCCCGGGTGCTGCTGGTGGACTTCCGACCCTCGCTGCCCGGAGCGCTGGAGCTGCTGCTGTACTTCTGGGCCTTCACCCTGCTCTGCGAGGAGTTCCGCCAGGGCCTGGGCGGCGGCTGGGGCAGCCTGGCCACCGGAGGGCCCGGGCCGGCCCCCTGCCGGACCCCGCTGCGCCGCCGGCTGCACGTCTACCTCACAGACACCTGGAACCAGTGCGACCTCGTGGCCCTCACCTGCTTCCTCCTGGGCGTGGGCTGCCGGTGAGTCCCCGTGGCCTTCAAACCTCTGGCTCCAGAGCAGCCCAAACCCGCTCCGCTTACTCTTAAAGCTACAAACAGAAAACCCCTCTGGATGGAAAAGATAGCGTAAAGATGGTCTAGAAACAATTTGATCCCACGTGGGTATCTGGCTTCCGGGATGATATGGTGAAAGTGAGGGCTCCGCTGCTTCTGCCGCTGTTTCCGCCAGATCTGGAGGTTCCTGGGGGTTTCTCTGAGCCCCCGAACCTGGCCCTGCAATTGGCACCACTGACCCGCTGTGCTCAGTGTCTTCCACCGAAACCAGGCTGGAGGCTGGCCACCGCTTCCCCTCCTCCCTCCTCTTTCTCCACAGCCTGCGTCCAGGGTCCTGACCTCCCACCTTTGACCCTCTCCGTCCCTCCCCCCTCCATCCACGGCCACCTCTCCCACCTGGACCCGCGCCCCAGCCTCCTGGACTCCAGGCTCTTCCCAGAGCTGACCTGCCCCTCCCTTCCCCAGGGTCCATGCATGCGCCTGGCATCCGGGCCCTGCCTGGCCTGCAGCCCCCTTCTCTCCAGGGCTGTCTCCGGATTTCTTTGTGTTTTCTTCACCCCAACCCTCTGAGAAGGAACCCTACCTGCAGTTCCTTCGTCATGGGGACAGGGGCTTTGACCTCGGTCCTTGATATTTTGTGTCTGTGTAATTACAAATTTGTAAGCAGAATTTTACCACTACTGACGAATTCTTATCGAGGAAGTATTTTGAAACTTCCCTGATCAATTTCGCGTGCAGGGCAGTTACACCAGCTTCAGTCCCTTCAGTTTCCGGAATTACTTCAATATGGTTAACTGTTATCTGGGTGAAGTTCTGCCACAACTGTTTGGTTCATCCTTTATGTTTTTGTCTATAGTGAATTTTGCCAGATTTTGAGTCTCCGTGTGTGTGTGTGTGTGAATTTTCCTTTGTGGCTTTGATTTATTTCACGTCCCATTTTCCCGGATCAAATGTCATAGATTCAAATTCCCTCAGGAAGGCTTGGATGGTGTATCAGCTATTCCGTGCACAGAACGGTAACTGTTTCTATTTCTTAGCCGATTTGTAAAACACAAGTTGTGGATTCCCCTGAAATACTTTCTGTGGCCAAGAATGGGCTATATAATGTCAGTTCATTTCTTCCGTAGTTTCCAAGGCACACAGTGTGGTGCCCAGAGAGAGGGCACGAAGGGCACATTGAAATGTCCTTGGGAACAAATTATCTTGTCTTTGGGTCTTGGCACGTGTTGTCCCCTGTCCTGAAACACTGTCCCCTCCTGTCCTTGGCCAAGCCAACTCCCGTGCTTCCTTTAGGCCTCAGCTTTGCGGTGTCTGTCTTGGAAGCCTTCTTTCCCCCTTCCCAGACTCTGCGTCCTTTATTTGTGTTCCCTAAGGCCCTGAGGTCTCACCAAATGGTACCCTGAGGGTACCTTGTGCTCTCTCCTCAAGTCACTCTTTGTCTCTATCTCATCTGAAAATATCTTTGAAATATACTCTATTACCAAAGAACTGCAAAAATATGTCCTCATTGAACAAGATTCAAGGAATAAAGGACGTAGAACAAAACCCAATAGTTTCCTCAGTCTTTTCATGTGTTTTCATTTTCTCAACAGTTACTTCCATCAATGGTTTGGTGCACGTCCTGCCTGTTCTTTTTCTATGCATTTACATGGACAGATAGACGCACCTCTTTTATACACAGATGACAGTATATTCTGTGTATTCTTCTGCAATCTTTTCTTTTCATCTACAATATGTCCTGACATTTTTTCCCATTGCCAGTATTTGCAAATGTATCGTATTCTTTGAAAATGCCACCTCAGATTCCAGATGAAGGGATTTCAGCCACCATTGGCTAAAGATCAGACAAGACAGATTTCTCCGTGCCAGAATTTAATGCATGAATGAATTCTTTTCATAAGGCATTGAGACAAAAACTTTGGACTTCAAGAGGTAGAAAGTGGGCCAAACGTTTCTCCACAAAGTCTATTTCATTTTTTCCCCCAGATATTCATCATATACGGGCTGCTTTGGGTTCAGTACTCCGCTGCTGCTGTTTCTTTTTCTTTTTCTATAAAGTCCTAGCAGTGAAGACACGGCTCCTTGCGTGGACTATTTATAAGAGATACCTTCTAGTCTTTCCTCAGTTGACACACTGAGAGGCATGCTTCGCCCATGCTGTGTTAGAAATGCTACCAAGTAATACGACATGAATAGTTTATTCCAACCACCATGTAAGAGAGTTTCCCAGAACACCACGCTTGTGTTTATCTCTTGTATTTTGTACAAAGTATCATGTGAGATTAAAGTGTTAAGGCCATCTGCTAGCACGCTCTAGGAATCCCAGTGATATTTTACACATCTTGTCAAGCTCATTGTTTTCTAGGGGGAAGAGAAATTGCCTCATGGGGGAAAAAAAAAGCCAAAGATCTTGACTTACAATAGAGAAATTTCCAGTGATCTCCAGAATGGCATGGATGAATCATTTTGCTTTGCCAGTCACTTCCAGATGGGACATGTTGGTTGTTTCCAATTTTTTAATTATTCCAGAGTAATAAAAGTTTACATTCCAGATTTAAATTTTGTGAATTGTGAATATACGTCTGTATATTCTTTTTTAAAAAAGATTTATTTACTTTATTTTTAGACAGAGGGGAGGGAGGGAGAGAGAGAGAAACATCAATGTGTGGTAGCCTCTCGCACACCCCCAACTGGGGACCTGGCCCGCAACCCAAGCATTTGCCCTGACTGGGAATCGAACCGGCAATGCTTTGGTTCGCAAGCCTGTGTTCAATCCACTGAGCCACACCAGCCAGGGCTGTATGTATATTCTTGATGTGGACAGATTTTCTTGTAAAATAGCTTCACCTGTTTGCACACCCATCAGCGTAAGAGAGTACCCTCTTGAGGACATGCTTGACAAAATCTAGTATTTTTAATCTTTAAAATCTTGTAGCTCTGAATTTAACTGAAAAAATTTTTTGCCACTCTGACTGGTAAAAATGACCTCTCTCTTTAAAATGTATGCATCCCTGACTACTAGTTAGATTGGGCATCTTTTCATAGCTAATAGTCACACAGACGCCTATCAATTGTCTTTCCATAAACTTTGCCCCCACTTAAAAATTTTATGTTCATTGATAATATATAATATATTTTATAATATATTATATATTTATATATTTAATATATATTTTACAATATATTATATATATATAATTTTATGTTCATTGATTATACACACACACATGACTATGCAAAATAGGAATATAATTTTTCTTTTCCCCATAGTCCACCAATGTGATGGGCCATTGGACTTTCCTCTATGAAATGTGTGCCAGCCTTTCTCCACTTTCCCATTCGGCCCTTTCTCTTCTGATGATTGGTTTTCCAGAACTCTCTATATTTTGCCACTGATGGTTGGACATATATCCAAACAGGGACCTCCCAGGTTTCTGTTCAGGCCCCTTACTGAGGTCCCATGGTGGAGCAGCCCCGTTGACGTTGGAAAATCTCATATACCTGGGTGAATGGGCGGTGCGGATTCTGGCCTGGGGAGGCTGCGACTTCAACTGAAGCCTGCTGTTGGGAAGACACAGGTTTCCCTAGGCACCCTTTGACCTTAAGTGACCCCTGTCTTGTCTCCCTGCACCCCAGGCTGACTCCGGGCCTATATGACCTGGGCCGCACTGTCCTCTGCCTCGACTTCATGATCTTCACGCTGCGACTGTTGCACATCTTCACAGTCAATAAACAGCTGGGGCCCAAGATCGTCATTGTCAGCAAGATGGTGAGGGGGCGGGGCCAGAGGGGACTGGGCGTGGCCAGAGCCGGGAAGGGCGGGGCCGGGCTTGGTCTCATCTTCTTCTCCTGCAGATGAAGGATGTGTTCTTCTTCCTGTTCTTCCTCGGCGTGTGGCTGGTTGCCTACGGGGTGGCGACGGAGGGTCTCCTTAGGCCTCAGGACCAAGACCTCCCGAAAATCCTGCGCCGTGTCTTCTACCGGCCCTACCTGCAGATCTTCGGACAGATCCCGCAGGAGGAAATGGACGGTACAAGGGGAGGGGCCCGACACCCTCCCTGTGAATCTCTCCTCTCCAATCCGCATCTGGGTCTCTGCACCCTTCTCGCCGAGTCTCTGCTTCTGTGGGTCTCCGAGCATGCGCCCCTCCCCTTCATCCCTAGGGGACGCTGTCCTCTCTCCGTCGCTGACCCCTCCTGTGTCTCTTTGGGTCTCGTCCCCCTCACTTTCTGGGATTCTGTCTCCCTCTCGCTGGGTGTCTGCTCCCCCAAGCCCCTTTGGGTTTCTGTCTTCATTAGGGCCCCGCCTCTCTGCCCCCGTCTCTGAGTGTGTCCCTTCGCAGTGACCCTCATGAAGCACACCAACTGCTCAACGGAGGAGGGCTTGTGGGCGCGCCCCTCTGGGGCCCAGGACGGCTACTGCGTCTCCCTTTACGCCAACTGGCTGGTAGTGCTCCTTCTCGTCATCTTCCTGCTGGTGGCCAACATCGTACTGGTCAACCTCCTCATCGCCATGTTCAGGTAGGAGGCCGTGCCCTCTCTGATCGCAAGTCACCCACCATGACCCTTGACCCCAGCAGGATTCTAGATACCAGCCGGCCCATTTCCCTTTTAGTCCCTGAATTCTGACTCAAATCTAACGCTGGCTTGTCTGCAGACCCAGCCAGACGCTGCTCCAGACCTGGACTTTGGGCTCTGCTCCTCTCCCTGAGCCCAGGCCCGGTATTTCAGTCTTTTTTTTTTTTTTTATTGTGGCAAAATATATATAACATGAAATTCACCATTTTTGACATTTTCAGTATACAGTTCAGTGGCATTAGTTATACTGATAATTTTTATAACCATCATCACTATTTGCAAAACATTTTCATCACCCCAAATAAAAGTGTTGTAAGCAAGCAACAACTCCCCATTTCCCCCTCCCCTCCCAGTCCCTGGTAGCTGCTAACCTACTTTACATCTCTGTGACTTTGTACTCAATGTTTCTTATAAGCAGAATCATGCGCTATTTGACCTTTTGTGCCTGGTTTATTTCTCTTAGCATTAAGTTTTCAAAGTTCACTCATGTTGTGGCATGTGTTGGTGCCCTGTTCCTTTTTTATGGCTGAGTAATATTCCATCACGCTGACCTAAGCCATTTTGTTTATGCCTCTGTTGTTGGGGCCTGGGATCATTTCCATCTTTGGCTGTCATGAATAATGCTGCTATCAACATTGGCATTCACGTATCTGTATAAGTCTTTGTTTTTGGATCTTTTGGGTACGTTACTAGATGAGAATGCTGGGTCGTATGGTAATTCTAGGTTTCACTTTTTTGAGGAACCACCAAATTGTTTTCTACAGCAGCTGCACCATGTCACATCCCCACTGACAACTGATGAGGGTTCCGAGTTCTTTGTATTTCTGCCAACAGTTATTTCCTTCCGTAGCAAGTGGCAGCCATCTTAGCGGGTATGAACTGGTTTGGTCTGGATTTGCATTTTCCTAATGACCAATGGTGCGGAGGATCTTTCTGCGTGCCTGTTACCCCATTTGTATATTTTCAGAGAAATGCCTATTCAAATCTTCTGCTGGTTTTTTAATTGGGTTGTCTTTTTGTTGGTGAACTTCTTTATATACTCTGGATATTAAACAGAGATCAGATATATGATTTGCAAATACTTTCTCCTATTCTGTTGGTTGTCTTTTGCTTTTCTTGATACTATCCTTTGATGCGCAAAAGTTTTAAGTTTCGCGCATCAAAAACTGGGATGAAGTCCAGTTTATTTATTTTTTTCCTTTGTTGCTTGTACCTTTGGTGTCCTATCTCAGTACTCATTGCCAAGTCCAAAGTCCACGAAGATTAATCCTGTTTCATGGTTGTAGCTCCAATATTTCGGTTGGTAGTCCCTTTCGACTTCATTTTTGTGTATGGTGTGAGGTAGGGATCCAACTACATTATTTTTGCAGGCAGAAATCCACTCCTTTGAGGATTATTAGTTGGAGAGGCTGTTTCCCCCTCACTGAATGGACTTGGCTGTCTGAGTCAATTGCCCATCACATTAGTTTCCCAGGGCTTCCCCAGCAAAGTACCGAAGAGTGGGTTGCTTTAAATTACAGAAGGTTATTGTTTGACAGCTCTGGAAACTAGAAGTCCAAAATCAAGGTGTGGACAGGGTTGGTTGCTGCTGAGGCCTGTGAGAAAGAATTGCCTCATGCCTCTGGCTTAGCTTTTGGTGGATTTCTGGCTCCCTTGGTCTTCTGGATGCACCATTCCAATCTCTTTCTTCACATTTACAAAGCGTTCTCCCTGTGTGCATGTCTGTGTCCAAATTTGCTCCCCTTTAAAAAAAAATATTTATTTATTTATTTATTTTTAGAGCGGGGCAAGTGGAGAAAGAGAGGGAGAGAAACATCAGTGTGTGGTTGCCTCTCATCTGCCCCCAACTGGGGACCTGGCCCATAACCCAGGCATGTGCCCTGACTGGGAACTGAACTGGTGACCCTTCGCTTTACTCAGTCCACTGAGCCACACTAGCCAGGGCCAAATTTCCCCTTTTTATAAGGACACTAGTCATTGAATTAGTGACCAACCCTAATGAGCTCCTTTTAACTTGATCACCTTTATAAAGATCCTATTTCCAAATAAGGTCACATTCTGAAGTACTAGGGGTTAGGATTTCAGTATATCTCTGAGAGTGGGCACACGCTGAGCTATATAACACTCATAGATGTATGGATTTATTTCTAACTCTCAACTCCATTCCATTGGTTGCTATGTCTGTTCTTATGCCAGAAACATGTTTTGATTTCTTCATGTGTCATTTTAGGTAATTTGTGTGTTTCTAGGAACTTTTCCATTTCACCTAGGTTTTTTTTTTAAGGTTTTATTTTATTTATCTTTAGAGTGTAAGGGAAGGAGAGAGAGAAAAATATCCATGTATGGTTGCCTCTCATGTGTCCCCTGCTGGGAACTTGTCCACAACCCAGGCATGTCCCCTGACTGGGAATTGAACCACGATCCTTTGATTTGCAGGCCCGCGCTCAATCCACTGAGCTACACCAGCCAGGTCACCTGGGTTATCTTTTTTTGTTGGTGTACATTGTTGATAGTATTCTCTTATTATCGGTTTTATTTCTGTAAGGTTGGTAGTAATACCCCCATTTTTATTGCTGATTTCATTTATTTGTGTTCAGACTGACTTTTTAAAATATTTTATTTATTTATTTTTAGAGAGGGGGGGAAGGGAAGGAGAAAGAGTGGGTGAGGAACATCAATGTGTGGTTGCCTCTCAAGTGTCCCCCACTGGGGACCTGGCCTGCAACCCAGGTCCGTGCCCTGACTGGGGAATCCAACCAGTGACCCTGTGCTTCACAGGCCCGCGCTCAATCCATTGAGCTATACTAGTCAGGGCTAGACTGACTTTTTGAACCTGAGGTTAACCTCTACCCTAATCCTTGGTGTTATTTCCAACTTGACCTCTGGTCTCTGACCCTTGACCTTCCTACACTAACTAATTGCATCCTGTAATAACCTCTGACATTGATTCTGACATTCGCCTGCTACCTTGTACTTTGAACATATTGCCTGATATCTGACCTTGATCCACTGCCCCGACTGGGCTTTGACCTCTAGTGACCCTTGACCTCTGGTCCCCACAGCTACACCTTTGGCAAAGTACAGGGCAACAGCGACCTCTATTGGAAGGCGCAGCGCTATAGCCTCATTCGGGAATTTCACTCTCGGCCTGCGCTGGCCCCACCCTTCATCATTATCTCGCACCTGCGTCTCCTCAGCCGTCGTTTGTGCAGGCACAGGACCAGCTCGCCAGCGCATTTTCGTGAGAGCGGGTCTTGGCCCAAAGGACCGAAACACAAGGGGCGGGACCCGGAGAGAAAGAAGAGCGTGGATAGGCTGGGGAAGATGTCTGGGAGGAACCAGTGGGCAGGGCTTAAGCTGTCAGGGGGTGTGGCCTGGGAGGGCTCACTCAGGGTTTTGAGCCAGGAGGCTGGGTCTGGGAGTGGGCATGTCCCGAAGACGCGGCGGGCCCTTTACTGTGTTCTGACCCTGCTCTCCAGGTGTTCACCTCCATAAGGACGAAGAGAGGCGGCTTTTGACGTGGGAATCGGTGCAGAAGGAGAATTTCCTACTGGCGCGTGCGAGGGACAAGCGGGAAAGTGACTCTGAGCGTCTGAAGCGCACGTCGCAGAAGTGAGGGCGGGGCCTGCTCAGGGGCGGGGTTTCTGGCCTTGGGCTCAGATCGAGGGCTGGAGGCGGAGCCTGACTGGGCCGGGTTCTGGAAGGGCGGGGACCGGGAAGGCTGAGTTTCAGGAAGCTGGACTCCAGGTGGGTGGGGCTGGTGGGCTGGTGGGCTGCGGGCACAGGCCTGAATTCCTGTGTGCCCAGGGTGGACACGGCATTGAAGCAGCTGAGGCAGATCCGCGAGTATGAGCAGCGTCTGAAAGGACTGGAGCAGCAGGTGAGGTCGCCAGGCCAGGCTGGGGGAGGATGGGCAAGATGGGATGGGAGTGGATTTCCATCTGATGCCATGATTTCCTGTCTGCTCCCCAGGTCCAGCACTGTAGCCATGTCTTGGGCTGGGTGGCCGAGGCCCTGAGCCACTCTACGTTGCTTCCCCCAGGGTGGTCCCAGCCCCCAGCCCCGCCTGGGCCCAAAGGTCAGTGTGTAGAGTCTACCTGTGTCTATCTCTGGCCTCTGGCAGTACCTGGTTCTGTGCGCCGGCTTTCCAGCTCTCTGCTCCCCTGTCTCTATGTTTCCGTTCCACTACCCTTTCTTTGCCTCAGTTCACTCTCTTGGTTTCCTTTGGGCTTTTCATGGGTCTCTTTTGGCCAGTTCTCCCAGTTTTTCTGTCCCCCTCTCTATGCCCACCGCCTGTTCTCTCTTCTCCTCAGACTGAATCCTGTTGGCAGACTTCAAGAAGTAGCCCCCTTGAGGCATTCTTGCTCCCAGAATAAGGCTGAGCTGGTCCGGGACCTCTGTAAGAGGTGGCCTTTACCACCTGTATCACTGTCGGGACCACCGCAGGGCGTCACATCCCTTGGTGCCACAGAAGGCCCCCGGGCCCTCCCAGAACCAGCCCCACTCCGGGAGGATCTGCCTCTGGCGTCCACGCACGGCCCATTGAAGGCCCTGCCGCAGCCCGCTGGGCGGGAGAAGCTCCAGGGTCCTGGGGGTGCATGGACCACAGAGCCCACTCACGCTCCCCACACTGGGGAAATAAAGCCACTTGATTTGAGGTTTCTGGATGCCTGATTCTTGGGGAACTGGTGGTGTCTGAATCCTTTGGGGATGGAGGCTGGAGCTGGGGGGTGAGTTTGAGGTCCTTGGTCAGTTTGCTTCTATTTTTTTGGGTAACCCCAGCTCTGCTCCCTCCTCTCCACCCCACCGTTCCTATTCGACTCCGATGCAACCCCTCTGGTCTGTGCTACTTTGATGGCTCTCACTTCAGTGGGACAGGAACCATCTGCACCCCCCCCCCCACACACACACACCACTTCCTACTTCCCAGCAGAGAAGGAACGCAGTGATGAAAGTGAATTATTTCTTGGCGTGGGGACGGGTGGGCGCCGTGTACATCTGCTTTGGCAACAGGGGAGCAGATGATGCAAATTTGAGTAGATAACTGCATATGTGTCTTTAAAAAGTCTAATTAGTGGAAAATTACAGGCCACGAACACATGGAATTGAAGCAAATACGCATCATTACGCACACAGTGTAACTAAACAACCCATAATAAACTAAACTGGTAATGACAAGGCTGAGCTGACAGCAATTATTAGTTAAATAGCAAGAAAGCCACCAACAACCAACACATCCAGAAAATCAAAACCAAAACATCCTTTCTCCAAACTGGAGGCGTTCCAACTCTCTGCCACTTTCGGGTGCAGAGTGGCTTTGAAACCTCGCCAAGGGCTGTGTGGCAACCAGATTTCTCCTGAAGAGGCTGAAGTAGTTCTCACTAACCCAAGGAGTAATAAAGAACGGTGATGATGACGGTGGCAATGACCATGACAACAGCTAACACGTGCAGGGTGCTGTGTGTCTGGCTTGGTGTTACGTGCTTCGCGTGCACAAAATCAGTGAAGTCTTATGGCGGCCTTTATCAGGTCGGGTCTAATGTCTCCATTTTGCAGATTAGAAAACCGAGGCACAGAGAAATAACTCACACAAGGTTACACAGCTCGAACGGGGCCACGTTTGAATAAAAATATGGGCCGCCTGGCTCCAAAGCCTTTGGAAAGCACTAGTTTGTATCTGGAAATGTCAAATGCGACAGAGCGCTAGAAACTCGGTGAGTTCAATGGGTTAAAGCTCTCGTCTCTCAGCTCCAAATCGGCCTTTTTAATACCCGGCTCTGCCGAAAGGGGGCGCTAGAGGGAGACCAGTGACAGGCGGAGGAGAAAGGAACTTCTGGTTCCAGAGCGTCGCCCCCTCAGAGCAGCGGGTGGGAACTTTCAGCTTTTTCCACCCGGTTTGGTTGGATCTCCTCAGTCACCCCCGCTCCACGCAGGCAGCCCCCTTTTCTGGGCTGGGTTTCAGCTCCTCCAGGGCACTGCTCCAAGAGATTAGGTTCTGATAACTGTTTTCTTCCCTTCATCTCCCCAGTCCTGGGGTGCTGTCTGCCTCCTGCAGGGACTATTTATGTGCCGGCGCCGTTTCTTTCTTCCGCCTTCCCAGTTTTCTGAGGCCCTGGTATTTATCTGCTGAAATATCTAGATAACAAGAAAGCTTAGATCTGGCGGGTAGAACTCTGCAAGGAGCCATGAAAATAGAGAATTACAACGTCTCGCTTCATTTCCACACATAAGCCAATTTGGAAACCCAAAGTCCCTTAATTGAAGGGGAGGCTGGGTACTCTTGAGGAATTACCCTAAATAAGTTGATATGTTAAATCTTCCCTGCCTGTATGTTTTCTCTTCATGAACCTATTTCGCTTCTCCCTTCCACGGCCCCAGTGATGGGTATTCTAACCCCTATGCGCCACAATTGGTGACCACAAAGGAGACAGATATTCTCCATCTGTCCTGGTGCTGTGTTTTTTGAAGCCACACAATTTCATTAAGTCTGTCTTGGGTGTGGTGGCAGGTCACCAGCAAGGCCAGTGACTGGGTGTCCGTGAACCCAGAGTGGGCAGCATAGCCATGATCTGCTAGTCCACAGTCCCCTGGAGGGACCACTGAGGGTGTGGGACAGAGGTGGCACCCACCAGCTTGGGATCTAGCAAGGCCCCCCAAGATGTCTGCTCCAAGTCTCAGGTGTGAGACAGGGGGAGTGAACGGCTACAGAAGGATACATAAGCCCCTAAAACCCCAAGGTAGCCGTCACTTGAAGGAGAGGCACATTTTATACAAAAAAGAAAACTCCAGCTCTGAAGGATGTGGCTCAATTGGATGGAGCACTGTCCTGTAAATCGAAAGGTCATGGGTTTGATTCCCTGTCAAAGCACATGCCTAGACTTCAGGTTCACTCCCCAGTCCTGGTGCATACAAGAGGCACCGATGGATATTTCTCCCATTAATGTCCTTTCCCTCTTTCTCTCCCTTCCTTTCCCTCTCTCTAAAATCAATCATCATGTCCTCAGATGAGGATACAAAGAAAAATTAAAAATCAACAAGAAAACTCCAGATAGAGGCTGCAGGTCTTCAGAGAAAAGGCGGGTGGAATGGGGGACTCAGGAATGCACGTGTTTTGGGAGCCAACCGCAGTTCCCGGGAGGGGTGGGGCTGGAGGAGGTGGAGCTGTGAATTCGGCTCAAAGCTGCAGCCAAAACGTGAAATGGATTTACTGGCTCCGGGTTAGCAAAAACGTAGACAAGCCAAGGGGCTGACACTGAAAACCCAACTGGATTGGAGAGAACTGTGCATAGCGGCCATATGTTTTTGTTTCTCTGGGGTAAATACCTAAGATTGGGGTATAAGAAACCTAAGGCTGGGTTGTATAAGGAATATATGTATAACTTGATATGAAACTGCCCAACTCTTTCCCTAAGTGGGTGCACTATTTGCATTTTGTGTGTCTACCAGCCCTGCATGAGACAGTTCCGGTTGTTCTGTATGCTCACTAGCGCCGGCTTTATCAGTGTTTTTAATTAGCCATCCGAATAGGTTTGTAGTGGTTTGTCCTGTTGGTTTTAATTTGCATTTCCCTAATGACTAATGACTAACATCTTCTCCAGTGCTTATTGCCATCTGTACACTCCGTTGGTGTGGTGTCAGTTCCAAACTTTTACTTATTTAATCATGGTTTACTTTTTATCAGTGATTTGCAAGTCTTAATATATTATGGGTACTCCTTTATTATACATGTGTTTTGCAAATATTTTCCCTCCGTATGCCACTTACCTTTTGATTTATTAATAGTGTTATTTTGGAGAGCAGGAGTTTTATTTTTATTTTTTTTAAGAATACTTATATTTTTAGAGAGAGGGGAAGGGAGGGAAAAAGAGGGAGAGAAACATCAACGTGTGGTTGCCCCTCATGTGTCCCCTGTTGGGAACTGGCCTGCAACCCAGGCATATGCCCTGACTGGGAATCAAACCAGCGACCCTTTGGTTCATAGGCCAGCGCTCAGTCCACTGCACCACACCAGCCAGGGCTAGTTAGGACTTCTCTGACTTCTGTCATGAATGTTTGTGGTTTGTAGCACGCAAATCTTGCACATATTTTGTCAGATGTATTCCTATACAATGTGTTGTATATAATACCGTTTAAAATTTTTTAATTTCTTGCTTTTTCTACTGCTAGTGTGCAGAAATACTGCTGATTTTTATTTTATTTAAAAAATATATATTTTTTAAGATTAGGTTGATTTGTCTTTAGAGGGGAAGGGAAGGAGAGAGGGAGAGAAATATCAACATATGGTTGCATCCCCCGCTGGGAACTGGCCTGCAACCCAGGCATGTACCCTGACTGGGAATTGAACCTCAATCTTTTGGTTCACAGGCTTGTGCTCAATCCACTGAGCTACACCAGCCAGGGCTTCTTTTAGTGTATTGATCTTGTGGTCTATGACTTTGATCCCCAGTTAGGGCACCTGCCTAGGATGCGGGCTCAGTCCCCAGGTCAGGGACACATATGAGAGGCAACCGCTCGATGGATGTTTCTCTCTCCCCATCAATGTTTCTCTTCCTCTCTCTCTCCCTTCCTCCATTCCTCTCTCCAAAAAAATCAGTAAGCCTGTCCTCAGTGAGGATTAAAAAAACAAACCTCACTCCTCACTCACTTCTCATTCTCTTCTCCCCACCCCAGCCCCTGGTTCCACCAGTGTCTTCCCTGTCTTTATGGCTTTGGTAATTCTGGATATTTATATAAGCGGAAACATAAAACATGTGGTATTTCTTGTCGGACTTTTTTCACTTGGCACAGTCTTTTCATCCCTCTCTGTGGCTGAGTGACACCCACAGCATGGACGTGCCCCTTTATTTTATCCCTTTATCTGTTGACAAGCATTCGGGTGGTAGAAACCCATTTGTGTTGACCATGAATTATGCTGCTGTGGATGTTCACGTGCCAGTTTTTGTTTGAACACGTGTTACCGGTTCTTTTGTGTATATACCTAGAAGCGGAGTTGCTGATATTTCTTTGTTGAACTTCCTGGGGGAACTGCCGAAATGATTTTCACAGCAGCTGCACCATTTCACATTCCCCTAATGACTGATGGTATTGAACTTGGTTGTTGTTTTTTTTTGAATCTTCACCCAAGTACATGTTTTCATTGATTAGAGAGAGAGAGAGAGAAATATTAGTGTGAGGGAGGGAGAAACATCACTTGGTTGCCTCTTGTACTTGCCCCAACCAGAATCAAACCCACAACCTAGGTATGTGCCTGGCTCCGGAATCGAACCGACACCTCTTCCAGACATAAAACAACACTCCAACCAACTGAGCCTCGAAGGCAGGGCACATTGAGCTTCTGTTCACGTGCTTCTTGGCCACGCGTACATCTTTGGAAGGAATGACTCTTTAGTAATGACTTCCACGGCTTCTGCTGCATTGCCTGCCACCCAATCACAGTAAAGTCAGGACGGAGGGGCCTTGCATGAAGACGGAAGTGAAGGTCCTGCCTTCCAAGCCACGGTCCTGAGGACTGTCTGAGCCCAAACAGACACTTCATCACTTTGAAAGAACGCACTGTTGGTCCTTCAGCCTCTGACTATGCAGGATCAGCTTGTATGGCTCTCGGGGACCGTGCATCCCATGGGTGGAAATTTCACTCAAGCTGATGCTGTCGTCCCCGACTTGCTCCTGTTAGACCCCGTGGTCCACGTTCCCCAAGGAGGAAACGGCATCTGAACTCAAGCGATAAGGTTCACAGTTGGGGGAAGGAAATCCTGAGAACTTAGGGCCAATTCGGTGTGCCGCTGTTGTAGCTCCCATTGATGTTTCACTTGTCCTGACTGTGAATGTCCCCTGAGTGTCAGGGGACTGCGGTCCTCCCGACGATGGTCCGCAGAAACAACTCAGAATCCAGAAGGAGTAAGGGAAACCACGACTGTAAGGACGTGAGGGCTGTTCGGAGCACAGGGGCTGTTTGTCAGAACAACAGCGCCATCTGCCGGATGCATCCTCCATGTACATCCCTTTTCAGAGAAGGCAGCTTTTGGTGCTTATGCGCCTCTTGAAAGCCACCCCCTGCCCCCCCGGAGGCCCGGGACTGCCTGCCCTTACATTTCTGTTTTGGCGTAGGTCAACTCCAACCTGACAACTAGTGAGGTCTGAGATGGTTAAATGTAGCTGGTATGTTCAAGAGTGCAGCTGGCTGGTCCTCGTTCATCTGTTTTGCAATGGGAAAGGAGCGGCCACCCCTGACGGCTGTCACAATACAGCCTAGCAAAATTGTTCTGAAGGGAGTTAAACACAGCTAAAAGCTACTAGAGCCATCGTACGCAAAAAAGCAAGCGAACTGTTTGGCCAACCCACGGTAGCTTCAGGTTTAGCCACCAGCGTCCTCTGGTTGGTCCTGTTTCAGGGGTTGGCACACCTGGCCAGCTAAGGATGGCTTTTGCAAATTGAAAGGGTTGTAAGAAACCAAGGAGGCTATGCAGTAGAGACCAAATGTCCCGCAGAGCCAAAACACATTTATGGTCTGGCTCTTTATGGGCAAAGATTTCTGGGTCTCATCTTGGCTACAACCACGTGCTAATGCTGCCTGTGCGGTTTAGTTGAGCCACTGTAACGGCCATCCGGGTCAAGGTTAACACGAGGCACCCTCCCCGGCTGCGAGGCTGTCCTGGCAGAGCTGTGTTTTCCACTTCAGTCCGGTCCAGGGGGACCCCACATTCTCTAAATGACCAAGGTCACCTCCCACACCCTCGTTTCCCCCGCTGAGCTGTGGGAGCACCTCAGATTGGGGGGATGCAAGCCAGACGCCAGCACCCTCGGCCCGCGGATCGAGGAGGTATAACGCAACAGGGACTCGCGAAATGAAAGGATCCCAGGCTCGGAGACTGAGGACGTCCATCCTTTACCCGCCTCAGTCACCGACTGGTTGTTTGACCTCCGTGCCTCTCTCTCTCTCTTCCCTGAGCCTCCCGCAACGTCCAGGAAAGGAGAAGAGGGCGGAGCCCCGTGGAGCGCCCCTCCCTTGCTTTGTGTAAGTATTATCAAAGGCATAGAGGGCTTGACGTGGCACCTGCCACAGCGTCCTCCGTGCCAGGACTTCTCACCCCCATCCTCACACAAAAACGACCTGAGGACTACATCTCTCTGTGACTGAGGATGCATCGTCTTTAAGGCTTTCCTCTTAACCCTGCCAGACACTGCAATGCTAGTTCACGTGACCTCTCTGGGCTCTGAGAGGGGAAGAAAGGCAGAGGTGGGGGCCACGGTGTAAGGGGGGGCCGGGTTCACCCCACCCAGCTCATTTCTGGAGCTGGGTCACCCCAGACCCAGGATCCCTGGAGAGCAAGGCAGGAGGCAAGAGGCCAGGAGGGTGACTCATGGGCAGGGAGGGTCTAGAAGTTTCTGCCTCTGGCCTTTTCAGTGCTCTCCAAATAGGGTTGTAGAAGCTGTTACACTGGGGATGCAAGAAGGGGGGGAAAAAACCCCAGAATTTCTGCTTTAAAAATGTCTATTTTTTAAACCCCAAGAAGCAAAACAAATTAAGCTTCACTGACATTATGTACAGTGGCAGTAGCCCACACATAAATCTTCGACAGATGTTAGGGATATTGTCTCCAAATGTCCCTGAAAGAGTGTGATAAAGAACGTTTAGAGCCCTGGCTGGTGTAGCTCAGTGGATTGAGCACGGGCCTGTGAAGCAAAGGGTCGCTGGTTCAATTCTCAGTCAGGGCACATGCCTGGGTTGCAGGCCAGGTCCCCAGTAGGGGATGCGTGAGAGGCAACCACACATTGATGTTTCTCTCCCACTCTTTCTCCTTCCTATTCCCTCTTTCTAGAAATAAAAATAAAATATGAAAAAAGAAAGAAAAAAGAACGTTTAGAGACCTCCGAGGTGAGTTTAAAGGTGAGGGGGGAGAAGATTTGAGAGGTGACTGGGAACTACAGTGGGTGGTGTGGTGGGAGCGGGTTCAGGGGTCAAGGTCATGACCTTTGGGGTGGGGTGTCCGGGAGAAGAGTTGTTGCACAGGAAGTTTCTAAGGGGAAGGGATTTCTAGAAGGTGCCTCCAGCCCCCGAGCTGCTTTAACTCCATTCGACCCTGGAAGAGCCCAGGTGGTGTTACCCACTCCCACCACCAACTCGAGTCAGCTCCATGTTCCCCAAGACCCCTGGGTCCTGAGCCCTCCAGGGGTGACGCGCCTCCCGGGTCTGAGTGGGTGAGACTCCACCCCAAGTAAGAACAAAGCATGGCCTCCTGCTCGGAGAGGCCCTGTGGACCCTGCGCTGTTCTAGGCACACCACCCTCTTGGTAGTAGTAGTGACACGGTGGTGGGGGACAGATTTAGTGCGATTGCCCAGTGGCCAGCTCAGATTTAGGGGATCCCCCAGGTTGTGGCTTGAGTGATATGGGTTGCTGCGAAGGCTCCCCGCAGCAGCCGAGCTCGACTGCGGGACGAGGAGGGGCCTAGGGACCCGGTGTCTGTGTCTGGACAGCAGAGGGGGGTTGGAGTTATCACATCAGACACGCAGTTCCCGAGAGGCTGGCGATTTGGAGGGCGTGTTGGGGGGGGGGCGGCGCTGGTAGCGGCTCACAGAAGGCATGCTAGCCGCAGCGGGCTGATTTATTGACCTACAGCCTGGCAGTGCGGGCCCCAGTCTGTGAGGGCAGCCCCGCAGGAGTTCGTCACCCATCGATCCAGTTTGGCGGTGGAGGTGGGGGTTGGAGAGAACAGCGTCTCTCTCCATGATAACTGGGAAGTTAGCTCCTGGAAAATGCGGGGAAGCCTGTCCCATCAGGCCTAAGAGCGGGCCCTCCACTTCGCAGGGAGGACGGGGCCAGTAGGTCCAGCCCTGAGAGCCCGTGCAATTGAATCTGCTTCCGTTGATTCTTCTCCAATCTCAGAGCAGGGTGTTCCACTTAGCAGAATCGGTGCAATTCCAGGACAGGAACAGGCTCCCGGACGGTCCGTTTCCTCCCAAGGCCAAACCAGGACGTCATCGGTTGCTAGGTAAGTTTTCCAAGCGCCCCTCCCCTTCCTGTCTGGCAGCATCAGGAAGGATTCCCGTAGCAAAATGGGCTTCAAGGCTGCCAGTGATGGGACGGATTTGCTCCTTGGAAAAATGGGCGGAGGTCACCAGTTACTGAAGAGACTCAGTTTCTTCCTCGGCGTCTCCGCTTCTGTCACTGTTGAGCGTGACTGTTGAGTTTGGGTTCGTTTGCCTCGAAGTGCGCTGGTTCCTCATGGGAAAGACGGAGGTCAAGGAGAAGAGAGGCAGGCTGAACCCGGAGCCTGACGTGCTGTGCCGGCTCCAGGGCAGACTGAACTGCCACAGGGAGTCCAGTTTCGACGATCTGGCCAAGGGCAGGGAGAGCATGCGCGTCGAGCCCTCGAGCCTTCTGTCCTGGGACTTGAAGCTGACCTTCTCTTTGTCGTGGTTAGACCACAGTGAGGGCCTGGTGGACAAGTTTAACTTTTGACTTGGCATCTTTCCGAAGGGCTCTTTGACCTCGTGGTCCTGGAAGTACCACCACTGCCGCAGCGGGTGTACTGGGATGGGCAGGCAGGTGAGGATGCTGAGGAGGGTGACCCAGCCCCGGGTGCTGGGCAGGTAGGGTCGTGTCACTTCTTGGCTCTAGAGGCAGAGGAGGTGTCAGGGTGGGGGGAAGAGGTGTTGGTGGAGTTTTAGTCCATGGGATGTGGAGGATAAGATTCCCCAGGGGTGGGGGGAGCTGACTGGGGGCCCCTGGAGGTCGCAGGAGCACAGATCTAGGGTCCCCGTGGGACGGGAGGTCTGACCGAGGGTCTCCAAGATGGGGGTGGGAGGACAGGGTTGGGGGGTCTCACCAGGCTGCTGTTCCAGGAGATGTAGTGAGGGGGTGTGTTCGAGAACAGACTCGTGAGGCACAGGATGAAGAGGAACAGCAGTCCGAGCAGGGTCACAAAGCGCCACAGGAAGGCGAAGAAGGACCACATCAGGTGGCCCAGATCGCCATACATTTCTTCCCTGAACCTGGGGTGGGGGCATTGGGTGTGGCATCTGGGATGGAGCCCTCCAGAGAACAGGCCCACCAGCCCTCTGCTTCTCTCACAAGTTCTCAACCCAGGAGACAGGACGCTGAGTCCTGCCAGGCCCTGTCCGAGGGGGAGGCCTGCAGCTGATGTCCCTGTGAGGATCCCCCAGTCCAGTGGGCAGGCACTGCTCCAGCAACAGGGGAACCTGAGAACCCTAAGTCCTGACTGCTGCTCCCTCAGGACCCATCCAGTCTCTCCCCTCAGATCACTCCCTCCAGCCGCACCCCACCCCTGGCTCTCAGATTGTCCCCCAACTCTCCTCGGAGACCTGGGATGGGGTCCCTGGCTGGGAAGACCCTGGGACTTGGACATTACCTGTTAGCTCCATAGACCCAGGCCAGAGTTACGTTCTGGAAGGCCACGATGATGATGAGGACCAGTGGGACCACGTGCTCATCAAACAAGGACAGAATGTAGCTGCCTGGCTGACTGGTGAAGACGAGGCTGCCCATAAAACCTCCCAGGCAGATGATCGCTGAGGCAGAGGCAGGTTTGGCCACACTGAGGTCAGTGTGTAGGGCTCGCTCGGTCAGGGGCCCCAGTGAGCCCTGGAGATGGGGGTGGCCTGGTGCGGGGAGGGCAGGGTTTTCACCGGAGGATGCCCAGTACCTGAGAGCAGCAAGGGCTGCTGCCTGAAGATGGAGTTCTGGAGGGGAAAGGCAATGCCTTCCAAGATTTTCATCAAGGTGCTCAGTCCCATGATGAACAGGACAAGGAAGAAGAGGATGGCCCAGAGAGAGGCACTGGGGAGCAACGAGATGGCTTGGGAGAAGGCTGCAAATACCAGGCCAGGGCCCTGCATGAACTGTGGGGGAGAAGGGCTCTGAGGTACTAGAACATCTGGATGGGGGGGGGGGGGAAATTGTGCCGCAATCGATTAGCAATGTCTGTCTAGGGCAGTGGCAAGAGGCACAGGTGGATAGTAAGTGGCAGGGCACTGCGTGTTTGCCCTTCTTGGTTTCACAAGCTGTGTGAGCTTCACCTCTTGGGGCCTCAGTTTCCTCCTATAACAATAGGAGTCCTAGGGTTGGTGTAAGAATACAAGTAGAGTGACAACTTAGCAGAGGCCCTGATACACACAAAGTGGGGGTGAAAGTGTGATTGTAACTGTTACCTGCCTCAGAAGATGCCTGGGGGGAGGGGCAGGAAGCTCCTGAGAAACGCATTTCCCATTGTCTTCTGGGGCCTTTGGGAAGCGCTTTCCCGCCCCCACAAACACACCTTTTCCTCCAGGGTCCTGATGCTGCAGGGTGGGGCGACGCGGATGACCTGGTACTTGAGGTGTTCGGGGAGGTTTTCGATCCAGTTTTGGTAGTCCAGCGGGGCCAGGAGCAGGATGTGTTTGGGAGGCCTGACATCCTGGGGCAGGATCCCCTTGTCTATCAGATTCATCAGATTTATGACACTCCTGAAGGGGAAGGAAAGGAGAGGAAAGGTGGTGGAGACCAGGCTGGCCCTTCTGCTATGGATAAACCAGGGAAACCGAGGCCTGGAAGGGAAACCAGGTTGCCCAAGGTGAGTGCGCCTGGACAAGGGCAACTGGACAGGCACCGGAAATGAGTCCCATGGACTTGAGGTGAGTCACCTGAGGGTTCCAGCTAAGGGGCAGATGTGTGTGCCTCTTCAGAAGCTGGTCCATCTCCTTTAAGTGATTGAATTTGTTGGTGTAAATTTGATCCTGATATTTCATTACTACCCATTTAATGACTACAGAATCTAGAGTGATGGTCCCCTTTTTATTCCTGATATTTTCAATCTGGAGTTTCTTTCTTTTCTATCAGCTACTGAGAGGGAATCGTTGACATTTCCAACTACAATTATGGATTTATCTGAGATTATGGATTTACCTGTTTCTTGCTTTAGCACTGAAAATTTTTTTCTTTATTCTGAAACTCTGTTATGAAGTACATAAATATTTATATAGCCCTGGCTGGTGTAGCTCAGTGGATTGAGCATGGGCCTGCGAACCAGACAATCGAGGTTCGATTCCCAGTCAGGGCACATGCCTGGGTTGCAGGCCAGTTCCGAGCAGGGGACACATGAGAGGCAACCATACATTGATATTTCTCTCCTTCTCTCCTTCCCTTCCTCTCTAAAGATAAATAAATAAAATATTTTAGAAAATAAAAAGAAAAGAAAAGAAAAAAGAAACTAAACAAACAACTAGAACAGGAACAGAATCACAGAAATGGAGATTACATGGAGGGTTATCAGCAGGGGAGGGTGAGGGGGAGAAAGAGGGAAAAGGTACAGAGAATAAGTAGCATAAATGGTAGGTAGAAAATAGACAGGGGGAGGTTAAGAATAGTACAGGAAATGGAGAAGCCAAAAAACGTATGTACGACCCATGAACTAAGGGGGGGAAATGGAACAACTGTAATAGCATAATAAAATATATTTTAAAAAGAAGTGGCTATGAGTACTTGAACTGTGGCTAATATGACCAAGGCAAAATACATTTTACATTAAATGAACTTTTAATTAATTTAAAATTCAAAAGAGCTCTGGCTGGTGTGACTCAGTGGATTCAGTGGCCTGTGAGGGAGAGGGTCACCAGTTTGATTCCCAGTCAGGGCGCATGCGTGGGTTGCGAGCCAGGTCCCCAGTAGGGGGCGTGTGAGAGGCAACCACACATTGATGTTTCTCTCCCTCTCTTTCTCCTTCCCTTCCCATCTCTCTACAAATAAATAAATAAATAAAATCTTAACAAAATAAGATAAAATTTAAAGGATAAGTTTTTCAGGTACTGGGAAACTTTTAAATACATTTGGAAAAACTTGGGTATGTGAAACTGCTTTTCCAATTGCATACTTTTGTAAAATCTAATAGAAACCAAAACGGAATTATTTCCATTTAGTCTCAAGAATTTCACTTAGTACTATCTTGGTAGAGACTTGTTGGTGATGAATTCTCTCATCTTAATCTGAAAATGTCTCCATGTCACTTTCATTGTTAAAGGATATTTTTGCCGGATGTAGAACTCGAGGTTGACAGATCCTTTCCGTATTCTAAAATATTTCATTTCAGCCCTGGCTGGTGTAGCTCAGTGGATTGAGCGCGGGCCTGGGAACCAAGCAACCACGGTTCGATTCCCAGTCAGGGTACATGCCTGGGTTGCAGGCCAGTTCTCTCCCTCTCTCCTTCCTTTCCCCTCTAAAGATAAATAAATAAAATCTTAAAAAAATATATATATATTTCATTTCATTGTCTTCTGACTTCCATTGTTTCTCATGAGAAGTTAGCCATAATTCTTATCATAGTTCTACTGTAGGCAATGTCCTTTTTTAATTCCTTTTTTAAAAATTATTTTTTAAATGTTTATTGATTTTTAGAGAGAGGAAGGGAGAGAAAGAGAAACGTCGATGTGAGAGAGAAACATGGACTGGTTGCCTCCCATACACACCCTGACCAGGAATTGAACCCCCAACCTTTTGGAGTACAAGACGATGCTCCAACCAACCGAGCTACGTTCTACTTATATTTACCTTTTGGAAGTTTGAACACAATGTGCCCAGGTGTGGTCTTTTTGTATTTAGCCTTTGTGTTTGGATTTTCTGAGCTTCTGAGATCTCAGAAATGATGCTTTTAATAAGATCTGGAAATTTGCTCACTATTTAAAAAAGAAATTCTGCCCCAAATCTCTTTCCTTTCCTCTGCAACTCCAATGATACATATGCTAGTCATACAGGTCACTGGTGCTCTGGTTAAGTTTTTCTCATTCTTTTTTCCACCCTCTGCTTCACTTTAGGTTCTGTTTAGCTGTCTTCAAGTTAACTGGTTTTTTGTGTTTTTTATTCTGCTGGTTCCAACCTCTATCAAACAGTCAGTGAAACTGTGTTTTCATGTACATTTTAAGTTCTAAAATTTTCACGGGGTTCTTCTTTAGCTCCCATATCTTTCCGAAAATGTTCCCATTGTCCTCATACATGTTATTCATCTTTTACATCAAACCCTTAACATATTTATAATATGTTAAGGAATTTAATAATGAGAATAGTAGCTTTAAAGTCCTTGTCTGCTAATTCTTTTTTTAATGGTCTTTTATTTTATTTTTAAAGGTGGTTTTATTTATTTTTAGACAGAGGGGAAGGGAGAGGGAAAGAAACATCAATGTGTGGTTGCCTCTCACACGCCCCCTACTGGGGACCTGGCCTGCAACCCAGGCATGTGCCCTGACTGGGAATCAAACTGGTGACCTTTTGCTACACAGGCTGGCACTTAATTCACAGAGCCACACCAGCCAGGGCTTATCTGCTAATTCTCATGTGTGGATAATCTGTGCGTCTTTTTTCTCTCGGCCATGGGTAGCATTTTCCTGGGTTTTGGAATATCTTGAGACTTTTAATTTTATGCTGCACATTTATTTAAAGGAATAATGGAGAAAGGCATATGTCTTTTTTGTTTAGTTTCAATGAGTTTAAGCCTTTTATTTCAACAGGCGCTTGGATAAGCACCAATTATTAAGATTTTTCTAGTTGAGTTGGGTTGATCTGGGGCAGGGTGATAGCATTATTTAGTCGAGTTTTTCCCTCTGCCCTCCTCTAGACCTAAGGGGAGCTCGCTTTACCCTTGGAGCCATGCCCCCAGCTTTCTGCAACCCCAGCAGGGAATAATATCTCTGATGTTGTCATTATGTGAGCCAGAGTGGGTTAGATTGTAGCTTTAGCTTTTTTGGCTTTATCTTTTTTTTTTAATTATAGATTTTATTTATTTGTAGAGAGAGGAGACTTGAACCAGCCACCCTTTACTTCGCAGTCTGGCGCTCAATCCACTGAGCCGCACCAGCCAGGGCTGTTTTGGCTTTACCTTTGTATTTAACTGCAGTGGGGCCATAAACCTGAGCACCATTAAGACTGCGTCCAACTTCCTCTGCTTGCTAGCCCTTGTCTCCTTCCGCCGCTTCAGCCAAATTTCTGGAAGCAATTTGTTGGGTCAAGCAATGTATCTGTGTGTTGGGGGCTCTTTGAGATTCCAATAGCTATGGGCAGCCTGTACTAACATTAAATGCTTGGATGGCTTCTTCTTAGCTGTGCAAAGTCTGTCTGGGGCAGGCCTGCTCTCCCACTCACGTGGCACCGGAAGAAGCACTTACCCCCAGACGTAAAGGCGTGCATAGCTCTTTGCTCACTAGTGATGGGCTCCTTACTCTCTAGGATTTATTTCATTAGGGCTTCTTTATGCCCTTGGCTCTTCAATGACTTTATAAGAAAATGCGATTTTTTTCCTTTTTTTGAAAGATTTTATTTATTTATCTTTAGAGGGGAAGGGAAGGAGAGAAGGAAAGAAATATCAATGTATGGTTGCCTCTCGCGTGTCTCCTGCTTGGAACTGGCCTGCAACCCAGGCATGTGCCCTGACTGGGAATTGAACCGTGGTTGTTTGGTTTGCAGGCCTGTGCTCAATCCACTGAGCTACACCAGTCAGGGCATGATTTTTCTTTTATCCACACTTATAATTGCTGCTACTATGGAAGCATTGCACTTTTGCATCCTTCAACATCCTACCTGGAAAGAGCGATTCCACCTGGGAGCTTTAAAAATCCCAGTGCCTGCCCTGGCTGGTGTAGCTCAGTGGATCGAGGGCAGGCCTGTGAACCAGAGGATCACAGTTCGGTTCCCAGTCAGGGCACATGCCTGGGTTGCAGGCCAGTTCCTAGCAGGGGACACATGAGGGGCAGCCATGCATTGATATTTCTCTCCTTTGTCCTTCCCTTCCCCTCTAAATAAATCCCAGTGCCTGAATGCACCCCAGGCCCAGGAGTGACTGGGATTCGGGCTAGGCCAGTAGCCTCTGGCGGGGGCTCAGAGAGCTGTACTGGCGTCTGCCCTGAGTGAAGAAATTGACTTGGAAATCCTTTGCACACCCTTTGCAATTTCCGGGATGTCTTTGTGCAGTCATGTCTCTGAGACTCTACTTTCTTATCTCTAACGGGGTGGCTACCAGAACATTCCCTTTTTGGCTGTTTTCTCTGAGTTATTCATGTAAATGAGGTGTTATCCTGGTCATCATCACTGGTATTGGAGAGGTTTGAGTTTGACAGCCCTTGGGCCGGGGTGTTGCCAAGGTGCAGGGAGGGGGACCTTTCCGTGGACTGCCAAAGCCGTGATTCCTTACCTACCTCCTAACACAGGCTTCACCACTGCTGGTTGTCCAGAAGCCCAGCACTATAAAGATGAGGGATGTGGTCAGCAACGAGGCCACCAGGTTGGCCAGGGCCACCATGCAGGCCACTTGGATAAAATTCTGGCCTCCGGCCTTGCAGAAGATGTTGATGATGGTGCCCATTCCCAGGCCCAGGGAATAGAGCACGTGGCCTCCTGCCTCCCGCCACATGTCCAGCGAGGCCCAGGCAGAGAGCTGTGGGTGGAGATGGGACCACCAATGAGAGGCCAGAGGGGCAGGCTGGGGCGGAAGGAAAGGAGGTGGAGGGGAAGGACGTTTGGAGAAGTTCTGGGGAGCCACGAGAGGGTGGGAGTGTGGGGTCCCCAGCCTCACCTGTGTGGTCACCATACTCATGAGGCTGGCGGCTGCGCCTTCCAAGAACAGACCTCGGATCAGCAGGCAGATGACGAGGACATAGGGGAGGAATATCGAAAAAAACAGGTTCTGGCCGGGTGGGTCGGGACAGAAACCGGAAGTCAAGAGGGGGCGGGGCGGAGCGAGGAGACAGGGGGCGGGGCGACAGGGGCGGGGCGAGGAGACAGGTGAGCAGGAGTGGAGAGGCGCGGTGAACAGTGTTCAGGTGGCCCGGGTGCAACGCGAGGGAGCTTTAGGGGGATCATTCTAGCGAGACAGCAATATTGTTTGGGGGGAAAATCCACCAATAAGCTGTTGAGGGATGACAGAGGCCAAAAACACAGATGGCGTTTCAACAGTGGTGCGCTGGGACACCATTTATCACGGACCTTGGTTTTGTGGCCTCTGAACTTCCAAGAGCAGGGAGCTGGGCGGGTGTGGGGGGTGCAAGGGCTGCGGGGAATGATTTCATAGGTGAAGGGGGAGGAGATAAAACTGGGGAGAGGCTTTGGGAGAAAGCAACATGGCTAGTGGGAATTTTTAAGTTTGGGGTTGGTTTGTTGGTTTTTGTTCTGGGGTAGGTAAGGTAAACCCCTCATCCTCCCCCTCCCCTGGGGTACTCCTACTAAGCCTTCGGTATATCCGCCTTAGTGGGCGTGGCTTATTTAAGTAAATCCCTTAGTGGGAGGCTGAGAAGAGGCGGTGAGTGGAGCCCGCCTTCGGGGATGCTGGGTGGACGCTGACCGCCCGCAAAGACGCAGGGGCCAGAAGATGTTGGTCAAGTTACCTAAAGGGATCTAAAGACATAAATGTCCCGGGTGCCAAGAGGACGAGTTGGAAGGATGGGCTGGAATAAAGTGGTCTCAGCAGGAAATTCTGAAAGGAATGGATGCCCACCGCCTCCTCTGGGGGTTCACGGGCCCTTTACAAAGGCAGGAAGGTGGAAGGTGCCAGGCTGGGCGTGAGGCTGTGTGTCTGCAGGTCTGTGTGTGTGGTGGTGTGGGGCTGGGCGGCAGGAAAGAGGGAGACAGACAGGTCTCTGTTAAGAGTGACGGACACAGCTGCCTTCAGGAAGACCATCATCCTCAGGACCCCCGCTGGAGAGGCTTGCGGGGGGTCATACCTCAGCTTGTCCTCTGGGTGCATGTGGGGGTCAGAGAAGAGAGGTGGTCGGGAAGGAGTTGGACGGCGTGGGGACAGGGATCCCTGGGTTGTCAGGATGTGCAAAGGTGAGGAGGTCCGGGCATGGTGGGGGGCTTACCGTCAGTGAGGCCTTTATCCCTACGCTCATGAAAATGAAGAGGATCAACCAGACTGTGAAGATGTTCAGGGTAAGTTTGGGGACGAGGGCCTGGACCCCTTCCTCCAGTTGGTCGGAGATGGTCAGGGCGATGTGGTACCAGAAGTACTGGGGGGTCACAGTATTAAGGCAGGAGAAGCCTGTGGGACACAGGCGCTCGGGACACTGGCCTGGAGCCCGGCCCTGTTCTCCCCTCCCCCCCCTCAGCTCTCCCTGTCTCTCGCTCCTTGGCGCCCATGCCTCCCTGCGCCCTGCCAACCCTCTCGCTCCCTCTTCTCACGGGTGATGTTGAAGGTCTTGTTCGTTGTCCGAGGGCATGTGGTCCAGGGCAGGGGATAATGGAAGGAGTAGCGCAGGTAAGCAAGGCTCCAGCCGACGATGGCGCTATGATACATGCTTACCAAGACGCATACCTGCGGGTGGACATCGTGGGCTGGAGGGGTGAGCAGGGTACAGACGGGCGCGGGGGAGGCTTGGAGACCCCCAGGGGGGAAGCCAGGACGGCTCCTGGCCAGGCCCCTTAGTCACCAGAACGTTGGCGTAGCCAATGCCGCCCATCCAGGGGACCAGCTGCTTCCACAGCTGAACGTTGTCCATGCGCAGCCACTGCCCGACGATCATCTCCATGTACAAGAGGGGGATCCCAAACAAGAGGAGCATGAAGAGGTACACCAGGATAAAGTCGCCTGCAGAAGGAAGGCGGGAGCTCTGCTCAGGCAGCCAAGGGTCCTGGCAACCCTCGTCTTTCTCCCCGGGAGTCTGGCTGCCCTCCCCACATGCCTGCCTTGCATCCTTCCGACCCCTCCCTCCACCTCGGGAGCTGCATCCCGGGCCTTACCTCCTCCATTCTGTTGACACAGATAAGGGAAACGCCACAGGTTGCCGAGCCCGATGGTGAAGGCCAGCTGGATCAAGAGAGTCTCGGTGCTTTTAGTCTGCACAAAGGAGCTCTGGGTCTTGGAGGCCAGAGTTTCCTTGGTTGTGAGCTTCAGGGTCAGGGATCTGGAGGTTTGGGGCTCTTGCTTTTCTGTGTCTTTGACTGGATCCATGGCTTTCTTCCCACAGGTCCCCTAACTCCTGGGGGAATCTTGGGGTCACCAAGAATAGCAGGCTTTAAGAATACCTGTCTCAGATACCAGACTGCCAAACTCCACGAGAAAGAAGATTTCTGAGCAACCAGGGCCAGAGGTTATATCTTAACCCTTCTCTCACTAAGGATCGACTTTGGGAAAATACTTTCATCTCTCTGGGACTCAGCTTTTTCTCATCTTACAAAAACAGAAGAGTTTCAAAATATTTAATAACTGTCCGAGCTGGTGTGGCTCAGTGGAATGAGTGCTGGACTGCGAAGCTAAGGGTCGCTGGTTCTATTCCCAGTCAGGGCACTGTGCCTGGGTTGCGGGCCGGGTCCCCAGTAGGGGGCGCATGAGAGGCAACCACACACTGATGTTTCCCTCCCTTTCTTTCTCCCTCCCTTCTCCTCTCTAAAAATAAATAAATAACATCTTTAAAAAATGTAATAACTGTTATGGTATGAACACCGGCCAGTCAGATTGTGAAATAATCTATGCTTTACAACACTATCAATAAAAAAAAATGGAGCAATCATCTGGAATTTAGTGGGTCCTAAACTCCGGGTGTGATCAGAGGAAGACAAAGCGAGAGCTTTCCTAAAAGTGCTGTCAGTTGAATAAGTATTATTGACTATATCTTATTCAACATAGTTAAGCACATAGTAGATAAATATATATTAGTATATACTTTATGAACAGGTGTGTACATTACACATTAGAGACATCTATGTATGTTTACTTCTGTTATACCATGAGTATTTTCCTAATTACAAATTTTAAAAAGTACTTAATAGCTACTTCATCTTCTTTTTAAAAATATTTTATTTATTTATTTTTAGAGAGAGGGGAAGGGAAGGAGAAAGAGAGGGAGAGAAATATCTGTGTGGTTGCCTCTCATGTGGTCCCCACTGGGGACCTGGCCTGCAACCCAGGCATGTGCCCTGACTGGGAATCAAACCGGCGACCCTTTGCTTCACAGGTCCCTGCTCAATCCACTGGGCTATACTATACCAGCCAGGGCTACTTCGTCTTCTTTAAAGTATTTTAATAGCTGCTTAATATGCCAGAGTCCTTATACAAACCCGATCACTGGCCGAAACCTTCCCGGGGGTCCTGCCAGCCCTGATCGGTTTAGCTCGCAGGACCCTTCCTGATCAGCTGTGGCTTCCGGCTCCTGCTCCCACCTCTCGCCCTGCCTTGCGCCCGCCCTTCCCTCTGCCGCCCACGCTCCCTCGGCCTTCACCCCCCGGAGCTGTGCGCCCAGCCCCGGAGCACCCGCCTGGGGTGACGGCCCTGTCACCAGTCCGGTGCTGCCTGGCTCTTCGCTCCCTGCCTTCCTGTCCCCCTGAGGGACGCGCACACAGCGCCCCACCGCACCGGCCCCAGCCCGGGTCACCTGCTGGGAAGGCGGTGTCTCTCCAGGGCCTGCCCACCCGCGACTTCAGCCTCGGTGAGGACGGAGGAAGGCGGAGGACACGAGAGGCGGTTGCGGGGCCAGATGCGCCACCAGACTCCTGCCACCCACTGGCGTTTACCGACCGAACCTCCCCTCCCAGACTCAGGGCGTCGGGGGCCCTAAATTCGTGGAAAGGGAGACGGGAGGGGAGGCTCGGAGGCCTGGGTCCAGAGGTGGAGGGGCCCTGGGCGGAGGAACGGGCGCCTGGCTCCCGGAGAGGTCAGGGGCTGAGGCCAGAACTACCGCACCGCACCGCACCGCCCCCCCGCCCCCCACCCCGTACCCGCCACTGACGCGCGAGTCCAGAGAAGACCCGTCGCTTCCGCGGGCACCAGCGGGGGCGGGGGCTGTGCGCGAGCGATGAGAGGCCGAGGGTCCCCGGGAGCCACCGCTTCGGGAACCACAGGCAGTTTGATTATTTCGCTGCAGCAGGAGGGCGATTTAGACGATTCACTTGGAGAGGCTCAGGCGCCCCCTACAGGCCGCCCGCTCGGCCGCGCTTCATTCCTTGCCCCTGTTCATTCATTCGCGTGGGCCCTTGGCTCGCCTCTCGGGGGGGGGGGTGCCCCTTCCTCGCGGTTTCCTCGAGCGCTGAAACGTGACGTGCTGTGCGCTCAGATGAGAGACACTGTTCACTTTTACCCACCCCTTCCCACCCCATCATCCCGGACTCCCAGGAGTATCTTCTCTTCCAGTTGACCCTGGGAGGATTCTGGGAGCCCCAGGTTCCCGTGTGGATCTGGCCTTGTGTTGGGCAGTGAGGCCACCCGCGGGCGGGCTCATAGTGGGGCTAGGAGACCTAGTGCTGACCCCCTTCCTGGGTTGAGGTAAGGGGAGAGCCAAGGCAGGACCCCAGGTGGGGCCTGTTTCAGCGCTGACGATTTTAAAACAGTCAGGGCTATTTTCATTTTTTAGTGTAAGTCATTTCCTTGTTTTTCAGTTGTAGTTGACTCTGTGTCAGCTTACAAATTAACCATTATTATTTCCCTAGATTTCAGAAAATGTTCGCCTTTTCCTCTTTGCACAAGACCTCACCTCTCTTCTTGCAATGCGCTTTTTTCTGACTCCTATTAGGTGCGTGTTGGACCTTCTCCCACGACCTTCTTAATCTCACATTTGCAATACCGTCATTTCTCTCTGCTGCATTATGGCTAATTTCGTCATGTGTTTCTCCTTGCCCAGTTTTCTAACTGTTTTTTTTTTTTTAAGATTTTATTTATTTGTCTTTAGAGGGGAAGGAGAGAGGGAGAGCAATGTATGGTTGCCTCTAGTGCATCCCCTGCAGGGAACTGGCCTGCAGGGAACCTGCCTGCAACCCAGGCATGTGCCCTGACTGGGAATCGAACTGCGATCCTCTGGTTCACAGGCCATGCTCAATCCACTGAGCTACACCAGCCAGGGCTCTAATTGTTTTTTTTAACCCATCCATTGATATTTTTAATCTCAATGATTTTTTTTATTATTTGTAAATATTCTTTTTCGAATATCCTGATTCTTGAGGAGAATCTCTTCTTCCTCGTTCTTCATTTCATCTACCTCTTTTTGCCTTTATGTTAAGCATATTTCTTTTATGTTGTGTACCTGACAATTCTGCTGTGTTAGGTCTTTATGGGTCTGGTTCCACCTCTTGTTGGTTCTGCTAGTCCTCCCCAGGGCGCCTTGTTTTCTGGAGAATCTTGTGACTTCTTTTGGTGACCTCGTGTTCATTCAAAGTTTCTCTGGGGAATTCCTGGTGGAGGCTGTGTTTCCCCCAGAGGTTATTTGTATTCATTTTGGGGGCAGGTCCTGGGAACAAGGGCCTATCCACCAAGCAGCCTTTATATTCAACTCAATTTGGGTTTCATACTATAGAACCTGTGCAAATTTGAACCAATCTTTTTTTAAAAAAAAAATTATTTTTAGAGAGGGGAAGGGAAGGAGAAAGAGTGGGAGAGAAACATCAGTGTGTGGTTGCCTCTCATGTGTCCCCTACTGGGGACCTGGCCTGCAACCCAGGCATGTGCCCTGACTAGGAATTGAACTGGCAACCCTTTGCTTCACAGGCCCGTGCTCAATCCACTGAGCTACACCAGCCAGGGCTGAACCAATCTTAATGTGAGAAATGGTTTAGGGTTACATTCTCAAAAAAGACAGGACTTCCCCCTCTGATCAGAGATAGGACCTACCTCTTTCATAGAGAGCAGCGCTCTTCAACACTCTACGAATGGGGGTCTCCTTTTCTTTCATGGACCCAAGGCTCTGTCTGTCCCTACCTGCAAAATCAAACTCTCTAAGTTACCAGAGAGTGGCAACTGCCTGAAAGCAGTTACTAGCTTTACCATTTGTTTGTCTCTCGGAATTCGAGCTACGGCTTCATTTTGGCCTCTTAAAAATGTCCCTTACCTCTGGCCGAAATAGCTCAGTTGGGAGAGTGTTAGACTGAAGATCTAAAGATGTCCCTCGATTCCTTGTAAGCTGGCCTATGCAATGAAAGAGGACCGTTAAAATATAATTTATTATAGAGTTTGGGTGTCTTACAATATAGTATGTTTGGTTTCTCTCATTGTATTGTCCCGTTGCCCTGGAAGAAGTCCTCCGCTGGCCCTCTTCTGTCTGCAGTCAGCTTCCGCTCTCCCCGTCATCCCTGGCTAAATACTCTTCAGGGCCCGAAACCATCTGAGGAAAAGCACATGAATTTCTATCAACTTTTAAGCCCCTGTGGTAGACATTTTAAAAAAGAGTTTATTTATTCATTTTTAGAGAGAGGGGAAGAGAAGGAGACGTAGAGGGAGAGAAACGCCAATGTGTGGTCGCCTCTCGCGCGCCCCCTACTGGGGACCCGGCATGCCACCTAGGAATCCAACTGGCGACCCCTGGGCTTGCAGGCTGGCACTCAATCCAATGAGCCGCATCAGCCAGGGCAGCTGCCTTTACCTCTTCTAAGTTCAACTCGCCAGCCAAGAGTTCCACTTCGAAAAACCAGTGAGGTTATGCCGAATGAGCCAAGTATTTATCGCCAGGAGGGGTTACTTACATGGCAGAAAGTGGTTTTTCCCGGGTACGGATTTTATTCTTCTTTTTGCTTTGGCCCACAGGAAGCCGTGGACGGTGCTCTGATGACGTCCTTTCAGCTTTGGGTGTAAAGATAACCAAGGACTGGCTGCGCATCTTGGAGACTGGGGAACACTCGTGCAAGAGTATATACAAGAAGTAGGCAGGGATAGGCAGGACGGTAATGGCACTGAGGATTGTGAGCAAGACTTTGGCCCATGATGGATAACGGCGGACTATTTCAGTGGACTGTGGAGAAAGGGGGAGAAAGGGGGAGGAAGGGTGAGAGGGTCCAGGTTGTCTGAAGTGAGATGCACAAGAGGGATGGGGGAGAGGACCCCAGGCAAGCGACTGCATAACGGAATCCCCAGGGAAGGAGATGGTTCAGTCCCGCAGGCAAAAGCGGGTTGAAAGGTCTGTCCCCACTCCCTAAGCAGGGCGGGGGGGGGGGTGTCTGAGATCTGGGGCCTGAGGAGGAGGCTCACCGTGCTGGAGTTCCAGGCCAAGTAGGTGGTGGGAGTCAGATGCAGGGAGTGAAGGGTACTGGCCAACAGGGTTAGCAGCATAAAGGGTGTCACATAGCACCACAGCCAGTAATAGATCGGGAAGATGGGGCGGCCCAGTATGATAATCAGGTCTGCGAGGAACCTGGGCGGGAGGGTGGGAAGGCTTCGGAAGGGCCGGTGGAGCCTTGCCCAGTCTTAGGGGCGGGGTCCGTCTGAACCTAGCCTAGGAGAGATCCCCCCACAGTTCAAGGGGTGTCCAATCTGCAGCCCAGGATGGCTATGAATTGCGGCCCAACACAAAATCGTAAATGTACTTAAAACATGAGGAGGTTTTTTTTATGATTACGTGTAGCAGTGGATTTGCTGTGTGGCCCAAGACGACTCTTCTTCCAGGGTGGCCCAGAGACCCCAAAAGGTTGGACACCCCCATCCCTGTTTACTTTCAAACCAGTCTTCTCCCCTCTAATCTGTCCCTTTGCGGGCTAATTTCTGTCCCAGCCCCAGGATTAAAAAAAAAAAACAACTATCTCTCTTCACCTTCAGGGTGAAAGCGTGAGGGCCTCACACGGGCCAAAGTACACTTAGGTCGTTTCCTCAAGCCCACGCTGCTTTCTTTGGTACAGCTTCTTAAACCTGTCACATGGGCAAGTCTGGTTCCGGCCGCCCAGAATGCCCTTCCCTTCACCTGTCTAGATTTTATTTCTTTATCTTAGGCAAAGGAGTAATGGAGGGTGAGGGCGGGAGAGGGGAAGAGAAACATGAATGGGGAGAAACATCAATGTGTGGCTGCTTCTCATGCGCCCCCTACTGGGGACCTGGCCCACAACCCAGGCATGTGCCCTGACTAGGAAGCGAACTGCGATCCTTTGGTTCGCAGGCCGGCGCTCAATCCACTGAGCCACACCAGCCAGGGACCTGTCTAGATTCCGTTTGGGCATCTCCTCCTTGGCCAACTCTTCGGTCTTTAGCTGGCAGTCTGCATTTCTACAGTGCCCTTGTCTGCCTCTGCCACAGGCTTATTGCCCTGCCCAAGAATCTGCTTTTCTGTCTTCGTCTTTGGATTCTGAGAGAAGAACCCAAAGACAATGTATCCCAGTATCCCCAGCACTCCTCGCGAGGCCTGCCTGGCGCATGGGAAGCCCTCAGAAATATGTGAGCACAGGCGAGCATGCGAACGAGCCAGCCGATGCCAAAACCACTATCACCTGGGAACGCCACCACCCTGGGACGATGCCATGCTTTTCAAGTGTTAGCATGTGTACCAACCCCTGAGGGGTTTTGTTAAAACGCAGCCGCAGGTGCCAAGGTCTGGGGCGGAGCCTGAGGCTGCGCATTTCTAATAAGCTTCCAGGTGATGCCAATGCTGCTGGTCCACAGAACACACTTTGAGAAGCAAGGGTCCTGACTACCCTGGTGAAAGGGAGGCCTAGCGCCCTGGCTGGTGTGGCTCAGTGGATTGAGCAGTGGTCTGCGAACCAAAGGGTCACCAGTTGGATTCCCAGTCAGGGCACATAGTTGGGCTGTGGGCCGGGTCCCCAGTAGGGGGCGTAGGAGAGGCAGCCACACATTGATGTTTCTCCCCCTCTCTTTCTCTCTCCCTTCCCCTGTTTAAAAGTAAATAAAGAAAATCTTTTTTTTTTTTTTTTTTAATTAAATTTATTTATTTTTTGAATTGATTATGCTGTTACAGTTGTTCTATTCCCCCCCTCCATTCCCCTCCACCCTGCCCCCCCAACCCCACCATTACCCCCTTTAGTTTATGTCCATGTGTCTCAAGTCCTTTAGGTTCTAAATTTCCCAAACTATTCTCGCCCCCCATCTATTTTCTATCTACTGTCTATGCTACCTGTTTTCTGTACCCTTCTCCCCCCATCTCCTCCTCCCATTCCCCTGTTGCTAACCCTCCTTGAGATCTTCATTTCTATGTTTCCACTCCTGCTGTAGCTGTCCTTTGGTTTGCTTTCGTTTTAGGTGTGGTTGTTAATAACTGTGGATTTGTTGTCCTTTCACTGTTCATGTTTCTTTATCTTCTTTTTCTTAGATAAGTCCCTTTAACATTTCATATAATAAGGGCTTGGTGATGATGAACTCCTTGAATTTGGTCTTATCTGAGAAGCACCTTATCTGTCCTTCCATTCTAAATGAAAGTTTTGCTGGGTAGAGCAATCTTGGTTGTAGGTCCTTAGATTTCATGACTTGGAATATTTCTTTCCAGCCCCTTCTTGCTTGTAAGGTCTCTTTTGAGAAATCTGCTGACAGCCTGATGGGGACTCCTTTGTAGGTGATTGTCCCTTTAGCTCTTGCTGCTTCTAGGATTCTTTCCTTCATTTTAATTTTTGGCTAATGTAATTATAATATGCCTTGGTGTGTTTCTTCTTGAGTCCAACTTTTTTGGCACTCTCTGGGCTTCTTGGATTTCTTGGAAGTCTATTTCCTTTGCCAGATTGGGGAAATTTTCTTTTATTATTTGTTCAAATAGTTTTTCCACTGGTGGTTGTGTCTTTCCCCCTTCTGGTACCCCTATAATTCGGATATTGGAGCGTTTAAAGATGTCCTGGAGGTTCCTAAGACTCTCCTCATTTCTTTGAATTCTTGCTCCTTGACTCTTTTCTGCTTGTCCATTATTTGCTTTCTTCTGGACCACTGCATTGATTTGAGTCCCAGTTTCCTTTTCATCTCTATGGGATTCCTGTGGAATTCCATTCATTTCCCTTAATTTAGCCTCCATATGTTTCTCTAATTTGTGGCTGTAAACCACCAAATCTGTAAGGAAGGTGATGACCAGTCTTTTAAACTGTGCGTCTGAGAGTTTTGCTATTTCTTCGTCATTTAGATTTATCTCTGGGGCTTTGAGTTCTGCCTGCGACATTTTTGGTCTGTTCTGGCCCTTTAAGTGGGACAAGCGGCGCCTTGGAGTCCCAGGTCGCTGGGTTGTGACGCTGTATGTGGGGGCGTGGTCAGAGCGGGAAATGGCGGGCCGCCACCGCCGCCGCCGCCGCCGCCGCCGCCGGGCTGGTCCAACTGCTCACTCCCTCACTCGTGCGCACCCAGGCAACCACAGTCAATTCGTTGCCACCGCCTCCCCACTGTGTCGCTCCCCCGGTGGGGTGCTCGGCGGCTCACCAGGTCCAATCCTGGGTTTGGAACCGGCGCGACTGGATTTGCGCGCCCGGATTCGCGCGCCCGGATTCCGCGCCCGGTCCGACCGAGCCCTCCTTTGTAAGTCCTCACCGGAGGCCGGTTTCGCCCCTTACCTAGGTCAGGCTGAAGAATTTGTTGTTAGCGGACTTCCGAAAAATTCAGTTTTCCGTGTTCTGGTTGTGTTTTGTGATGCTAGTATTTAGTTGTCCCTAAACTTGGTTGTGGGAGGAGGCAGGCACATCCAGCTAAACCTCCATCTTGGCGGAAGTCTCAAGAAAATCTTAAAAAGTGTTTCTTTTTTAAAGTAGGGCTGGGGAGCACCTAGGGCTTGATATAGGCTATTCACCGCTTTGCTATTTTACATCAAGTGCCCCCGGAAGCCAGCCCGCGCCTTTCTCCTTCCCGCCTCCCCGGGAGCTGGCCGTGACCCTGGGGGCAGACAGCTGCTGGCGAGGGTGAGAGGGCCTTTGCTTCCTCAGGGTCCTTAGTTGTGTGGGCACCTCAAGAGAGATTCTGGGCTTGGGACCTCACCTCCTGGCCCCATAGATCCAGGCTATGGCCACGTTCTCCAGGATGAGAATGCAGGTGACGGAGAGAGGCGCCCAGTAATCGTCCAGCAGGGTCACGTAGTAGCTGCCCGAGGGCCTCACGAACACGAGGCTGCCCAGGAACATGAGCACACAGAGGCCCACTGGAGGGACAAAGCAGACTCGGGATGTGCGCCGGGCCTTGGGAGTCCCCTGGGGTTCATTATCAGCGGTGGCCACGGGTGGGAGTGGGGCCCTAGGTCAGGGTACCTGTGAGCATCTCTGGGTGTTTCCTAGTGGACGAGAAGGTGTCCTGGAGGGGGGTGACGATGCCCTGCAAGATCCCTATCATGGTGCTCAGTCCCATGGTCACCAGAAACACGAAGATGATGACGGCCCACCAGGGGGATTCGGAAAACACAGAGGTGATGATGGTAATGGCCACGAGGGGCACACCTGGACCCTTTATCACCTGGGAGTGAAGGGAGGCGTGGGGAGGGCTCAGAGCTCCGTCTACAGGGTCCTCGCTTCACTCCTGTCCCCTCCTAGGAAACTGTCTGTAGCGCTTTTTTTTTCTTTATTTTTAGTCAGAGGGGAAGGCAGGGGAGAAACAGAGGGAGGGAACCATCAGTGTGTGGTTGCCTCTCACGCATCCACTACTGGGGACCTAGTTTGCAACTCAGGCATGTGCCCTGACTGGGAATCCAACCGGCGACCCTTTGGTTCACAGGCCGGGGCTCAATCCACTGAGCCACACCAGCCAGAGCCGCTCATGGACGTTATCATGCTCCTCAGGCCTTGAAGCAAAGGGCTTCTTCCTACAACAGCCGCTGGTCTAGCAACGAACTGTTCTGTGTTGCGCTGAACGGGCTTGTGGGACCTTGAGTACTCGGTGCTGTAGAGACTACAGTTGGCTTCTCCCAAAAGGAGACGGCCAAGGTCGTCTTGGTCGTCCAGGGTGCTGCTGGGAACGCCCTACTGGCCGCTACAGACAGACAAGCAGAGCTGCTATTTCTAGCGCCCTGGGGGAGTGAAGGGAGCTCTAGGGCCCCACCCTCCCGGATTCCACCCTCCCCTGCCTACCTTCTCCAACTGCTGAGATAATTCACAATTGGACAAATAGGGTACAAGCTCGCTTCTGACCCGTTCCGGGAGCGCGCCGAACCACATTGGGTAGCTGGAGCTCAAGTCTCGATGCAGGCCGTCAGGGAGGCCGAGCTCAGGGGGCAGCAGCCCGGCAGACACCAGATTCATCACTTGCTCAGCATTCCTGGGGACAGGGGTAGAATCCTTTGAAACCATTTTGGCCTTTGAGACAACCTCTCCGCTCTTCTATTGTAGGTGAGAAGGGAAATCACTAGCTTGGTTTCCGGTCTGGTTTGAAGTAAAGGCTGTGCAGAAGCTGAGGTCCTGAGAATCACGGCCCGTGCGTGTGGCCTGACCCCCAGGGCCCCCATCACAGGGGTGTCCGTGTGAGGCCAGAGAGCTACTGACTTCATGGACCCCTGAATGGGTCTTCCCCGAGGTAGCATTGAGGGTTCCAGGACCCTCATCCCCTCCTGGAAAAACCACAGGCTGACATTGAAGCGACTCCGATTTCTTGACTTGTTGGCCTCTCCAATCTCTTAACTCACAGTGGCTTCATCTGGGACACTCCAGCCACAGTCAGCTAGTGAGCCTTCCGCTTGCCGTGCCGAACCTGGTCTCGGTGTGTACGTGATACTCTCTCTGCCCAGACCCACCCTACTCTGCCCTCATTCATTCTACCCCAGTTCTCTCCCAACACCCGTTCTCCATATGGCAAATCCCTACGAATCCTCGCTCAGCTCTCTGAACTCTATTGGCTGCCATGGAAAGCTATTCAAGGTCTATGTTTAGCCCTGGCTGCTGTGGCTCAGTGGCTTGAGTGCCGGCATGTGTACCAAGGGGTCGCCAGTTCAATTCCAAGTCAATGCACATGCCTAGGTTGTGGGCCAGGTCCCCAGTAGGGGGCGTGCGAGAGGCAACCACACATTGATGTTTCTCTCCCTCTCTTTTCCTTCCCCTCCCCTCTCTCTAAAAATAAATAAAATATTTTTTAAAAAGATTTATGTTTATAAGGTCAAATCAACTAGTTGCAGAAAGTAGTATACTATGATCCAATTATTTAAAAAATGGTGGGGTTTTTTAAAAGATTTTATTTGTTTATCTTTAGAGGGCAAGGGAAGGAGAGAGGGAGAGAAACATCAATGTATGGTTGCCTCTTGTGCGTTCCCTGCTGGGAACTGGCCTTCAGGGAACCGGCCTGCAACCCAGGCATGTGCCTGGACTGGGAATCGAACCTCAATTGTCTGGTTCGCACGCAGGCCCGTGCTCAGTGCACTGAGCTACACCAGCCAGGGCCAAAAATGGTGTAGTTTTATATATTGGTCTATGAGTGCATAATATTTGAGAGAATATGAGCACCGGTTATTTGTCAGGAGACAAGGTCAGCTCAGAACTGCCTCCACCAGGAAGCCTTCTCTGACTGCCTCCAGGAAGTCAGAAACTCCCTCCTCTGGCTCCTTATCCGTTCTAAGGTCAGTTATTATCTAGTTTGTGATGATCTGTTTAGCATCTGCTTCTTCAGAAAACCGTGATTTTTCTGAAATCAGGAAGATGGTCTGATTCACCGTCGGCTGTGTTTCTGCAACTCCACGCGGGGGCTGGCAGATACGGGCTGTTATATCAATAAATATCTGATGAGTGTTTTTTGAAACGAATACCACAGGAGAAGAAAACAGAGGAGAGGCGATGGAGGCTCTGGTGCCGCGGGTGCCCCCATGGTTTTGGTCTAATGGTCCAGCCGAAGGGATCCCCTAATTCTCCCATAGTAGCCTCCAGTTTAAGAATGGGGCAAACAGGCAAAAAACACCTTTAAAACCCTCCAAGTTTGGGGTTTTTCTAGTTTAGAAAGACAGCTCTTAAAGAGATACAGAGATTTTAAGTGTCCCTAAGGTTTAGGACGCCCTCACTTGAGGGACCCATGTTGACCGAGCCAGCATCCCTGAGAAACGGGGTTGTGGGGGGGGGGCCTAGGTTGGATGTCTGTGAGCTACTCCTGAGACTCCGCTGTTTGCGATGACGGGCCCCATGAAAGACGGAGCTCACTTCAGGTAACACTGTTCGTTGGCCTGTGTGGCCAGGTGGCCCATTATGGCAAATACAAACATCGTGGCCATCACTGAGGTCAGCAGGTTGAGCAGGGACACGGTTAAGGCATCCACGACACAATTGTTGGACCGGGTCACGTAGGAGCTGATGGCGGTGAAGCCGCCCAAGCCGGAGCCCATGGACAGGAAGAGGTGGTAGCTTGTGTGACTCCACACTTTCAGAGAGTACAGGGCCGGCACCTGCGGGGAGAAGGGCCGAGGGAGTCAGGATGGGAAGTGGGGGGTGGCGGGATGGAAGATGAGAAGAAGGGAGTGAAAGCAGGAGCTAAGAGGGCCTCTACCAGACAGGGAGTCATACTGTTCCTGACACCCCCAATGGAGGGAGACAAGGATTAAAGGGTAGGGGCACCTCACCTTGGCAGCCAATAAACTCTTCAGACCATATTCCGCCCCGGTCAGCATGAGGCTCCGGATAAAGACACAGAAGAGGATGATGTAGGGAAGGAGTACCAAGACGTACAGCATCTGGGGAGGAAGTGCGCCTCGGAGAGTTCAGCAAAGGCGGAAGCTGGGATAAAAGGGCCAAAACTAGGGGGAGTCACGCCCCCAGCTGGTGTGGCTCAGTGGATTGGCTGCTGGCCTAGGAACTGAAAGGATGGTGGTTCGATTCCCAGTCACGGCACCTCCCTGAGTTGCAGGCCAGGTCTTCAAGTTAGGTGTGTGTGAGAGGCAACTGTATCTCTCACACATCAATGTTTCTCTCCCTCTCTTCCTCCCTTCTTCTCTCTCTCTCTCAAAGTAAATAAAATCTTTAAAAATATATGTATATATTACAATACCTCTAAAAAATAAATAAAATATTTTTTAAAAACTATGGGGAATCAGAAGTCCGATTAAGATGAGTAAGAAGCCAGAGACCTCCAGCTATCAGGTTGGGAGAACATTTGGGGTCTCTGGGGTCCATTGAATTAGTACGTCAGAGGGCCCCTCACCTTCCTGGTGGACTTGAGCCCTTTGATCATGGAGATGCAGACCACTAACCAGGTCACAAAGAGAGAGACGCCGAGATGCATGACAGGCAGCCCGCCGATCTCGATTTCGTCCGTGGCCTTCAAGGCTTGCTCGTACCAGAAGTAGGTGGTGGGATTTGTCCGTGTGCATTTGGGATCTGAGGTGAACTGGCCGTGGAGGAAACGGCAAGACCAGGTGCCCCCCTTCTCCCCTGTGCCTGCCCCTAGTCTCTCCACAATCCTCTTTTCCCTTCACTCCCCTGGCCTCTTCTCAACTCTCCCGCTTGCCCTGTCTTCCCTCTCTCCTCACCAAAATTACTGGAGTTCCTCAGCAACGGGCACATTGCCCAAGGCAGTGGCAACTGAAAAGACTCAACCAAGCAGAAGAGACACCAAGCTACGAACGTGCTGTAGTACAAGCCCACGATGAAGCAGACCTAGGGATCACGGAGACTGCTGGAGGCGGGGGAGGAAGGCAAGCCGGCCACAGGGAGCGGATTTGACAGAGGGAGCTGAAGGGACTTGACCCACGGAACCCACTCCAGGGTGATGGGGATGAAGGGCGGGCCTGCTCAGCCCAGGGCTCCTCACCACGAAATTGGTGTACCCCACGCCACCAGTCCAGGGACTGATGACCTTCCACACGCCAATGCTGCCCTTGCGCATCCTCTGGCCAGCCGCCATCTCCAGCAGGAGCAGAGGGATCTCGATGAAGAGCAGCATAAAGATGTAGATGAGGAGAAAGCTCCCTGTGCAGGGGATTTAAGGAGCGGCTCTGAGAAACATCTGGCCTTTCAGCGCCTGGACTTTTGGGGGTCAGTCCAGGAAAACACGTTCCCTACCAGTGACCTCCGTCAGGGCCACAGGCATCAGGCTTCAACGATTTCCACATCCCTCACAGTCCCAGGTGGCCAGTCCCTGGGCCCCCAGTTCCTAGAAGACCCAGACCCCAGCATCCTGATAAGCCCAAGTCTTCAAATACCCCGCCTTCCACCCTCCCAATGTCCTTCTGTTCATGTGCTTGCCTTCTGCCCCCTTGATGACCCCAACTCCTCAGCCCCTTTCAATCTCCAAGAACTCGCCCCTTCCTGGGCCCAAGATCCCCGGTCCCCAGACTCACCACGTCCATTGTGATAAAACAGATAAGGAAAGCGCCAGATGGAGGTCGGCCCCACGGAGAAGCCCACCTGGGCCAAGAGGTACTCCATCTTATTGTCCCAGCACGGTCGGTCAGTGGCAGCGGCAGCATCCTCTGCCTCATCTGTGCTTATGGCCTCCACTTCTTTGAGATAATTGTCCTCAGACACGGTTGAGGAGCGATCAAAAGTCTGTCCCTCCCTACCTGATTCCACAGACAACGACGCCGACTTTAGAATCTTGGACTGTGAGAAAGTAGACATGGGCGGTTTGGAATCTGAAGCTCTAGACATTTGGGAGGTGTCATCGAAGTCCTCCATGTTTTCTTCTACAGTCTACAACCTGGGTAGGCTCCGACTCACTGTCGACCTGAAGGACACCAAGAACTTGAGCCGTCTGCGCGCATGCGCGCGTGTGGGAAAGACAAGAACTTTCCTGAGCCCTCCCCAACCTTTTTATCCTTATGTGGATAAGAACATGGAGTCTCCACTCTGAAAAAGCTGCCAAGAATACGCCTGCCTCTAGAAAATAATAATTTAAAAAGTAGGAACCTGCATGGTCCTGTCAGGCAGTCCTCACCATGTACGAAGATCTCGGCCTCCAAGGCAGCCACTGACAGCGAGGGCTGTTGGATTTCAGCCTTGGCAACCGGCAACCTGGCCCGGCCTGCGGCTGCTGGATGCTGGGCGAGTGGGAGCGACGCACCGTGCGGCCAGGACTTCCTGCGCACAGCGACTACCACGACCAGCAGCAGCACGTGGGCCTTGGGGGACCCTCTGCTCCTGCCGTCTCGTCCCCCACCCCAGCTGCCACAGGATCCACTCTAGAGAGGAAAGGTTGTATACGGCGGCCAGATGGTGGGGTTCCCGCAGGCCTGCTCCTGGCTTTGCTACCGCTCCCACTTCGGAATCCCGGACAGTGTGCTCACGCTGCGACCGTTTATCTACCCCAATTATGATCTGCGCATACTTTAATATATGCTGCAATCAAAGATTATCTAAAAAATAAACATTGCAAAAACCCTGAATTTCTCTACCGTAAGAATAAACAGAAAGTGGATTTTTTAAAAAAGATTTTATTTATGTACTTATAAATATGTTTGATTGATTATACTATTACAGTTGTCCCATCCCCCCCCTTTATTCCCCTCCACCTTGCACCGCCCCTCCCACCTGCATTCTCCACTTAGTTCATGTCCATGGGTCGTACATATAAGTTCTTCTGCTTCTCCATTTCCTCTACAATTTTTAACCTCCTCCTATTTTCTACCTACCATTTATGCTTTTTATTCCCTGTACCTTTTCTCCCTCTCTCCCACCTCCCCCTCTCCACTGATAACCCTCCGTGTGATCTCCATTTCTGTGATTCTGTTCCTGTTCTGGCACATGTTTGCTTCGTTTGGTTTTTTTTGTTTGTTTGTTTGTGTTTTAAGTGTGGTTGCTAATAACTATGAGTTTGTTGTCATTTTATTGGTCATATTTTTTATCTTCTTTTTCTTAGATAAGTCTCTTTAACATTTCATATAATAAAGGTTTACTGATGATGAACTCCTTTAACTTGACCTTATCTGGGAAGCACTTTATCTGCCCTTCCATTCTTCGCTTCGCAGGCCCATGCTCAATCCACTGAGCTACACCAGCCAGGGCTTGCCCTTCCATTCTAAATGAAAGGTTTGCTGCCTAGAGCAATCTTGGATGGAGGTCCTTGCCTTTCATGACTTGGAATACTTCTTTCCAGCCTCTTCTTGCCTGTAAGGTTTCTTTGGAGAAATCAGCTGATAGTCTTATGATCACTCCTTTGTAGGTAACTGTCTCCTTTTCTCTTGCTGCTTTTAAGATTCTCTCCTTCTCTTTAATCTTGGGTAATGTAATTATGATGGGTCTTGGTGTGTGCTTCCTTGGGTCCAAATTCTCTGGCTTTGTGGGCTTCCTGGAAGTCTATTTCCTTGGCCAGATTGGGGAAGTTCTCCTTCATCATTTTTTTCAAATAAGTTTTTTTTATTTCTTGCTTTTCCTCTTCTTCTTCTGGCACCCCTATGATTCAGATGTTGGAATGTTTAAAGTTCACTCATTTTTTTGAATTCTTGTTTCTTCATTCTGTTCTGATTGAATGTTTATTTCTTCCTTCTGCTCCAAATTGTTGATTCAGGTCCCAGTTTCCTTCCCATCACTGTTGGTTCCCTGTGCATTTTCCTTTAATTCACTTTTCATAGCCTTCACTCATTCCTCTATTTTGCTACCATACTCAACCAATTTTGTGAGCATCTTGATTACCAGTGTTTTGAACTGTGCATCTGATAGGCTGGCTATTTTTTTATCACTTGGTTGTATTTTTTCTGGAGCTTTGATTCATTCTTTCATTTGGGCTTTTTTTTTTTTTTTTTTTTTTTGTCTCAGCGCACCTGTTAAGTAGTAAGGAGCGGGGCCTTAGGTGTTCACCAGGGCGGGGCAACCCACTCACGCTACGGTGTGATGCTGTACGTGGGGGAGGAGTCTGAGAGGGAACAGAGCTGCTTGCTGAGCTGTTCTCCAGCTTTCAGTCACTTCCTCTGCTACCCACAAGCAAATTGGGCCCTTCTGGTGCTGATTCCCAGGTAGGTGGTTTTGTGTACGTTTTAGAACTCTGTGGGTTTCGCCAACAAACTTTCCTGTGAGGCTGGGAGTTTCTCCTTCGGCCTCAACCCTCACAGCTGTTTTCAATCAGAGGTTTGAGGGTTTATTTCCCCGAGCAGGGACCCTGGGTTGTGCAGTCTGTTTTGCTCCCCAGTTGTTCCTCCTGGTTTATCTGCATGCAAATGTGGGGCCACCAGCTTCGCCAATCGCTGCCTTGCTGGGTCCTCCAGCCACCTCCTTGCTGCAAGTCCTCTGTGCCTGGCTGCCCATCTCTGCCCCTCCTACCGGTCTGGATGAGTGTTTCTGCTTTAACTCCTTGGTTGTTGGACTTCCATACAGTCCTGTTTCGTGTCATTTCTGGTTGTTTTTTTTGTTTTTAAATTGGTTGTTCTTCTTTTGGTTGTGTGAGGAGGCACAGTGTGTCTACCTATATCTCCATCTTCGCTGGAAGTCCAAACAACTTGTCATTGAACCTACCCAGGGTGACTGCCTGCTAAAACAAATAAGCAAGCAAAACTCAACATTCTAATGAAGAGAAAACAATAGCTGACATCCGTAGCAGCTTCTCCAGGAGAATGGTGCTGGAGAAGGTATGTAGGATTCTGTGTGGCCAGCCACCCAAATAAATAAGTAAATAAATAAATTCAACATTTTGCTGAGGATATTAACAGGATCCTGAGTCTCACAACATAATATTCAACATTCCCAAGATACAATCTGAAATGTCTCATCTCTTTTTAAAAAATTCTGACCATTTTCTGAAAGAAAAGAGACTCAATTGATGTCTACCCTAAGATAACCCAGATGATAAAATTATTAGACAAAGGGTTTATCATTTTTTTTAAAAGTATGTATTTTTTCCAGCTTTACTGAGGGGTGATTGACAAAAATGGAATATATTTACAAAATACTAAAGATCAGAGCAGAGAGCCATGAAATAGAAAGTAGAAAAAATATATAGAAAGTCAATGAAAGCAAAAGTTGGCTCTTTGAAAAGATCAATAAAGTGACAATGCTTTAGCTAGGTGGACTAAGAAAAGGAAAAAAGAAAGAAAGAAAGAAAGAAAGAAAGAAAGAAAGAAAGAAAGAAAGAAAGAAAGAAAGAAAGAAAGAAAGATGACTTGAAACATTATGCTACGTGAAAGAAGCCAGACACAGAAGGGCTACCAGAATAGGCAAATCTATAGAACAAAAAGTAAATTAGTAGTTGTCTAAGGTGGGGGCTAGAGGCTGGGACATTGGGGTGGTGGCTAAGGGGTGTGGTGCTTCTTTTTTTTTTTAACATTTTGACTTTTGCTGAAAGATTTTTTAATAATTTATCTTTAGAGGGGAAGGGAAGGAGAGGGAGAAAAACATCAATGTATGGTTGCTTCTCATGCATCTCTTGCTGGGAATGGCCTGCAACCCAGGCATGTGCCCTGACTGGGAATCAGACCGCAATCCTCTGGTTTGCAGGCCCACGCTCAATCCACTGAGTTACACCAGCCAGGGCAGGTGTGGTGTTTCTTTTGGGGGTAATGAAAATATGCTAAAATGGACTGTGGTGGTGGTTGCACAGGTCTGTGATATACTAAAAACCATCAACTTGTACTCTGTGAATGGGTGAATCCTAGCTCAATCGAGCAGTTTAAAAAAGATAAAGGTACCAGAAAAAGATCAAATAGGAAAAGCTGAGTACTAACCTAGTATTTGATGATATTACGATTATTGTTATTTGTTTTAGGTGTGATAAGTTTTGTCAGTTTTTTAAAAATTATTTTTAGAGAGAGGGGAAGGGAGAAAGTGAGGGAGAGAAACATCAATGTGTGGTTGCTGCTCTCTAGCGCCCCCTACTGGGGACCCAGCCAGCAACCCAGGCATGTGCCCTCACTGGGCATCGGACCAGAGACCTTTAGTTCACAGGCTAGCACTCAGTCCACTGAGCCACACCAGACAGGGCTTGTCAAGTTTTGTTTGTTTGTTTGTTTACAGGTTCTTATACTTTAGAGATAGGTACTGGCATGTCTACAAGTGAAATGATAAATTTAGGATTTGCTTCAAAATAATGGGGAGGCATGCCGTGAGGTGAGGAGAGATGAAAGCAGACTGGTCATGAGTTGGTCCTTGTTGAAGATAGGTGACGAATACAAAGCCGTTCATTGTTATTCTTTTGTATATGTTTGACAACTTCCCAAATAAAAGGTCTAGAAGCCAAAAGATGAGAATCTTTGTCATGCTCTACCCCTCACTCACTGCGTGAACTCCTTTCTTCCGCATCTCATGATGAAAATGGAGGATGGCAATAACTGTATCTCACACCACTTTTGAGAGGAACAAAAGTGAAGATGTGTAAGATACTTCACCAAGACAGGGGACTCTGTTCTCACAAGGCCAGAGATTCTAACAGAAATCCTTCCACAAGAAAACCTTCTCACACGCTAGGGCGCCCTGAAACGGAACTACAGGCAACAAGGACCCGCAACGCTCCGCAGAGAAGTATCTGTGATAGAAACCGCTCTTCCACTGCGATCGGCACCCCTCCCGCAAAGTGAGAGCTTCCCAATTTAAACAACCCCACTGCCAGGTGCCGTAGGACCTTCAATGAGTGGCCCGAGAAAAGGAAAATCCACGGTGGGAGGAGCGCACGCACCAAAGTCTTCATCCCACTGCCATCGGTTTATCCGGTTAGCCCCTACTTCTCAATACCTCTCCCTGGGTTCTGCTCCCAAAGCGGAGACTGGAGGTTGAGGGCAAGACGAGGATGAGCGCCTGGGCTCCCAAAAGGAAGGAAGTCGAAAACTCAGGCTATCTGATCTTGAGAAGATGCCTGCCTCCTCCCTCATCTCTCCCTCATTCCCCTCTTACCTGACCCTATAGCGGGTCTTCAAGGGGCAGATCGTTTGGGTGGGGGCGGGGCGGGGGAGCGTGAGGGGCGGGGCTACACAGCACCCGAGCCAATGGCTGATGAGGACCAGGAGGTTCACAACCCGCGAGCCTGAGGAGCGTGAAACTGCTGCTTTGGGAAGACCTCAGGGGTCTCGGCTGTTCCTGTTCACCAGACCCACCCCTGGAGTCCTGTGCGCCAAGGAAGGATCAGAAATGTCTTTCTCTTCCTTTGTCACAGAAACTTATGCAGAGGATATCTCCCTGTGGGAGCTAAGCAATCTGAAATCCTGGGACCTCTTGAGCATTTAAAGGGAACCCAACCCCAGCTGGTGGGGCTGAGAGAACTGAGTGCCCACCTGCAAACCAAAGGGTCCCTGGTTCGATTCTTAGTCAGGGAGCAGGGCTGTGTTGTGGGCCAAGAGGCAACTCATTGATGTTTCTCTCACACGTTGATGTTTCTCTATGTCACATTATTAAAATTACTTTTAAAACTGAGAAAATAAAGGAAGCCTATTCCCTGAATCTCTGGGAACCCCAACCGCCTCTACCCACAGCCCTCACCGCAGTCACTGACTGACTCTACCCTCTTTTGGGGAGTACTTCAGCTCAGTCGTGAACTCACCGCTTCCACCAGTTCCTTGAGACCCATTCGATTTTCACCCACTGGGCAAATCCATTTGATTTTAGCCCTGTGGTAACAGGATGTCTCTTACCAAGTAGGTATGGAACCGTGGTGGGCTCAGTAATGCAATAGGGTCGTGTCCAGACTGAGTCTGTGTGGATCACTCAGCCCACGGCAGTCTTGGAAACTCTTACAATAATTTTAGACTCACGACAGGGGTACCACGTCCCATTGGCAAGCACATTAATATCCCTTCCAGCTGTGTTGAAGCCACCATGTCCTAGGTTTTTCTTGGCCAAAGGCCGGTCCTGGATAAAGCAAGTCTAGTGATCTAGCATCTGAATTTGCCACTGTGAGGTAAGGGCAGGAACTTGGGGCTTGGTGTTTAGCTCTCAAAAGGATGGAAGACTCCTGCCCTGGCTGGTGTGGCTCTGTGGCTTGAGAGCCAGCCTGTGAACTAAAGCGTCACTGGTTCGATTCCCAGTCAGGCAACATGCCTGGGTTGTGGGCCAGGTCCCCAGTAGGGGGTGCTCAAGAGGCAGCCACCCATTGCTGTTTCTCGTCCTATCTTTCACCTTCCCCCCTAAAAATGTTTAATAATCTTTAAAAGTATATATTTAAAAAAATGGAAGACTCCTGAGGGTTCAACATTTATGGAAACTCTGAGACACTGAGAGAAAAGAAAAACCAATCAGCTCACACCCAGGGCTTGGTAAGTGGGTTGCTTTATTGGCCAACAGTGTTACCCCTCCGGCTCCACAGCGGTCAGGTTTGGTTGGCATCACCCACTGCGTGTGAGGGGCACGTGCACACACTGAGGAAGGGAGTGGGGAAAATGACGGTGGCAACCAGCGGGGTCTTGAACTAGGGCTGCAATGGCAGGAGTGAACCCCAAGAGCGCCCCGCCCCCCAAATAATGCCCTTGGGAATAAAAGGGAGTTCTGGGTCCGAGGACATCAGCAGTCGTTAGTTGATACTAAGTCGCCTGTTTTACGAGCGGTGTGATGCCGGGTGACATGAAGGAGACTGGGAAGTCACACGGCCGCCGGTGGATCAGCGGTTTGGTTATCATCCTGCAGAACCGACTCCTCTGGCACATCTTTGATGGGCCTGTCCAAGATGGCGGGCTTGAAGGGAATACCTTGGGTGAGGCAGTACACAAAGTACACGGGGATGGGGAGGATGACGATGACGAAAAGGGAGATCATCGAGAGCAGCACCCACGTCGGGTACTGTCTTAACACCTGTTTGGACTGTGGAGAGATGGGAAAGGGGTTCAGAACATCGAAGCTTCCAGAAGAGGAAAGATGGTGGAAGGGGAAGGGTAGCAGGGGAATCAGGGCAGAGAATGAGCGGACACGGTCTCCAGGCAGGAGCGGACTGAAAGGCCGGCCCCACTCTCTGGGGAGGTGTGGGGTCTGGACGGGGAGGCTCACAGTGCTTGAGTCCCAGGCTCGATAGCTTAAGTTCTCCAGAGACAGCAGGATCAGGGTGGCCGCAAGCAGCATCAGCAGCAAAATTGGAGACACAGCACACCACAGCCAGTGGAAGATGGGGTGGATGGAACGGCCCCACAGAATCGCCAAGTCTGCAAGGAATCTGGAGCGAGGGCCGGGAGAATGTGGGAAGTCCGGTCACACCTCACCCTTCACTGGGGGACCAAGGGCAGCCCAACCTTAGTGAGCGCCTTTCTAATACTCTACCCCACTTCCAAACCCCTGCCTCCGCTTAAGCCTCATCTGTTCTTATCTTCTTTTAACACCCCCTCTCAAAAAGTCAAACATTCTGCCCTGGCTTGTGTGGCTCAGTGGATTGAGTACCCACCTGCGAACCAAAGGGTTGCCGGTTTGATTCCCAATCAGGGCACATGCCTGGGTTGCAGGCCAGGTCCCCAATAGGGGGCGTGTGAGAGGCAAGCACACACTGATGCTTCTCTCCCTCTCTTTCTCCTCCCTTTCCCCTCTTTAAAAATAAATAGTTTTTTAATATATATTTTACTTATTTCTCTTTAGAGAGGAAGGGAAGGAGAGAAATACCAATGCATGGTTGCCTCTCGTGAGTCCCCTGCTGGGAACTGGCCTGCACCCCAGGCATGTGCCCTGACTGGGAATCGAACCCAGATACTCTGGTTCACAGGCCCGCGCTCAATCCACCGAGCTACACCAGCCAGGAATAAATAATTTTTTCAAACATTCCTCTACTGCCCCAAAGCCTTTCACGGGTACCCAGTGCCCTCAAGGTAAAGGCCAAGTCCCTTTCATTCATTCCATAAACGCGAGAGTGTGATGTGCCAGGGACTCTTCCAGGTGCTGGGTATCCATCGTGAGCAACACAGACCCCCCCAAAAGTTCATTAACACCCGATGCTGAAGGCACTTTTCTTAGTTTCTTCCAGCCCATGACTCTAGCCTCCTTCAGTGCACACTCCCAAACTTAGTAAGTATACAAGCGGGTCTTTCGGTCTAGACTGCTGTTCTCTGTTCACCTATTCGTCTGTCCAGACTCTGCTCAGTTACCCTCTCCTCTAGGACACGTTCTCTGAGTTTCCAGGTGCCCCGGGGGGCCATCTGTGCTGCAAACTGCCTGCTTGCATACGTTTTCCTCTTTGGACTCGGCTCTTCGAGAGGAGGGGCTCATTCTCACGCGTTCGTACCCTAGTCCCACAAGGCTTTCCCGACACAGCGAGTCTCAAGAAATATTTGCACGGTGACTTAATGAGTGGAACTGACTCCAAGAGCCCCTGTCACCTGAAAATACTGCCCCCTGAACAATCCGCCCTTGAATTGTATAGAAAATGCTGGGCTCTGGGGTCTCTTGGAGGTGCTTTGGGGTCTCCCACTCTTCCGTGCCGCAGTTACCTCGGCCGGTTCCCAGATGCTGCTCTCCTTGCTCCTTCTGCCCTGGTCGCTCTTCCTTGCAGAATCACAGCACGGCTCTCCATCTACCCCCCCAGCCTACACGCCGTTGTCAGCTCCCATTTAAAATACTACAACAGTTCCCTACTCTTCACTTTCCACTTCTCATAGTCGATGTTCCACACAGCAAGTGTATCTTTTCAAAATAAATCAGCTTATGTCTCTCCCCTATTTAAAACGCTCCCGTGCCTCCGCCAGCATCCTGAGTACAAAGCCAAGTCCTCCCATGGCTCACAAGGCCCCGAACGACGTTTCATGACCTCCCTGGTCCCTGCTAACTTGCTCCTCAAAACACGCGCAGGACGCGTCCCTGCCCTTGGTACTTACCGTTCCCTCCGCACGGAATGTACCCGCTTGGAATCTTGTTACGGCTCCTCCTTCCTTTGCTTCACTCAGGCGTCTGTTCAAGTGTCACCTTATCGGAGAGGCCTTCCCTGCCACCCTGTGTCAGCTGACACTCACACGTGCTCCCCTGCTTATTTTACCTTACTTTTGATTTTCTCCTCCACGTTATGACCGCCTAACATTTTCATTTGTTCATTTGGTGACTGTCTGGCTCCTCCGTTAATCGCACACTTCCCGATGACAGGTACACTGCTTTTCCTAGACCCTCTATCCCCACCGGCTGAAAGAGTGCCTGGCACATATTAAGCACTCAATAAATACATTAAAGAAATGAATGAATTCAAAGGTTTCTCAGAAAGCCCTGAAGTGAAGGGTCCCTGTGTCACTGTGGTTGAGTGGGAATGAAGGCAAAAAGAAAGCGCTCAGCCCTGGCTGGTGTCGTTCAGTGGACTGAGCACCAGTCTGACAACCGAAAAGTCACCAGTTTGATTCCCAGTCAGGGCACGTGTCTCGGTTGGGGCCCGGGGCCCAGGTCCCCAGTAGGGGGTGTGTGAGAGTCAACTGGTCAATGTATCTCTTGCACATTGATGTTTCTCTCCCTCTCTTTCTCCCTCCCTTTCCCTCTCTCTAAAAGTAAATAAATAAAATATAAAAGAAAAGAAAGAAAGAAAGAAAGAAAGAAAGAAAGAAAGAAAGAAAGAAAAAAAAAAAGGGGGCCAGCCTTCCCTGTTAGACCCAAGCAAGCACCTCCTCGCTCCGTAGGCCCAGGCCACAGCCACATTTTCAAATGTGACGATGAGAATTATGGGAAGGACCATCCAGTATTCACTCAGCAGTTCCACGTAGTAGATGCCTGAAGGCTGAGTGAAGAAGAGGCCACACAGGAACAGGAGCACAAGGACCAACACTGCGGGGAAACAATGAATCTGGGTCAAGGTCAGAGGTCCGGCTGGCGGAAGAGGATAACTAAGCGGAAGTTATAGCCAGGGTTAGATGCGCGTCTCAGAGAAGCCGGGGGTCATTGCAGGGAGGAGGGCCGCGCAGGCCAGAGTACCTGTGAACAGCTTTGGACACATCCTGAAAGATGAACAGCTGTCCTGGAGTGGCGTGACAATGCCCTGCAGGGTCCCCAGCATGACGTTCAGCCCCAAGGTCAGCAACATCAATAAGTGGAGGATGGTCCAGAAGACAGAGCCAGGAGCAAAGGACATGGCTTCAATAAAAGCCAGGAAGGCAAAGTTTGGGCCCTCCTTCACCTGTTAAGGCGGGGGGGGGGGACAGGTGGAAGTTAAAGTGTTCTCGAACTTAAAAACAACAACAGTACAGACAAAGATACATCCTACCTTCCCTAGCAAATGCTAAACTGACCCTCTCACATGGAAAACCAATCCGCCTAGCATTATTCACAGAAGAAATTCTGCTACTGTTCTTTTTAAAAAAATATTGTATTTATTTATTTTTAGAGAGGGGAAGGGAGGAAGACAGAGAAACAGCAATGTGTGGTTGCTTCTCCCACACCCCCTACTGGGGAACCCCTGCAACCCAGGCACATGCCCCGACTGGGAATGGAACCAGTGACCCTTTGGTTCCTAGGCCAGCACTCAGTCCACTGAGCCACACCAGCCACGGCTACAGGCTACAGGTTATCCTGGTGCTTCTGGGAGTTTCGTTTTTTTTTTCTTCCTGGTACTAATAATAAAAGATGAAATTTCTGTTTTAAAAAGGCATTGAGGCCCTGTCTGATGTGGCTGAGTGGATTGAGTGCTGGCCTGTGAACCAAAGGATCACCAGTTCAATTCCCAATCAGGGTACATGCCCGGGTTGTGGGCCAGGTCCCCGGTAGGGGGTGCAGAAGAGGCAACTACACACTGATGTTTCTCTCTCTTTCTTTCTTTCTCCCTCCCTCTAAAAATAAATCCTTTTTTTTTTTTTTAAAGAAGTCATTGAGGAACTCTCAGCCCAGCTTACCTATTTTTACTGACCTTCAAAAACTGCTTCTCTATGTCACACTCAACCAGGTGGCTGAGAACCCGGCTGTGGATGGGTGGGGGCAGGCTGCTGAGCCAGGCAAAGAAGATGGGGGCCGGGTGCTCCCCCAGGTTTTCAGGGGGTTTGGCCTCAGGAGGCAGTTTCCCCATTATTACCAGACTGGAAAGCGTGTCTGCGTTCCTGGGGGGGGAAAAGAGTTGAGTCACTTAGAACCATTCAGCTCCTTAGGACACCACCTCCTTTTCTCTCATCTTCCATGTAAGAAAGGACATCAGTAGCCTGGCATCACTGATCTGGCCTAGGACAAAGCCAAGAAGGCACCCACCTTCAGCATCATGAACCTGTGTGAACCTGGGGAATTTATAACCATGGGCGCCTCCCGGGCAATGCTTTCCTTCCACCTTCTTGGGATTCTGGGAGAACCTTCTCTAGTGATGAAGCCTATTTATTTACTTATTTATTTTTAGAGAGAGGAAGGGAGGGAGCAAGAGAGAAACATTAACATGCAGTTGCCTCTCACACGCCCCCTACTGGCGACCTGGCCCACAGCCGAAGTGTGTGACCTGACGGGGAATCCAACCAGCAACCCTTTGGTTCTCAGGCCAGCGTCCAATCCACTGAACCACAGCAGCCAGGGCTAGTGCTGCGGTCTCTTATGTGCCCCCCGACCTTCGTCCTTCCTCCCTTCGTAGACTAGGAGCAAAAAGTCAACCTCGCGAGCTTTGCACACGGAGGATGGGGGAGCGCCGTGCACTTCAACGAAGCGTGCATCACCCTCCCACCGAGGTGTGCTACCAGAGAGAACCTGCTTCTTGGGCTTTCTGTAGTTCCCTGAGGCCAAGACGCACCGCTGAGGGGCTGGCCTTACTTTTCACTGCAGCGGTCTGTGATGATGGTGGCCCAGAAGCCCAGGACGCAGAAGATGGCCGGCGTGGCGAGCATCATGCAGCCCAGGTTGACCAGAGCCACGACGAAGGCATCCTGCAGACAGTTGTTGGATGAGTCCACGTACGAGGATAAAGAGACGACGGGGCCATAGCCGAGGCCTAAGGTAAACAAGACTTGGATCCCCGCAAAGCACCACACGGCCACGTCATACAGAGCCGGTATCTTCAAAGAAAGAAGACAAGAACGAGAACAGAGGTCAAAGAAGAGGAGAACCTTAACAAAATAAAGGTGGGGACACAGAAGAAGAAGATGGGGAAAGGCCACCTAAGAACAGACAACAGGATGAGCGAGGAGGGCCTGCAAACCAGAGGATAGAGGTTCGATTCCCAGTCAGGGCACACGCCTGGATGATGGACTAGATCTCCAGTAGGGGGCGCATGAGAGGCAACCACGCACTGATGTTTCTCTCCCTCTCCCCCTCTCTTTTTCTCTCCCTTCCCCTCTCACTAAAAATGAATAAATAAAAATTGAAAAAAAAACAAACTAGACAGTAGGTATCCTCTAAGGCCTGATAGAAGAGTAAGGCAGATATACCTTTACCTTCCAAATCTTCAGATGTTGAAGGCCGAACACCGCTCCCTCCAGCAGGGGCCCCCGGATGAAGAAGCAGAGCAAGATTACGTAGGTCAATGGTACCAACACATACATAACCTGGGTGGAGAGTGGGGCCCGTCAGCAGCCACGTGCCACCGGGGTCCCCCCACAGTCACCAGTGGCGGGAAGTTCTCTGAGTCAGAAATGAGGACTTAGAAGACAGCTTTCAGCCGGGTTCAGGGGCCAGGGAGAGCGAGACCTTAGTAATGACTTCTCAAGAAACAGTCATTTAGGCGAGGGCTGAAAGTATGTGAGACTGTTCAGGAATTCACAAACGGTGGCTCACCTTCCCGAGGGACTTCAGCCCAAATATCACGCAAGTGCCCACCAGACACCAAGACAATAGGTAGAGAATGCTCAGGCCGAGGACTGGCGGCCCGCTGTCCTCGATGCTGTCCGAGGCCTTCAAGGTCGACCGGTACCAGAAGTACATGGAGGGCGTCGTCCGCTGACATTCAGGATCTGAGGGCGTCTGGCTTTGGTTATGACTGCTGGGCGGGGTGGCCCTTCCCCTCTCCGTTAGCGCTTCCCCCACATCCCTTCCCTCTCATTTCTTCTTCCCTCTACTCTCTGCCTCTTCTCTACCCCCCTCACTCCTTAACCCTCTTCCAAATCCCCTTCCCCTCCTCACCAAAGTCACTGGAGTTCTTTAGGAGAGGACAGTGCTCCCAGGGAGTAGAATATTTGAAGGCCTGACACAAATAGGTGAGGATCCAGGCATTGAATACGTTGCAGTACAAGCTGGCAATGAGGCACACCTGTGGGGCCAGGGAGGCGGTGGCTGGGGAGGCGGGACAGGGAAAAACGAGGGAATCTGACAGAGGATGGGGAGGGGGGGCTGAAGGAACTTGACCCATGCAAGTGAAATCGGGGAACCCACTGCAGGACAAGGGCTGGGCTCGGGGCGCAGAGTAGGCTTGGGCAGCCCAGGGCTCCTCACCATGAAGCTGGTGTACCCCACGCCACCGACCCAGGGGCCGATGATCTTCCACACGCCCATGCTGCCCTGGTGCATCCTCTGACCCACAGCCATCTCCAGAAAGAGGAGCGGGATCCCGACCAAGAGCAGCAAGAAGAGGTAGATGATGAAAAAACTCCCTGTGCAGGGCATTTAAGGAAGGAGCCATCTTGGGCTTCTTTGGGAGTCCAAGAAACACCCATCTCCACCCGTGACATCCATCAGAACCACGGGCACCGAGAACTCAACTACTTCCGCATCCCTCACAGTCTCGGGTGCCCGGTCCCTTGGCCCCCGGTTCCTGGAAGGCCCAGATGTGCCCTTTCCACCTGCAGCCCTGAAAAAAGCTTCTAGCCCTTTCACCCTCGCATTCAGATACCCTGCGCCTCCGCCCCTCAGGATGCTGGGGTCCAGGCCCCGCCTCCTCTCCTGCTCCAAGTGCTGAGTCCCTAGCTCTACAGGTCCCAGAGACCTTGGAGTTTTAAGCCCAGCCAGGCTTCTGTCTTGCTAGCCCCTGGTGGACCCACGATTATTCCTGGTCCCCAGACTTACAACCTCCGTTGTGAAGCCACAGGTAGGGAAACCGCCAAAGGTTGATTGCCCTCACGGAGTAGCCCACCTGGGCCAGCATGTACTCAACCTTGTTAGACCAGAGTGGCCGGGTATCAGGGACCTCACTACTCTTCTTCTTCTTCTTCTTCTTCTCTGGCACCTCTGTCTTCTTAATTAAGGGTTTCTGTTTCAGGGGTTGGGCAGATTTCACCCCCAACGTAAAGGTTTTCTTGGGTCGGGTGCCCATTCTCTGTCCCTCAGAAGCCTGAGTCTCCCAGGCCTCAGCCTTTGCAGCTCGGGCTGCCAAAGTCTCAGTATCTGAAGCCCGGGCTGCGAGAGACGCTAGGCCCTTGTTTTCCCAAACTTGGCTCCCTGACAAACTGTCTGAAAGGCTTGAATCAGTAAATGAGGCTGTTTTCACTGAAGACTCCGATGGCTGGGCCTCTGTCTTCACTCCAGGCTCACCCTGTTTGGTATCTTCAGAAAACCCTGAGGAGAGCCTGCTTCCCCGAGTAGACCTGAAGGACACCAGAAACGACATTTTAGATGTTAGAGCCAAGGGCTGCCCGAGCTGCAAAATAATCCTCAACACCTCCTTAAATCAAACCATTCATTTCTGGCCCTGACACTCCGAAAGTTCAAAGCGCCCAAAAAATACTCTCACGTAAGTTTTACTTCTTAGGAGGGCTTTGGTGCAAAGGATCAGGGTAGAGAAAGCAAGCTAACAGCAGTCAGGAATCTCACTCGGTGGGTTTTTGGAAACAAGGGGGGGGTGCCCCCCCACAGAGGGAGACACCATTTTTAGTGGGCTTTTGAGCCAAGGAAACTAATTTCCTATCAAATCTGCCTTGTAGCCTCAGGGAAGTAGTTTTCTCTTTCTCTCTCTGAGCGTCCTCATCTGTAAAACAGCCAGGTCTCTGCTCTATTACCGCCTCACCGGCAATGCCTTCCCTGCCCATCTATCTAAAAATCGTGGTCTCCCTGCGCTGGTGTGGCTCAGCGGATTGAGTGCCGGCCTGTGAACCAAAAGGTGGCCGGTTCAATTCCCAGTCAGGGCACGGACCTGGGTTGCAGGCCAGGTGCCCAGTAGGGAGTGCGCAAGAGGCAACCACACATTGATGTTTCTCTCGCTTTCTCCCTCCCTTCCCTTCTCTCAGAAAATAAATACAGAAAAATGCAGCCTACGTAGCTACTACTCTCTCCATCCCAACCACTTTTATGCTTCCTCACAGTGTCATTCATCTCCGGATGTGATTTACTACTGATTGTTCGTCTAGTTATTGTCTCTCTCCCCCCTCCTCCCTAGCTGTTCCGTCCCCAGCAAGGGGCTGGTGCTGCACCTCATGTTTCCTCTCTCCTTTCTGCGCTTCTGCTCCTCTGACCTTTGGCTGGCTCCTCAAATACTTTATAAGCGAATGGGCAGAGAGCGTACTGAAAAAGAAAAGAAATTAATAAAAACGGGACGCGACAGGTTTACTGGTGAATTCTAACAAATACTTAAGGAAGAAATTATACTCATTCTCTACAGTTTCTCTCAGAGGACAGAAGCTGAGAGAACACCTCCTAACTCGTTCAACAAGATCAGGAGTACCCTGATACCAAGAACAGACAAAAACATTACCGAAAATTACTGAACAAGAGTATAAGAAGAATTATATAAAAGAATTAAAAAAGAATGTATAATCAAGTGGGACTTATCCCAAGTACGTAAGATTGGTTCAACATTGAAAAATTAATTCACGTAGCCCTGGCTGGTGGGGCTCAGTGGATTGAGTGCCGGCCTGGGAACCAAAGGGTTGCGGGCCAGGTCCCCAGTTGGGTGCACTCGAGAGGCAACCACACATTGGTGTTTCTGCCCCTCTCTTTCTCTCTCCCTTCCCCTCTGTGTAAGAATAAATAAAATCTTAAAAAATAAATAAAAATAAAAAGTGTATCCCTTCAAACAAGTTTTAGGGGGTTTTATTTGTTTTTGTTTCTTGTTTGTTTTGTTTTCGCAAATTGGTCATTTTGCCCTTCGGTAAGAGAACTGAGTTTTGGCAAATTGAGACTCTGCAGACTGGTCACTTGGGACACCTACAGGGCCCCTTGCTTTCTGGCTGACACTTCTTCCCAGGCTGGAGCGCTCCTGGTGACTGCCCAGCGTTGCGAGGCCCGGCATCCTCTGTCCCAGCAATCGCCCACCTAGGCCCACGCCGCCTGGGGAGTGCGCCCGCGTCTCCCAGAAATGCCCATTTCCCTCCTTCCTTAGAACTAGGCCGGGGCTGCTGTCCAGGCTCCTCAAGGCACAGGAAATAACCATTTGTCCCCAACAGGCCTATGCCAGGTTGGACTTGGGGTCTGTTGGCTGGGAATGTAAACCGGTGGGTTTCCGCGATGGACAGGGGCTGATGGCCAAGGCTCGCGAAGGCCGGGGCTTGGCGTTGGCTCAAGGTCAGATTCGGTGAGCAAAGGGGCTAAGGCCTACGTCTTGGGCTCCAGAGGAGAGAAAAGGACGGGCCTCTCTGGTCTCTCCATCCCTCGGTTCCACAGAGGCCGAAGCGGGCAGGAGGCTCCAGTCCTGTAGACTGTTGCCCCTTAGAGTGAACCTGGCCTCACGCCCTCCCAACCCTGATCTATGACCATCATTTTGGGGAGATCTAGGTCCAGGTCATGCCTCAAGGTCTGGCCTCTTCAGTCCCGTCAGTTAGGTGAAAACTGAGCAGCTCAGCGACCCTCTCAAGCCACTCACTGTGAGCCTCGTGAGGCTGGCGCACTGGACGCTCCTCGCTCTTCAGCAGCCACCGCCTTTCTTGCAGTTCCTCTGCGCATGCGCTCTCCTCACGTGCCTCCCACGTGACCCAGCAGCCCATTCCACCCTCTGCCCTTTATAACCCCCGGCCTCCTGGCCGCCCCCCTCCCTGCACGTGCACGCCCACATCCACCACGCATGCGCGTGCGCTTCTCTCACTTCACTCTTTGGACCACAGCCCCACCTCCTGCCCCTCGTTTAACGCACGTGCGCACACTCCCGCATGCGTGCACACACTCACAAACACACTTTGTCTCTCTCCCGCCTGCTCTCTCGCCCTCCCTCATATAGTACTCATCCAGAAAAAAAAAAAATCCTTGCGTTTGCCACAACATGGATGAAACAGAGGGCATTACGCTAGGAGAAATGAGCCAAAGACAAAATATTATTTATATGTGAAATCTAAAAAATATATATATTTTTAAATACATTTATTTTATTATATATTTATTTTCTATATTTAGAACAGTAGAATGGTGGTAGCCAGGACCTGGAAATGGGGTAACGCAGGTCCAAGCGTACAACCCTTTACTGCCTACAGTTAATCATGCAGTATTTTTTACTGCAAAGTTGCTAAAAACAGATCTTTGGTGTTCTCAACACACACACAGAGTTAACTGTATGAAATGATGAATCTGTTAATTATCCTGAGTTTGGTAATCATTCCACCATGCATGTGGTTATCAAATCATCATCTTGTCCACTTTAAATTATATATAATATAATCAGATATGTCAATTCTTCAGTATAGCTGGGGAATGGAAGCCCTGAGTCAGAAATCAGAATAGTGTTCATGGATTTTCTTATGACATTAAGAAAAATGACCTGCATTTTGAGCCTTGAAAAATAAAAATAAAAAAGAAAGGATAACAACCCTGGCTGGTGTGGCTCAGTGGATTGAATGCTGGCCTACTAACCAAAAGGTTGGCAGTTCAAATCCCCATCAGGACTGATGCTTGGGTTGCAGGCCAGGTTCCCATTTGTGGGGTAAAGAAGAGGCAACCAATCGATGTTCCTCTCACACATGAATGTTTCTGTCCTTCTCTTTCTCCCTCCCTTCCCCTCTCTCTGAAAATAAATAAATAGTATCTTAGAAAATGAAAAATATATAAATAAAGATTGCCCTGGCCTGGTAGCTCAGCTGGTTAGCGCATCATCCCGATACACCACAGTTGCTAGTCCGATTCCCAGTCAGGGCACAGGTAAGAGTCAACCAATGGGGGAAAAAGGGGTGTGGCTCAGTGGCTTCAGGGCTGCCTGCAAAGGTTGCCGATTCCATGTTTCTCACACAGCTCGATGTTTCTCTCCCTTTCTCCTTCCCTTCTCCTCTCTCTAAAATATAAATAAAGAAATCTTTTTTAAAAAAGAATCAACCGATGAACATATAAATAAGTAGATCAACAAATAGATGTTTCTCTCTTTCCCCTCTCTAAAATCAATCTTTTTTTTTTTTTTTTAAGGATAGCAGATGAGATCCTTCAGAAGAGAGATCTCTAAGAGCGGCTGGTTTGCCAGGGCTTGGGCGGACGTCAGCGTGGCAGGAATGACTCTGACCTATGCCAGATACCTGTGAGGACTCGGGACTTGGTGGGCGTGGGGAGCCAGGGGGGTATTAGGGGAGACCTCGGACGCCACCAGGCCTAGAGCTCGGGCCTAGAGACAGGCAGGGACGGCCAACCGGGATCTCATTGCCCGGGTCCCAGGTTCAATCCTGGCTCCTGGGGAGCCGCTTGCTCTAGGGACCCCCATTGCGGGGGCAGGAAGTAATGCCCGAGGCTCAGCTTCCGCCCAGGGTGTTTTGGCACTGCCCTGCCACTCCTCACACTCCCGGGGACCTTCCCACTTGGGGCCTACAGCACTTTCACTTCCCCCAGGTGCCCAGCCCCTGCCCCTGCCCAGGGGAGCACCTGGCCTGCGCTCTTGCCAAAAACAGGATGCAGACTCTGAGAAAGGGGCGATGACAGAAGTGGGGGGGGGTGTGGGGTTAGGGGTCAGTAGTCCATGGAGAAAGGACAGGCTTGCAGAGAGAAGCATCCAGAAACCCAGAGAGGGAGAAGATAGAGACCCTGAGGTTGGGGGAGACAGACCCCGGGTAGGGAGAGGGGGGGACAGAGACCCACAGCAGGGTGGACAAGAGGCTCAGGAGCAGGACACAGACAGATGCAGACACGGCAGAGCTTAGCAGGCAGTGAGGTCAGAGTGTCTGTGAGGTCGGCTGCTGTCCAGGGCCAGCCTGGGGGCCTGGGGCCCAGAGTAAGTGGCTACAAGCAGATCAGGAGTCCCTGCGGGTCCCCCTCAGCCTGAACCATGAAGACCTTGGAGGGACAGCCCAGCGTGTCCTCAGTGTCCACAAGTTCCAAAGCTCCTCAGGTACTGGTGTGTGTGTGTGTGTGTGTGTGTGTGTGTCCCCGTGGCGTGGGTGAGGGAGACGGGGACAGACTGAGTCAAACCACCTAGTGAGAAGGGGGAGGGGTGGGGCTCTACCCGGGCACTTCCTCTTTCTCCGTGTTCTTCCTTTCTCTGTCTCTCAGCCTGCCCCTGTGTTGTTCAAGGCTTCTCTCTCCCTCTCTCCCTGCTGCCAACCCCTCTTGTGGTCACCCACCCCTGCAGGTGAAGATGTCCTCGGCCCAGGAGAGCTGCCTCAGCCTCATCAAATACCTCCTCTTCGTTTTCAACCTCTTCTTTTTCGTGAGTTGTCTCCTGGCCACCCAGCCTGGCCACCTCCCCTCCCCAACCACCGTCCCTGCCACAGCCGCCACACCTCGTATCCCTCCCTGCCCACCACCCTGTTCTCATCTTCCCCACCCAGGTCCTCGGCAGCCTGGTTTTCTGCTTTGGTATCTGGATCCTCGTGGACAAGAGCAGCTTCGTGTCGTTTGTGGGTGAGGGGGCCGGGGCAGTCGGGGAGGGCCTTCCTGGAGCACGCATGGACCCAGCCTCCCGGCAGGTGGCCTCCTGGGGTCTCCCTTGTTCCAGGGAGCCCCCACGGCGTCCCCACTCCTTAGGCAGCTTCCAGGCCCTGGTGCACAGCTCGCCGCTGCTGCGCCTCTCAAAGCCGCAGTGTCTTCCTCCAACAAATGAGCTGTGTGCACCACTAAGAACAATAATAGTCCTTTCTCGGGCCCTTCCTCTGTGTCAGATCTTGTGCAGGGGCTCATCACACCCTCCCAGAAACCTCTCCTGAGGTTTAGGGCAGGGAAGTCACGCAGGGGGCATCGCACAGCAAGGAAGCCGAAGCGCAACTATAACACCAATAATAATAGTAGGAAAATAACAATGGGGTAATAGTCAAACTCTTAGTGGCTTGTACTGAATAAGTACCACCCTGCATTGAGGACTGGGTTGAACACAGGCCCCCCCCCCAGGGTTCCCTCGGAAACAACCCCAGGAAATAGATATCATAACCCCTTGGGCCTCAGGGAGGTTCAGTGGGCTTATCCAATGTCCTGGAACCAGGCATGGGGCTGAAACTGCTGGGAGAGAGAAGGAGCTGGGGGAGGAAAGAGGGACCGAAAGCAAGAAGGAGACACTGAGACGTGCAGGGAGGGAGAAGGACAGAGGCCCAGCATGGGTCAGGAGCCCAGAAAGAGGCCCCCCCCCAGGATTCTGCTCCCCACCGCGTTGGTGAGGGAAGGGTCTGCCTGGAGTTTTGCGCATAAGACCCAACGTCACTGTCTCTCTTCTCCCACAGGCTTGTCCTTCATGCCCCTGCAGATCTGGTCCAAGGCCCTGGCCATCTCAGGAATTCTCACCATGGGCCTCGCCCTTCTGGGCTGTTTGGGGGCCCTGAAGGAGCTCCGCTGCCTCCTGGGCCTGGTGGGTGAATGCCTCGCCCCTGCTCCCATCTCCTGGGACCACCCCCTTTTCCCCCTTTAAATGAAACCCCTGCCTCCTGGGGAGCCACTCAGCCTGATTGCTCCACTTTGCCCCTCAGTATTTTGGGGTCCTGCTGCTCCTGTTTGTCACGCAGATCACCCTGGGGATCCTCATCTCCACGCAGCGGATCCGGGTGAGCTTTCCCGCCCCACCCCAACCCCCAGCAGCCAGTGGGTGGCAAGAGAAACAGAGGCCGACAGGGCCTGACACACAGAGAAATAAGAGAAACGCCCAAGAGACAAATAGCTGCAAAGACAGAACAATTGCAGGGACCGACAGAGGCACAGAGGTAGACACGGGCAGGAAGAGACAGACATGGAGGAAGACAGACGTAGCAAGAGAGATGACATCCAAAGAGAAACAAACAAAAAGAAAGAAAGGAGAAAACACGAGGAGAAACAGAGACTTGGAGGAAGACATAAACACCTGATGAGAGCTCTCGGGGAAAAAGCGAGAGGAACAAACACAACAGAAATGGGCAGAGAGAGGTTTTGAGGAACAAAGACATAGGTAGTCATTCAGTGAGGAACCGATGAGGGCATGAAGATGCTCAGGGACCCCTTGGGGCTGAGAGCTGGGAGTGACTGGAGTAGGTGGGGCGCAGATGGGGTGGGGAGGTGCTGCGGGCCCACCCTCACTCTCAGCCTCTCAGCTGGAGCGGAAGGTGAAGGACATCATACAGGAGACGATCCGAAACTACTATGCCCACCCAGAGACAACCGAGGCGGAGGAGAGCTGGGACTACGTGCAGTTTCAGGTTGGTGAGCCCCCTGCCCCCAGGAGTAGCCCCCGCCCTCTAGCTCTGGGGCTCCGATGTGGCTCCGCCCTCTGCCTGGAGAAGACTCGGCCCTGTTCCGGGACCCTAATGGAACCCTACCTACCTACTGCCGTGCCTGACGTGGCCTCATGGCCCAGTTGCCAGCCTCCCCCATGCAGACCATGGAAAGGGTTCGTCCCCTGCCTGGAGGAGACTTCAGTCTCTGCCCCAAGGCCCTGGTGCAATTCCTCTCCCTGCCCCTAGTGACTCTGGGTCCCATGGGGTCCAGCCCTCTGAGACTTCATTCCCTGGTCACTCATGGGGGCCTGCTCACCCATCCACCTGCCCCCTAACTGAGGCCGAATTGCACTGCCCACCGAATCTTCCGTCCCCAGGGTAATTCTGCAGCTTCTCCCCAGCCGCAGGTCGCCTGGTGATTTGCCTCTCCCAAGCTCATGTTCCCCTAATGCCCCCTGGCTCTGGCCCTGTCGTGACCGACCCCAGCCTAGTCCACCGGTCCTGCTCCCCCTATTCAGCCCTCTGGTCCCAAAGAGACCACCACCGCCTGGCTCCCTCATCTTCCAAAGTAATCTAGTATCCCTCCAGTCCTGGTCCCTCTGACTCTGTCCCTCTCCCAGCTGCGCTGCTGTGGCTGGAACTCTCCTCAGGACTGGTACCGCGTCCCCAGCATGAGCAGCAACCAGTCGATGTACCAAGTGCCCTGCTCCTGCCGTAACTCGTCGGTGGCCAACTCCTCAGTCTCGAATATGACCTCCCCCACCCAGTTCAGCCGAGTCGGACCACTGGCTCGGCCCCAACACAGTACAGAGCTTTGTGTGATCCCTGCAAACAGCCATACCTATCGAGAGGTGGGAAGGGGAGCGGCCTACCAAAGGGGAGGACCTGCTGGGAGGGGCGTGACCCCAAAAAAGGCGGGGCCACGGCATATGGGCGGGGTCTGCAAGGAGGGTGGGGCTACGAGATAGTATGGCGTAACCTGAGGGGCGGAGCCTATAGATGGTGCCGGTTCTAAGAAAAGACAGGGCTTAGAGAAAAAGGCGTGGGCCTGGGATGTTGACGTAGGGAGGGGTGGGCTTGTACCGAGCGAAGAAACAACAGTACTCTGGTCACTAAGGAAGAGGGGCAAGAGCGAAGCCCAGAAAAAGCCCTAACTTTAACCTTTCTCTACATTCCCAGGGCTGCTCGCGGAGCCTGCAAAAGTGGTTGCACAACAACCTCATCTCCATCGTGGGCATTTGTCTGGGCGTCGGTCTACTCGAGGTAATCTGGTCCCACCCTCACTCGCAATTGGCCGCACAATCAATCCTCAAATAGTCCCGCCCCAAATGCCCGTCCTCCTCTCCGTGGAGTTGCCTGAGTGTTAGAGTTCAGTCGGTACAGACTTTTCCGCTGCTCTGTGCGAGAACCAGCCTGTGAGCCCTGATTGGTTGCACTCAGGGAGACACCCCGCCCTTTCTCGGGAGGCCCCCATTGGTTCTCCTCAGCGACCAACCTCCTTCTATTGGCCGCAATGTCCCCCCCTTTCCCGGCAGGTGAGTGTGGCGGGGCTGAGCCTGCTAGTGCCACGCGGAGCGCTCCGCAGGGAACTGCCACTGCAGGTGCGGGGTGCCGAGGGTTCGTGCCCCGGGCTCGGCCTGAGCACCGATGGCGGTGGCGTGCAGAGCAGCAGCGGGCGTAGCGGCAGTTTGTGGGGTGGCTGGGGCATGGCCGATGCTTGCCCCAACTGGGGGGACAAGGTCCCACAGGGCAAGCTGCCCATGGCCTTGGGGCCCTGGCCGCTTTGGGAGCAAGATGAGGAACAGCCTGGGACCCGGAGCACGGGCGCAGAGGCGGAAGCCGAGACGGAATTACAGGCAGAGGCAGAAAGGGAGACAGATGAGCCTCCAAAATAAAGGACCCTGGGCTTGCTCCTGATCTCACTCCTTTCCACTCTAGACCTGAGTTAGACGCAGCTGGGTTCCTCCTCCCCCACCCTGTTCCCATCTCCCCGACCCTTCCATGACCTCCAGCCCTTTTACCCTTAACCCCACCTCTCTCATATTCTCCCAAACTCCCATCGTGGACCTCATCTTTACTACCAGGCCGGGTTCTCCCTGTAGCCCTGCCCTGCCCAATTCTGGGCCTCATTTTCTTTCCTGGTCCCGCCCCCCACTTTCCTCTCTTAGAACCCCCACCACCCCACCTCCCTGTCGCCGCCACCCTCTCTCCACCGCTCTGATAGCCTCTCCTTTCTCTGTAGCTCAGCTTCATGTCGCTCTCCATATTCCTGTGCAGAAACCTGGACCAACTCTACGACAGACTCGCCCGGTACCGCTAGGCCCCGCCTTCCCCAAAGACCCACCCTGACCCCTTCCCTGACTCCTGTAAATAGTTGCTTAATCCCCAGTTCTCCCCAGCCACTGAGACCTGAGACTCCTCATTCTCCCCCTGGGACCCAGATGTCTGCCTGCCCCACTGCTGTCCCCGATCTCGTGGGACCTGGGGCTTCCTGCCACCAGCTTCCGGCCCCCAAAGATACCTCATTTCTTTGACTCATCCGTCAGCCTACCACTTCCCACAAGATTATTTTCACCCAAACCTCAAATAAATCCCCTGAGTCTTGGTAAAATAACTTTATCCTCTGTCAATACACAAACCAATACAATTTGGGGGTGGGAGGTGGGGGGGTGCGGGGTGGGGCGGGTGGACAATACAGTGACCCGTGGCTCATGTCGAAGAGGGGATGACATTGACAAGCCTCACCCCACTGATCGCCCAGCTGAGAAACAGGGCATGATTCTAACACCATTTATAAATATCTTGTTATATTTTTAAAAAAAACACACACAAGAAAAACATTTCGAGGGCCCGGCTGGCTCTGCTCCTGCACAGAAAGGATTAACCTTCAATATTCAACATCAGGGTCACAGGGTATGAGGGTGGGAAGGAGAAGCCGATTGGGGCGGGGGCGAGGGGCTGAAAAACAGAGAGGACAAGCCAATCTGTAATGAGGTCCCTCCAACGCATCCAGAACCAGAACGCTGGGGGGAGGGCACCTGGTAGAGACTCAGAAACCAGTGCTGTCCCCTCAGGGATGCTCCTGTCCCCAGTCTGGGATGGATGGACAGACTGATCTGTCCCTTTCACACACCCCTGCGAGGTCCCCATATCAGGATGGATCCCTCCTTTCCTCTCAGTCCCTGCCCATTCAACTCAACACCCAGCTTTCAAGGTCCCTTCCTACTAGGGAGCAGCCCCCCCCCCAAAATAAGAAGCCTGAGGAAAGCTGGAGGTCCTTCCTGGGAGGAGGGTATTCCGGGGGTGAGTGGCTTCCGGGGTCCCCCTTTTCAGTCCCTGACCAGGCGGTAGATGTGGTGCTGGGCCCCTCGCTCGCTGGTGGAGACTTCAAAGACGTAGGCAGTGCACAGCAGCAGCTCCTGGGTGTCTCTGTTCGTCACCACCTGCCACGGGGCCAGGGGGAGGGGTTTGTGCTTGGAAGAGAGAAAAGGGACCACCACGCCCCTCCCCCCACCGCCTCAGGCATCACGGGATACCCAGAAAAGGGGTCCCCACCACATCACATTCCCCAGGTGAAAGAGGACCCCAGATCAGTTTCCCAAAAGTCAGAGGGATCCCATCCTATCAGGTTTCCTGGACCAGGGTTAGGTTCCCTGTAAAGGGGGTCCCTTTCTAGCTAAGGATCCACTGTGAGTCCTCCTGATCAGTTTCCCCTGGGAAGGCGGAGCCCCCACCACATCAGTTCCCTGAGTAAAGGGACCCCCGAAGCCAAATGTCAACTGCAGGAACTGCAGGGTTCCCACTGTGTCAGCTCGCCAGGCCAAAGGGCCCCTGGGGCTGAGAGTTTCGGGGCAGGGGGGCACTCCCAGCCCCAGCACAGCACCTGGAGGATGGTGAAGTTCTCCAGCACGCTGTTCATCATATAGCGCTCGGGCAGCTGCCGTAGCTTGTGCAAGAAATTCACTAGGTACTCGCACATGGGCGAGCGCAGCAGGCGGTACACGAACCTCCCGTCTTCTAGCTGAGCACGCTCCGTCTGAGCCAGGGGTGGCGGGGGGGACAATGACTGAGACACACAGGGGTCGCCCCAGGAGCCCAGCCCCACTCCCCACTGCGGTCTTCCCTGTTCCATGGCCCCATCTGCAGTGACAGGACATGGAACACGGAACCCCCCGGGTATCCAACCCGGGACCACTAAGCCTGCAAACCAGAGATTTCCCCCCCAGCCCCTCAACACTGTGCTCTGAACCCTCATGACCTCTGAACTCTGATCTGCAATACTCTCAAACCCTCCAAGGACCCTTCAATGAGATCTCCAAACTCTCTGACCTCTGAACTTGAGACCCCACAAGTCTTCCGCAACCTAACTGTGGCCCCTGAACCTCCTTGCCCTATGAGTTCTTCTAGACTCAGAAGAACCTTTCAAATCAGTGACTGTCAATCTCTGTCCCACCCATCACCTCTGAATCCTCAAACTGACCCCTACCTGCCACTTTAAAATGCCGTATCAGCTGGAAGCCTATGCATTAACTCCCCCATTACCTGAGAATAGGATGCCCCCCCAACCCCACCATGAAGACGCCCCCCAAAGCCTGAGCTGTTGTGGCTCCGGGTCCATTGACTGGCAGCCCACCCAGAGCTCCACCCCTCCGGCCTCACCTCCACCTTCTCCACCACCTGCTTGCCGAAGGAGCAGACCTTGGAGGAGCAGGTGAGCGTCATGTGCTCCAGGCTCTCGTACTGGCTGCTCACGCCGTAGAAGCCACCGCTGCTGCCGCCAGCCCCGACCTCCTCGCCACTCGGACCCCAGTTCAGGTCCGCCTGGCAGGTGGGGAGACACAGATGTAAGTTGGAGGGGGCGTCCTTTATACAGGGTGGGGTCTCTTCTAATGTGACAACTCTGCCCTGTGGCCCCTATAGTTGCCCACCTCGCTGCCTCAGCATTCCAAGTCCCTACCTCTCCAAGGGCCGGTTTCTGGAGAAGACCCCCCCCTTCCATGGGTGCTGCAGAAGTCTGAGACCCCCAAATAATCGTGACTCTCTCTCCCTAGTGAGCCCCCAGCTAAAGGAGCCCTGAGATTCAACTTTTCACTCCTGACGCCCTCAACTCAAGGGCCCAGCCCCTGCCCAGGGCCTGGTTGCTAAGGAAGCCATCGCTCACTCCCTAGCAACCAGAGGCTCTCCTTCAGAGGCCTTCCCCATCCTGGTTGCTAAGACAAGGGGCTACTCCCTAGCAACAGGACCTAGGGAACCCACATTCCTCACCAGAACACTCTCCCGGGCCCTTTCGGCTGATTTGCAGAGGTCAGACCCGTCCGTGACCCCCGTGGCCAAGATGGGCCGCTATGCCAGGTGTGGTCTAATGAAGCGCAAGACCCCCTATCGCCTGTGGCTTAAGCCCCTTGGCCACCTTCCTGGAAGGCACACCTCTTCCTCTTCCTCACTTTCAACTTGACCAGGTCACTCTCCAGGGTGGTCCAGGCCCAACTCCACCCCTCAGCCTGGCAGCAGGGCCTTGTGAAGCCAGACAAAAAAGGGAGGCCTTCCTAGCCACTCCTGCTCATTCCTGCAGGTGCTGGAGGCTTCTAAGGGTCGACCTCCAGACCTAGGACCTGGAGAGTCCTGTGTTAAGCCCTGACAACGCCTACCTCCTCCCCACCACATCCCCAGAGCTGCCTCGGGCCTCCAATCCACACTCTAGAGCCCTTCCTAACCACAGTCGCTTAGGTCCAGCAAGGCCAACAAACTTGAGGCCCTCAGCAGGCTTCCTTCTCAGAGACTAGACCCTTCCACAGTCCTGGTTCCCGCGAGAGCTAAAACGCCCTATGGACCACACTGAGTGAAGCTCTGTAGCATCAGCCACTGTACTGGACACAAAACCAAATGGGCCAAAGAAAGACCCCGATGGACCCTCTTTCTCACCATTATATACATAGCACTTGGCACTGTATATAGTACACACTCAATAAATGACTGTTTAGTAAACACGGGACTTCACGCAGCCACTCCCTGGCCCCTTCAATGGTATCCTCGTGGCCAGGGATTTTCTAATGACAGGGTCTGCTGGGACTTAGCATCCCTCTTAGAAGCCGCCCTCTCCAGGACTCCATTTGCTAAGGGGAGGAAGGCATCCCTTAGCAACTAGGCTTGGTACAGTCGGGTGGGATGTAGGGAAGTCTGAAAGGACACGATCCCCAGGGCCAAACTCCTTAGTGTCCCTTGTGGCAAAGGGGGCTGATACTCTGGGCTCAGGTTGCCCTGGTAGAGCCAGAGGCCTTTGATGGGAGGCCACGTGATGTGTGAGCACTTCTGGTGTTGGTGGCGGAACTCACCCAAAACTTGACCAGGAAGAAGGCATGGGGGGGCCCGCGGTCATACAGCTCCCGCAGACCCCCCTTTTTTTCAGGGAATTTGTCATAGATCTGCCGGACGTCCACACTCTCGAGGGGGGGCGCTCCAGGGCTGGGGCAGTGCTGGCTGATGTGGACGAACAGGTGCCTCTGGTACTGGGGAGGAACAGCCAGAGGTGAGAAGCGGGGGATGGGTGGGAGCCGAGGCCCTCACTGCCCAAGCTAATCTCACACCCCTGTCACCCGCCCCCCAAGAGCTCCTGCCAGTCAGCCGTTCCACCACGTCCACCCAGACATGGCGCCCAACTCCCAGGCACTGTCCCCACTCTCTTCCGCCCCTTTGTTCCCACCTCGGTCCCCAAGCCCTGACCCTACAGCTCAACTCTGCCCTGCCACCTTCTCTCCGCCCTCACAACCCTGTCCTCTCCCACTTTCAACCCCATCTCCTGTGTGGCTTCCCAGCCTCCAGTCTCTCTCTTCCCTGGTTCATCACGCACATGGTTCTAGAGCAGACCCTCAACCTCTCCTGCTCATAATCCTGCCCTGGCTCCCCAGTGCCCCCAGGACAAAGCCCAGACCCCTCCACCTGGCTATTTTTTGAACAGTTGTTCATAAATCTTCCATCAATAGATGGATGGATGGGAATCCACCGAGCCCACACCAAGACTTCCTCTGTTTGCATTCTTATCACTTCACTTCCTGTCCTTATCCTGAAACCTTCCCCATCTTTTCTTCTGATATGAATCTTCCTCCATCTTTCCAGGTCACGCACATCTACCTCTTTCTGGAAGCCTCCGCTGATGACAAACAGATGGGATCTCCCCACCATCTCCATGGTTCCCTGCCACCTGGCTCTCTCAGCTTGGCAAAGGCAGCTCCTCCAGAACCGGCACGTGCCCACCTGTCCACAGCCTCGTCAGCTTCCCACCCTACTCAGTGACTTCTTACCACAAGGGCCTCAACGCTGTTTGCATCTCTGTGCCTGAAACATCCAGTTCTGCGCACGGCAAACTCCTATGTAACCCTCAAAGTGCAACTCAAATGCCGCCACCTCAGGGAAGCCTTCCCTGATCCTCCAGGCAGCATCAGGCCTCTGTACACCCACAGAAACTTGACCTTCCCCCATCCCACCACGTACTCGTTATTCAACAGACAGCTACCGAGAATCTACAGTCTAGAGCCACTACTCTGAGTCCCAGAGCTACAAGGTCAAGTCCCTGACCTCCTGGAGCTCACAATCTACTGGCAGAGGCAGAAAAAAATTTTTAATCATCTTGTGGATAACATAAATTTCAGAGAGTAATGTATGCTATGAAAGAAACCCTAATAAATCACAGTAGGCGGGGGGAGAGGGACGGCAGCTAGTGTTTTCCGTAAGGTAGTCCAGGGAAGCCAACCTGAGAGGCTAATCAAGCAGGGCCCTGAATGGAGGCACAGAGTGGGGAGAGCTGGGGAAAGCACACGCCGGGCAGCAGGAACAACAGATACAAAGGCTCTGAAGCCAGAGGGGGCCTGACGTGTTTGAGAAAGGGCGTGGAGGCCAGTGTGGCCAGGGCAGAGCAGAAGAGGGTGAGGGTGCAGGAGGAGAGGGCAAGGCAGGAACGGGGGTCAGATCGTGCAGCACTTTGTGGGCGAATAAAGGACTTGAGTTTTTCCTCCAAGTGAGATGGGAGGGTTTTAACCTGGTCTGACTTGGGTTTTACCAAGACCACTATATATAGTAATTGTTTTTTGTGTGGTTACTGCAGACGGTGTGTTCACAAACGCTTTTCACACTGCTCAACTACATTTCCCAGATGCCCCTGCAGTTATGTGCTGTCACATGACTAAGTCCTGGCCAATGGGATGTGAGCAGACCTGATAGTTGCCACTTCCCTGTCAGACCTATAAAATCTCACTCTCTCCCTTCCACCATCTGCCAGCCAGATGCAGAGAATCTAGCCACAGATGCTGAAACCCTAGAAAATGGCAGAGCCACAAAATGGAAGAAGCGTAGATTCCCAGCATTGCTGTGTGGAGGGCTCCTGCTGACCGCCCACACTGGAATGGCACATAAGTGAGCAATTTCTGTGATGTTCAGTCCCTACGTGATGGGGTTATCTCCTCTGTCAGCTCACCCTGACTCATATGGCCTCCATCTCCGTCCTAGGTCAGGAAAAGCTCGAACTTAGAAACAAGATCCACTTTTGCAAGTTCCCCATGTCCTCCCCAAAGCCTGGTGCACAGTAGGCACTCAGAAGTGTTTGAACGAGTAAATTATGTTCTGGAGAGTTTCTCTGACCTCCTGCACCCATGACCTCATGACCTTCCAGTTCCTCTATGCTAGGAGCTGTCAGAGTGTGGTCCTCCGACCAGCAGCTGCAGCAGCATCACCTGGGAGCTTGTAAGAAATGCAAATTCTCAGGCCCCACAGCAAACCTACTGAATCGCATATTCTGAGAGTAAGACTCAGCGATCTGTGTTTTAATATGCCCTCCATGTCATTCTGATACATGCTAAAGCCTGATGCTTTCCCTTCCCATAACCCTCTACATTCCAAAACACCTACAGAGACTGTCCCAAAATTGCACTCACAGAGTCAACTGCATCCGGGGGTTCCACAAAGGCTGAGAATTCCACCAGCTGTAACCGGGCAGTGCCCAGGGCCCGAGCCTGCCAGGCTGGGGGTGATGGGGCTGGTGGGGGCAGGGCAGGGGGTGAGAGGGCTTGGGGGGGCTCGTACCCTAGGGAAAGAAGAACAAACAATAAAAATTGCTAACATTTATGGAATACATCAAGCACTGTTCTCTCTTGCCTGCCTCCACTTAGAAGCTGAAAAAGCTAAATACTCACTTTCCCAGCCTCCCTTGCAGCTAGAGGTGGCCATGTGACACAGTTCTGGCCAATGAGACGTTAGGGGAAATCTGCTCGGGGGCTTCTGGGAAGGAGTTTCTTCCTGAATGAAAAAGACAGAACTTTGGGAGGCAAAAGCTTTTGGTTCTTGTCAAGTCCAGCTTGGGACATGATGCCTGGAGTCACAGTAGCCATCTCAGTAAGCAGAGGCCGAGGGACCCATAGAGATGCTAGTCCTGATATTGCTTGGCTGCTCAGCCAGCACATTAGCAGCCCACCTTCAGATTTTTTATGTGGAATCATGAAAACCTTTTTGTTTATGGCACTACTCATTTGAGTATCGTTATTTGCAGCCGAGAGTATTCCTAATTAATGAGTCTATGGAACCTAAGTGTGATTTTTTTTTTTTATTAATGTGAGTTCATAGGATTATATCAGCATGGACTTCTGGAAGCCTTCTTTGTAGCCAGATGGACAGAGCCTACCTGGCGATAAAGCTACCAGAAGGAAGAACCAAACACGTCCTGATTTGAACCCTCGGATCCAGCCATACCTGAAGCTCTAACTCCTGAAATATCAGTTACAGGTACCAATACATTCCGTCTAATTATTATTGTTGTTGTTTTTGTCATCTAGCTTGACTTGAGTTTCTGTCACTTGCAGCTGAAAAAAATCTTGACTGATACACCTCCCAATGTCCCTTAGGCTAAGCAAGTGACAAACCTTAGGCTGACAGAACACAAACCCAGCATGTCTAGCTACAGATGCCATGCTCTCACCCACTACAAATTCTGTCACTCATCCTTCTACACCCCCACGCACCCTGCCTCAGAGCTGGACGTCACTAGAAATGTGTCCCCTGGTTAATGGAAGGTTAAAGGAGAGATAATTAGGGGCGGCAAGAGAGACAGGAGCCCAGGGAGGGTGGAGATCAGGCTCTTACCTGGGAGGTCAGTAGATGGGGGAGTCAGTGACAAGGAGAACGGTGTCTGGGAGAATGGCTTCACACTGTGGGAGAAAGGAGGCTGGGGGTCAGCAGGTGGAACGATGCTAATCACGATGCTGATCATGCCAGCTACTGTGTATTGAGGGGTCAGGACAAGCTGGACCCTGTGCTGCTACATGGGACGTGAACGTGTTTATCGAAGCGTCACACCAATGACGTAGGTGTGATTACTGCTCTTCTCATTTGCACAAGTGAAACCTGAGGCACGCGGTGGTTAGCAGGCCCACCCAGTCCTGCAGCTGGGCACAGTGCAGCCTGGGCTCGGACCAGGTCAGTGCCAACCACGAAGCCTGGGGTCTTGATGATAGTGGGGTACCTCTCACAAAATGGCAGAAAGAGAACAGAAATGGGGTCTCAATGGGTGGGGAGAAGAGGAAGTTTGGAGAAAGAGGAGGCTGAAGGGTCAAGAGGTTGGGGAGATAATAACCAGCAGCCCAGAAGTGGGGCATCGGGCTGAACTCTGGGGTGAGGCAGCAGCACAACAGAGTCCCACACACTGTGTCCAGCAGAAATGTCTGCCTGCAGCCCTGGCTGGTGTGGCTCAGTGGACTGAGAGCTGGCCTGCGAACTGAAGGGTCTCTGGTTCGATTCCCAGTCAAGGCACAAGGCTGGGTTGTGGGCCAGGTCCCCAGTAAGGGGTGTGTGAGAGGCAACCACACACTGATATTTCTCTCCCTCCCTTTCTCCTTCCCTTCCCCTCTCTAAAAATAAATAAAATCTTTTAAAAAATATTTGTGATGATGGAAATATTCTGTATGTGTGCCATCTAATACTGTAGCCTCAGACCACATGCGAATGACCACACGACCTATAACCACTGCCTAAGGAACCGAAATTTTTATTTCATTTAATTTGAATTAACGTAAATTTCATTAACCACATGTGGCTAGTGGCTATAGTATCTGATAGCATAACTCTAAAAGCCAATGACCTATTAGTATCCCAGGAGATGGTGGTGGGGAGACTGAGAGGTCAGAGGTCAGGGAGCCTGAGGTCAGAGGTCAGTAAGAGGCCAAAGGTCCAAAGATCAAGATCAGAAAGATACAAATGCCAGGGGCTTTCAGGCTTCAACTCCCAAGGCCCTTGACCTAGTCCTTGCCACCCCATGTCTGAAATTTGAACTCCAGAACCCTACCACTGACACCCTCTTGTCACCAGGCCACTGCCCACATGCCATCTCCTCAGAGGCCTTCCTGACTCCTGTCTAAATACAGCACTCTCACCCTGCTGTATTTTCCACACTTATTCCTCTCTTATTGATGCTAATTTCCCTGTTTACATCTTCACTGTCTGCCTCCTCCCCTCCCCAAGTATCAAAGCTCCAAGAAGGCAGGAATTCTCTCTGACCTGTTCAATGCTGTGTCCCCAAGCCAAGCAGAGTAACAGGCACTTAGTAGATGCTCAGTAAACATTTGACTGACTGACCAATGGCTTAACGCTGGCCTTCTCTCAGTTCCTGACACTCACCACTTTCCTACCGCAGGGCCTTGGCACATGCTGTTTTCTCTGCCTAAAATATTCCCATCCTCTCTCTTCACCTGGCAAAGTCCTACTTAGCCTTCAACGTTATGTCCTCAGAGGGACACTCCCATAACGCTCCTCACCCCAGAACCTTCACACCACATCACACAGGCCCTTCACTTTTGTGTCTGTGCACGTGATCTAATGCACATCCATCTCCCCAGTTTGACTGACAGCTCCGTGAGAGGCAGAGCCCCAGTGACCAGTGTGGTATATGCTGAACGACCCTCCTTCCAGATCAGCCTCCTCCCTGGCACACCTGTGGCTCCTTTGGCTCTGGGGACTTGTTCAGCTTTTCCTGGTCCCCACCCGGCAGCACCTTCCCTTTGAACCTTCTTCTCCCCCAGCCTGGAGATCCCACGGCCTGTCACTTACTCCTTCTCTGGTGACACCCTCAACCCTCCTGCCTCACAGTCCAGAGGCACCCAGCCCAGGCCCACTGACTCCTTTCTGGGCTGAAAACTGTCCTTCCCATGTGCCCCTGGGGCCCCTTTCTATTCTTCTAGGCTAGACACATACACACTGTCACCCTCATGGTCCTAAAAAGGACACTCCTATTTACCTCTGAGGCCTACTTTCTTTCTTCTGACTCTGAGAGAAGATAAGGACCCGGGCTCAGGCCAAAGAAACAGCTCTATGGAATGAGAACACACCTTCCCATGAGCCTCCGGGGCTCCACTCAACCCTTCCGGGAGCCTCTGGACCTACAGCTGCTTTTCCCATGAACCTCTGGGGCCCAGCCAATCTCACTACAAGGCCACTGTCCCCGTGGACATCCTCCAGGCCTCCCACAATCATCAAGTCCCAGCTGAGCTCACTTTTTCCCAGACCCACTCCTCCCCCAGGGTGGCCTCCCAACCCCTAGCACCAGCCAGAGCTCAGGCGCTGTCCCTGGCCCCTCCCCCTCCTCGGTATCCTAGTCTCGTTCTTCAGACCATCGTCCCCTCACCCTCCTGCCTGAGTTCAACTCCAAGTAGCCCGGCTCCAGAATCCCTGTTCACGGGGCAGCTGGGAACTGGGAGGTGGGGTGAGAAAAGCCTGAGGGAGAGAGTGGGGGTGGGAGTCAGGTGCAGAGGCAGAACAGAAAGTACTCACTCTGGAACATTCCAGGGGGTCCCGGAGCTCCCTGACCAAAACTGGAAAAGCTCAGAGGCCTGGAGATGAGACAAAGGTTGGGGGTCAGCCAGTTACTCTCCTGTTGAAACTACACCCCCCCCCACCCTCCAGCCCTGAACCCCACAGTCCCCAATCCAAGCCACCTGAGGACCGGCGGGACCCAGTTTGGCCTGCAGGGAAGGGGCCGAGATGAGCTGGGCCGAGGACATGGTGGCCATTGTCTGGAACGCCTTATCCTTGGAAACCTGGTCCTGGAGGAGATGTCGAAAGGCCGTGTCAGTGGGGAGTTTCAGCAGCCACAGTGAGGGTGGAGACAATGACAGGGCAGGGCAAGCGCAGGGAGGTGCGAAGCTGGGGGGTCAAGGCAAAGGAATGTGTGGGTTCGGGCAGTGGGTGGGAGGATGGGCAGAGGGACTTACCACATTCAGGGCCTGCCCACGGGGGGTGGGGGAAGATGGCGAAGAAGGAAAGAAAACAGGATTTAGGAAGCGAGGCCTGGACGCCCCACCTTCCTGCCCTGCCAACCCCGACAGCCCTGCCGCCTGAGCTGGCCAAGGAGAGAAAGGCAGAATGAAGGATGAATATGCAAAAGAGGGAGCCAGGCCTAGACGGGGGACAGAGGTTCCCAATGCCCAGAATAAAAGACGGTAATGAGGGTTTCTAAGTCAATAAAGAGCCAGACAGAAGTGAAGGTTTCCGGTTAAGCAGGCAACAGGAAATGAGAATTTCAGACCCGAGGGGAATAGGCGGTGAACATTTCGTAGCCAGGACAGGACAGAGGGGAACAGTGAACTCCAGACAAGAACAAGACCAGAGGGAAGGTGTTTAGACCTAGAGAGAAAGGAAGGGGAGGCTTCTGGGAACAAATAAAAGGAACAGGAAGTGGTGGTCCCCAAGTGCAAAGAAAGAGACAGAAAGACTCCATACTCAGGAGGGGTCAAAAATGAGGATCTTTGGCCAAGAGGGAACAGGAAATGCAGAGGAACGAGAAACAAAAAGGGATGTCAAGAGCTCCAAAAGGAAACGAAGCAATCTGGCTCGGAACACACAGGCAGGCCACACAGGGACAGGGACATGGGCAGGTGAACCAGCGCCCAGACGCTGGAGGAGGCGCTCAGAGCCCAGACAAGAGGAGACGCTCAGAGCCCAGGCGTGACTCTGCAGTGAGGATGCCAGGAAAAGCAAACAAGAAAGCAGAAGGAAAGAGGGGAGGGAGGCAGGAGACAGGCGTAGCTGGAGGAGGGGCCTGATGCCCCATCCTTCTCTGCACCCCTCTGTCTACAGATCTTTCAGACCCCAGGGTCTCCATCCACTCCTCCCCGCCTTGCTGCTCCACTAACCCGGACACCTTGGGTCTCTGCTCCCCCTATTTTGTCTACCCTCCTGTGTGAACCTGTTCCCATGTATTGGTCTCTGCCCTGCACCCCGGTTCTCTGTCCCCTTTCTCCAGATCTCTGTTACCCCCTCTCAGTCCCTGTCCTCTCCCCCTAGGTCCCCTCTCTCTAAATGAATCCCTGTTCTCTCTCTCCGGGCCCCTGTTCCACTCTCCGAATGTCTCCTTTGGTCTCTACCTTGAGCTTGGACTGGATTTCCCTCGATTTCCTTCGGGCCAAAACCTGGATGTGACTAGAGACCTGGAGGGAGTGACAAAGGGGGAGATTCAGGCCAGAGTGACTCGCCTCTTGCGTTCCCTGTCCCCAAGGCACCCCTGGACCATGAGATATGACACACCCAACATGCCAGCTCAGGACTATGTATGCAAACCCAGACGTGACCCATAAGGCCACTCTTTCCTCACTAACAGTTCTGATCTCCCCCAGACCCAGCAAATCTAAGTCTCATGTCCCCTCCCTGCCCTTCTCTCTTTGGCCCCGTTGGTCTCACTTCCTCGGGTTCTCACACAACCGCTAAGAGAACTGCATCAAACAGGCACAGAGCGCACTCACAGGGGCGCCGAGAAGACAGGCAAAAGCACGTGAACCAGATCCTCCTTGAACCTGAACCTGCCCATACTAGTATGGCCCTGGGAAGACAAGCCTGCCCCAGACAGAAGCCCACAAGTCAGTCCCAAGACCTGTTTGCGAGTTCGAGTCTTCCCCGTCCTCAGCTTGATGTAGCGGGCAATCAGTTCATTCCGACCTGAGGAGTCAGAGATGGAACAGAGTTAGACCTTCAGCAGAACTTCCCAACAGAGAGGACACCAGGGAAGGAGAGAGAAGCAACAGTTCCCAGAGGTCCACAGCCAGCCGGGAGCTCGGTGGAAGCAGAGTTACGACTGCGGGGTTGGGAGCCAGACTGCCTGGGTGCAAATCCCAGCTCTGCCACACGCTACCTTTAGGTTTTCTGGGATGCGAGCTCCTACCTGAGCCATCGTGAGGATGCGAAGTGCTTTAACGTGAGCAGTGTTGAAAGCTCCCCAAATGTTGGTTACTATTTTTTCTTAATCAGCAGAGACCAGAGCAAAAAAGATTGAGGTGGACTCACCGTACATCTTGCCTTCATCAGACAAGATGATTTTCCGCCGGCCGCACGGCGGGTAGATGGCCAGGGCCTCCTGGAAGCTCTGCTCGATGTCCGGACTCCAGACGCCCTCGGCATCTGGGCCTCCATCTCCCCCAGCCCCCTCGCTGCCACCGGTACCCTCCTCACTTCCTTCCTCACTTCCTGTCCAGGCGCTGCCATCGTCCAGGGGGGCCCCAGCCCGGGGTTCTCCCATCTGGGCCTGGAAGGACAAAGAGCTCTCAGCAAGTTTCCCCCGACGCCCCCAGAAGGACCTCGGGCTCAGAGGGCTGGGGGCCCCAACCCCTGGGTCTGAGGGAGGAGGGGTCCTGGAGAAGGGGGCTGGATTTCTGGAGACACTTAGGGTGAAGAGTGTTCTCTGGCTTTCCAGGGAAGCCTGGGAAGTGATGAAGTCTTGGAGACCCCAGAGTCTTGCGTAGGGCCCATGAGGGCCATGCACTTGGGTAGGGATTCCTAGGAGACAGGGCCTGGCTGTCTCCTAGTAAAGAGACAGGAGTCAGGGCCTGGCTGCAGGAAAGGGGGGTGTGGGTGAGATCTTAGTACCACCCCAAGAACAGGTGCCAGGATGCGAGCAACAGCTGCGGGAAAAGCAGAGGCGCACAGGCCCTAGTAAGGCTGAAGGGCAGATCCAGACGGTGGGGGACGGAGTCCCGGGGGGGGGGGGGGGGGACAGAGATCTAGAGAGAAGGGGCCAGAGACATAGAGGGGACAGAGGCTCAGAGGGAGTCAGGGACAGAGACCCAGGGCAGAAACTCAAGTGGACATCAGGAAAGACGCACAGAACCAGAGACTGGGGGGGCAAGGGCGCCCTGCCATCAGGAGAGCCAGAACAAAGGGCCCAGGCATCCCCTCCCCCAGTTTCCCACAACCCCCATCAGGGGAGGGGCTGGCTGGCGAGGGCCCTCCCCTCAAGCCCTCGGCCCCGCCCCCTCCCTCCCACCCCCGGCGCCGTGGGCTCGGATCCAACTCCAGTTCCCAGTGACTTTCCGGAGGCCGGGAACAGGGGGAGAAAACTTTTTCCAATACAGTCAGATCCCGCCTCCCTGGCAGCTCCACGTCTTCCACAGCTTTCCCAGGACTCCAGAGTCCATGCTCCCATCCCCCTCCTCCCTCGGACCCTGGAGTCCCGGCCGAGACAGACAAAGACCCCAGGCCGAGCCCAGTGGCGCTGCGGCATTCGGGACCCCCGTAGGCCAAAATCCCAGCCCAGCTCTCCCCCATGTGGCCAGACAAAGAGACCGAGGAGCCGGCTAAGAAAGGTCCCCCTAATTTCCTTCCCCAGGCCCCAACCTCCGAAGAAACGAGACTGAAGGTCCAGAAAGCTCTGTAGTCTTCCTTCTGTGACCCCGGAGGCCCCTTTCTCCCTGAGGAGAACCAGGCGCCCACAAATGACACACACGAATCAGTTCGGTCAGAAACACGCAGAGTCCGTTCTCGCTTCCAAACGACACCGTCGCGGAAACTCACATCCCACACATACCCGACAAAGTCCCCTGTCCTCACCCACTCGCGGGCTCACACTCCTCAACCCAGACGCATCAGCAGACACCCCAACTCCGGGGAAAGCTCCAAGCCCGCACTTAAGACTTGATCAGGACCGCAACTCGAGCCCCCGGATAAAGAGAAGGCGGCATGCAACTCAGAGATGGTCCCACAAACGCTTAAATTCCTAATGCGTAACTTTCCACCCCAACTCACACACCCCAAAGCAGGATCCCCGACTCCCGCCGGCGCCTTCCTACCTCCCGGCCTGGGGCTGGGGAGCCGCGGGCGGGCGGGGCGCTGCGAAGGAGAAAGTTGCCCGAGAGCTTTGTTTGGGAAAAGTGGGAGGGACCGGAGGGGGGGCGGGCCCGGACGCTGGACAGCGGGAAGGGGCATCCGACGGTGACAGTTTGGGGGAGGATTTTTGCTTTGGCAAAGGAAAGGTGAAGTCTAGCTGGGGTCTGGGAGCGACTTCGGGATTCTTATGCTTAGATTCCTAGAAGAGGAGCAGGGGAGATGGTCCGGACTTCTGGGTCTGAGGGAGGAGGGGACTGGGGGCCTGGATTCTAGGCCCTCTGTGTTTGTGTATGGGGGATGTGGAAATGAAAAGAGCACAAAAGGTTCTTTCCTGATCAGCCTAAAGTATATTTTTGAGCATTGAAGTATGGAGGTGTGCTTTGATTGATTTCTATAACAACGCGTTTTCCTTGTGACCTCACTAGAGTTAACAGTCCAGAGCCAGACGACCGGGAGTTTATTGGAGCGAGACTCCCACACGCACACTTAGTGGACTATAGGTGGCGCTGTCCCAAGGCAGAGAGAGATACTCTGCCTGAGGGGAGAGGGGCCGAGTCTTCAAATCCGTGGGATTGCAAGAAGCTGGGGTCCGGCTTCTGGGGACCTGTGAGGGAAGGGAGCCCTGATTCCGGGTTTCTTGGAAACTGGAACATATGACTGGATTTCGGGTTTCCGGAGAGGGTGGGCTGTTTAGTGGAACCGAAGGGGGCTCTCAGTTCAGCGTCCCTACATTGCCCTCTGTTGAGTGCGTTAATCGTTTCCGAGAAGCGACACAGAGAAACTCTCAGAAATAGATATGAAACTAAGGAGTGGACAAACCTGAAGGGCAGAGGGAGCCTAGGAATGGAACTGAGGGCGCTAGGGGCAAGATCTGGAGCACAGAGGCGTGGCCCAGGTGCGGGGGCGTGGCTCTATGGCAGGGGGCGTGGCTACTTGCTATTGGAGCCCTACGGGCAGGCCTGAATACCCGCAAGACTTGGGTCTTCAGCGCCGAGGTCAAATGCCAGGGGCGTGGTCTGACGAGGGAGAGTGACTGGCTGTGAACATGAGGGCGTGGTTAACAAAGAATAGTGGCGCGGCTATCCAATAGAGGGCTCGGCTAGTGGGTGAGGTCAGATGTGGGGGCGTGGCCACACACTTGGAGCTCCGCTAGGTGCTCGTGGAACTCATTCAACGATCCAGGTATCCCGGTTGGGCTCGAGACCAGAACTGTTTGGATTTAACAGTCCGTGGACGGCCCGAGTCTGAGAGTCCGGTGTCTGGACATAAAGGCGGGACCCAGAAGACGGGGTGGGGCGTAGGAGAAGGTGAGAAATTATATCTAGGTATGAATGTGTAGGAAGGAAAAGAACTAAATCGGTGTTTGAGGCAAAGCCCAGAAGAGCCGGAGCTTGAGAGGAGCGCGGGCGCACGTTGGAGGGGGTGGGAATAGAAGGAAACGGAAGGGGGAAATGGGTTTGGTGCGGTGGGGGGAGAGTTGCTTGGACAAAGGATAAAGCCTGGGCAAGGGATGAAAGGCGTAATTGTCTTGGGTCGGGGCTCTGACTCCTACAGCCTTCCCCGCAATGTGGCACGCGCTGGTCCTGCTGCTGCTGCTCTCCTGTACCTCGATACCCCCCTCCACTGCAGCCCCAATCCACGATGCTGACACCCAGGAGACTTCCTCGGGTTTTCTAGGCCTCCAAAGACTACTCCAAGACTTTGTCGGACTTTTCCTGAAAGTGAGCGATGGCGGGGCTTAGGGGAAAGGGGTTTCAGAGAAGAAGGACGGGGACAGATGAAGATTGAGGGGTAGAAAAGGATTCAGGGTGACAATGGGAAACGGGTCGCAGCCAGGCAGAACAGACTGGAAGAGGAGCCAAAGGGACAGAGAGAGACAGGGAGATGGAGAGGTAGAAAGAAGGAGGGAGACAGGCAGAGAGGGAGGTGGGATAGAGGCAAGGGAATGAAAGGTAGAATAGGAGCAGAGAGACAGTAGGATATGAGGAAGGTAATGGAGCAAAGAACAAAGACAGAACAGGTGGGGGGGGTGAGGGCAGGAGGTGACTTAGTTAAGTTCTAAGGGTCAGAAGATGGAGAGGGACGGGGGGTGGAAGGGATGCGGCAAGGCCTCAAGGGCTTGCAAGCAGGGCTGATGGTAATACTGAGAAGGCCTGAGGTCCAGCAACTCACCTGTCCCTCCTCTGGCCCCAGGATGACCTGCTACAGGGCACAGACAGCTTCTTCCCTGCCCCCATGGACTTTCCGGGCCTCCCTAGGAACTATCATCAAGAGGAGAACCAGGAGCGCCAGCTGGGGAACAACACTCTCTCCACCCACCTCCAGATTGACAAGGTGCTTATGCTGGGAAGTGCCTCCTGGAGTCTCCCTTGGATCCCTCATGCTGCAGTATCTTCCTGGGGGAGGACAGAGGAGGAAAACAGTTTTGCTCTCACTCTTTCCTCCCATCTTCACAGGTGACCGACAACAGCACAGGAGCTGTGTTGATCTCTGAGAAAGTGGTGGCATCCACTGAGCAAGGGGAGAACTTGGAGAGCAACTCAAAGGTTAGGACCTGCCCCCACCTCCCCACCCTACTTTTTATTTCAAAGTGCTTTATGAGTTCTAAATGCTTTGTGTACCTCACCTTTGTAAACCTTGGAGTGATTCTAACCCCAAAGGACTTAATTTGTGATCCTAAAACATTTGAAGAACCTCCAAGTGCTTGGCAAACCCATAGGCTTCTCTTGTCACACACAAAGGTTTTTATTTCAAAAATTTCAAATCTACAGAAAAGTTAGGAAAAAATAGTACAGTGAATATACCTGTATTCCATTTATTTATTTATTTGTTTTTAGAGAAGGGAAAGGAGGGAGAAAGAGAGGGAGAGAAGCATCAACGTATGGCTGCCTCTCGCACGCCCCCTACTGGAGACCTGCCCTGCAACCAGGATGTGTGCCCCAGGCTTGGAATCAAACTGGGTGGCCCTTCGATTCGCAGGCCAGTGCTCAGTCCACTGAGCCACACCTGCCAGGGCTGTATTCCTTTTACTATAAGAAAAGATTTCTCAGCCTTGGCACCATTGTCATTTGGGGGCTGGATAATCTTCAGATTTTTTTCGTGTTTTTAAAGATTTTATTTATTTATTTTTAGAGAGAGGGAAAGGGAGGGAGAAAGAAAAGGAGAGAAATATCAATGTGCAAGAGATACATCAATCGGTTGCCTCTCAAGCACCCCCCACTAGGGACCTGGCCGGCAACCCAGGCATGTGTCCTGACTGGGAATGGAACCAGTGACCTTCTAGTTTGCAGGCCAGCACTCAGTCCACTGAGCCACACCAGCCAGAGCTGGATAATCTTTGTTTTTATCCCTGCTCAGGGCCATCCGGTGCATTCTGAAATGTTTAGCAGTAACCTTGCCTCTACCCACTAGGCAGAAGCCCCACCTTCACCCGTTGTGATGACCAAAAATGTTTCCACACTTTGGCTGAGAACTGCTGGCCTAGATTCACTGCCTGTTAACATTTTAGCATTGACTTTATTTTCACTTTTGTATTTTCGAACCATACAGCAATAAATCAGTGACGTTATGCCACTTCGCCCTTAAACCCTTCAGCAGATACGACCTAAGAATAATGCATTCTTGCCGCGGTCCAGCCGCAGCGGGTCAGGGGGTCCCACAGGTGAGGGCAAGGCGTCGGCGCTGGGTAACAGATGACAACACGCCTCAAAGGACAGTGAAGCTCTGTTCCGTTTATTGCAAGTACAAGCAGGTTTTTTATAATTTTCATTTCAGGTAGTGATTAATATTTGCAGTATAACATGATCATTTAAGCAGAAAAAATCAATACAAAGGTAATCAGTAAAAGTACAAAAGTTCCCATAGATTTAGTTAAAAATTATTTTAACTAGGAGAGCCATTAATCAGACAGTTAAAAATATCTTATTGTATATTAAAGTTTCTCAGAATTTGGTATAGGGCATAAGGATACGCTAGACTGAGTAGAGAAAATAGGAGATTTATTATAAGGCCCTTGTGATGTCTAACTTAGCTATCTACCCTTTTTTTGCTTAAAATGTTTTTTCTGTGTACCATAAATTCTGACTCCCTAGTGACTGTTCAGTTTGTAATAACTAACTAGCTTTTGTTATTACTTTGCCTGTCTAGTTGATATATATTCCTATTCAAGGTAAAGGAGGGGCTGTTCCTATGTTGCAGGGGGTTTTCAAGGGTACTTCTTTTAAGTTTCTCTAAGAGTTCTTTTATAGACATGTTTTGTACTTTAATTCCTTCTAAGAAAGTAGTGAGATCATCTCCTGATTTCCTAGAGTATTCTATCTTATCTTGGGTGTTTTTCTAATGATTGTTATTGATTAAGCTTGAATTCTCAGATTGTTCTGATTGTTTCCTTGTGCCTATATTCCCTGACGTTCTAGTATGATATTATTATTCTGTTCATTGAGCCGGGAAAGGTCCAGGCACACTATCTGAATCACTGCCAGGGTATTCATAATGATTAAAGCAAAAAGGTCATGATCTCCAAAGCAAGCACAATCACAATAGATATTGCAAGGCCTTCCATGCCACGTCCACCAGGTTGGAAACTGCTTCCTTGAAGTCTTACACCCCCTCTCAGGACCTTGTCACGGAGAGAGGAATCCAACAGTGGACGCGGCAGTGGACGTGGCACATTCTTCCCCTAGAGATTCTTCATCTCTAGTTTGACCAGAACTCTGTCTCTGTGGTCAACAGTGCCATTCTCCCACCCAAGATAGTTCACACTGATGTCAAACTGCTGTCCCTGTATTAGTTTTTGAGGGCTGATGTCACAAAGCTGGGAAGCCACAGATTGGGTGGCTTAAGTAACAGAAATGTATTGTCTCAACTGCCGGGCTAGCTCAGTCAGTAGAAATGTACTGTTGCATGGTTCTTGAGGTCACATGTCCAAGATCAAGGTTGGTTCCTTCTGAGGGAGAGTCTCTTCCCTGCCCCCCTCCTACCTTCTGATGACTTAATAACAGTCTTTGGCGATTCTTGGGCGAGTAGATTGGGCCCCATCTCTGCCTCATCTTCTCATCTTCGTATGACATTCTTCCTGTCTGCATTTCTATATCTAAATTTCCCCTTTGCATAAGGACACCAGCCATATTGCATTAGGGCCCAATAAGATCACATTCTGAGCCTTGGCTGGTGTGGCTCAGTGGACTGAGCGCCAGCCTGCAAACCAAAGGGTGGGCAGTTTGAATGCAGTCAGGGCACATGCCCGGGCTGCAAGCCAGGTCCCCAGTAGGAGGCATGTGAGAGGTAACCACACATTGATATTTCCCTCTCTTTCTCCCTCCCTTCCCCTCTCTCTAAAAATAAATAAATAAAATATTTTCTTTAAAAAAAGCTAATTTGATTTTGGACCAGGGTTCAGTTAATGGCCAGAGGTTGCAGCTGCTTTTCTGGGTCTGGAGCTGAAATACAACTGAGGCCTAGACATCATCTCTAGTTTGACCAAAACTCTGTCTCTGTGGTCAACAGGCCTGAGGCTTTGTTCTTAAGATTATTTGAGCCCTGGCTGGTGTAGCTCAGTGGATTGAGCGCAGGCCTGTGAACCACATGATCGCGGTTCAATTCCTAGTCAGGGCACATGCCTGGGTTGCAGGCCAGTTCCCAGCGGGGGACTCATGAGAGGCAACCATACATTGATATTTCTCTCCTTCTCTCCTTCTTTCCTTCCCTTCCTCTCTCTCTAAAAAAAAAAAAAAAAAAAAAAAAATTATTTGATGGGGGCCATAACTTCATTGTCCTGAGGGCTTAATGCTTAAGGGGGTGGTCATGCAAAGGCTTGCACGGGAGTCATATGAGGCTATTCCCCTCCCCGCTTTGTTTCTCCTCTAAGGGGGCTACCACGTGACTAGCAACAGGTCAGAGAAGGAAAGGTCGGGGGGAAGTCTGAACCACGTGACCAGTGATATGCTAAGGGAGGAAAGGCCACCCAGGGGGCAAAGTTCCACGGAACAATACTTGTTTTCCCAGTTTTGCCCACTGTTAAGCACCCAGGACTTTCCACCCAGTACCCTTCTGTACCTGGCCTATCGTTTCGACGTTGCTCGTGCCTGTCTAACGGCCTACTGCATCACCGCCCCTCAGGGACTCTTGGCTCAGAATTCTTTAAGGCAGGGGTGTCAAGCTCATTGTCACCAGGGGCCACATTAGCCTCATGGTTGCCTTCAAAGGGCTGAATGTAATTTTAGAATTGTATAAATGTATGTACTCCTTAACTGTTCAGCGAGAGCTTGGCACTGCTGCCGGGTAGAAACAAGGCGGGTAAAACAAGGTGGAGGGCCGAATTTGGCCTGTGGGCCTTGTGTTTGCCACCTGTGCTTTAAGGGAAAGGGGCATCTTCTGCAGCTGCTTCCTGCTGAAGAGGGGCCGGGTTTTCCTTCAGAGCCAAGTGATTCTCACTGTCTGTCAGAAGCAGGATGAGGAGGAGGTTGTGATGGTGTCCAGGGTCAGCAACAGGCAGGATTCCCAGAGTACAAGTAGGGCTATTATTGAGGCAAAGGCCAGAATGGCAAGAACCATGATGAAAGGGAGCATCCGGGCGAGGATACTGAGGGGTCTTCACCCCCACCTCCCACAGGCTGGTTGTTTGTCTTGTCAAGGGGTGGGAGAAAAACAAAACATTACTTTGGAGGGTTGTAGCCAAATATTTAAGAAAACAACAACAACAAAAAAACGCAGGATCCAGTTGAGTCTATGGGTGAAAAAATAAAACTTGGAAGAAAATGAACTGAACTAGAGTCTCATCACTACCGCAGTGTGTTATAGATTTTACTGAACCACAATTTCCATAAAAATCACTTTCACTTTCATCAAAGAGCCAGGTGAAGGCCAATGTATGTACTGCATGAAGTCCAGTTTCAATGTGGCCTGAACATTTGCATATATGCAGTAAAAATAGTAATTAAGCCCTGGCTGGTGTAGCTCAGTGGATTGAGCACGGGCCTATGAAGCAAAGGGTCGCCGGTTTGATTCCCAGTCAGGGCACATGCCGGGGTTGCAGGCCAGGTCCCCAGTAGGGGACACATGAGAGGCAACCACACATTGATGTTTCCTACTCTCTCTCCTTCCCATCCCCTCTCTCTAAAAATAAATACATAAAATAATGTTTAAAAGAATAGTAATTGATTATATAGACTCTTGTAAATCTGCTTTGCTGGAATTTCATAAGGAATCGCCAGATTGAGTTCTATTTAGCCTTTGAGAGCAAAGAAACCAAGCCTCACAGTTCCCATTGGGCTTTGCCTGCAATATGTATAGGTTTGGGCGAAATCCTAGAGTTTTTTAGTCTCCCAGGAAAACGACTGTCATTCTTGACCTGGAAACACTGCCACGAGCCATGTACATAAGCAAGGTACCGTGCTCAGGGGCTCCTATTGGCTTCTAAAATCAAGTTTAATTCCTTAAAGCTCTTCTGACAACATCCAGAGACTATGTATTTCCCTCTCAGTCATTATATTAGAGTCAAAGTCTTGACTAATAAAATAAATTTCAAATTTTAAAAGGGCCACGTTACAGTCATGGTCATGATTAGTCATGTCCAAAGCTTATAATTCCAAAGTGCTTTGTGCATTGTTTTAACTTTTTTATAAATATTTTATTTATTTATTTTTAGAGAGCTGGGAAGGGCGGGAGAAAGGGAGAGAAACATGAATGTGTGGTTGCCCCTCGCGTGCACCCCCTACTGGGGATGTAGCTTACAACCCAGGCATGTGCCCTGACTGGGAATCGAACCAGCAGCCCTTGGGTTTGTAGGCCTGCACTCAATCCACTGAGCTACACCAGCCAGGGTGCTTTGTGCATTTCAAACTGCTTTCCAAACCTCACAGGATATTTAATCCTAAAGTATATTGTAATCCCCACAGGCATTTTAAACCCCAAAGTGCATTTGAAACCTCTAAAGTGTGTTTTTAGTCCCAAAATAGTCTATAAACCTCCAAGTATTTTTTTACATTTTTATTTACTAATTTTAGAGAGTGAGAGGAAGGAAGAGGGGGATTTGTTGTTTTACTTATCTATGCACTCCTTGGTTGCTTCTTATATGTGCCCTGACCAGGGATCAAACCCACACCCTTGATGTATTGAGTTGACGCTCTAACCAACTGAGCAACCTGGCCAGGGCCCTCAGAGTATTTTCGATTCAAAAATCCTTGTAAGCCCAAGTCCTTTGTAAACTGTAAAGTAAAATTTTCATTCCCAAAGCATCCTGTAGGTGGCAGACTGAGCTAAATATGCCAGCGGGTTGTCGTTTGCCTTTGAGAGGGTCTTCTCGTCCCTCCTCCCCAGGTACCCAAGATAGAGAAGGAGATCCTGGTGCCCATCCCAAAGACCACGGACAGCACACACCCAGATCCTCACCCGCGAGTGGCCTTCTGGATTGTGAAGCTGACACAGCGAAGGTCGCATCAGAATGCCCAGGAGGGGGACCGCTGGCTCAGTGAGAAGCAACACCGCCTGCAGGCCATTCGGGACCGCCTGCAGGCCATCCAGGAAGGGCTCCGAGAGGGGGCCCCAGAGGAAGTCCTTCAGGAAGGGACCCAGGGCTCCTCCTACTTCAAGCTGCCTGCCCGCAAGACACGCTTCCTGTACATTCTCAAGCCCTCCCAGCAGCTATAGGGGTGGAGACAGAGGAACACCTGCATGTACCCCCCACCAAACCCCACCCCAAGCTCCATATGGAAATAAAGTTCTTCTATCTAACAGCACTATCTCCTTTCGGGATTTGTCCCCAAACCTCAGCCTATCAGGCAATAGCAAGTCCCAACAATAAAAAGATAACTAGGCAGTCATAAAACATTTGGAAACAAAGTACTATACCACTAAAATAATGCATAAGTCAAATTAGTAAATATTTTAATTTAATTTTTTTTTTTACATTTTATTTATTTGTAGAGAGAGGGGGAGAAAGAGAGGAACAGAAACATCAATATGTGGTTGCCTCATGCGCCCCCTACTGGGGACCTGGCCTGCAACCCGGGCATATGTGCCCTGACTGGGAATCAAACTCTTGACCCTTTGCTTCGCAGGCCTGTGTTCAATCCACTGAGCCACACCAGCCAGGGCTCAAATTAGTAAATATTTTTAAGCTGAATACTAACAGAAATGTGACATAAACTTATGGAGTGTAGCTCAGGAAGTTCTCAGAAAAATTATGGCCATAAATGCACATATTAGAAAAGAGGCTAAATAACAATCTAAAACTATCACTGATGTAAGCACCCATCTAGCTCAGAAAGCTATACAAATGTAATTGAGCTATAACTTAAGATTCAGCAGTCTATGTATGTTACCACTATACTCTAAAAAGTTATTTTTTAGGTGTTACAGAAGTACCCAGACCTCAAAAAAGGAACAAAACACCCTGAAAGAATGAAATTATACTAATAAAGTTAACAGGGTCTACCATTTGCTAGCCTGTACTAATAAAACACTTGGCAAACATCCTTACTGAACTCTCATAAGACCCCAGGAGATGGATATTTGTCCTCATTTTAGAGAAAAGGCTGACTTTCAGAGAGGTGAAGTCGCTTGCCAAAGTCATACAGCAATGGCGCTCGGTTTGTCCGATTTTATATCTCTTATTCACTCATCACATCACCTGCCAAAGAAGGTCTTTCCCAGGCCTTACCATCTAATAGCCAAAATAATAACTATTAACAAAGATTGCCACCTTAAGTCCTGAAGGTAAACTAAGAAGCAAGTATCTCCATTTCTGGGAGGACAACTGAGGCTCAGAGAGGGTAGACATTGTGCCAAGGTCATGGTTAGGAAGTAATGGAGCCAAAATTCAAACATAGGAATGTCTGACGACTCCACCACCTTATCATCATCCTACACTGCATCCTACATCCTACATGGACTCCATCCATTCACTCATTCAACTTTTATTTGGTTTGTTTTTTGAGTGCCCACACTGGGCCAGGCATGTTCTAGCCCCCAGTCTCCTGCTGCATATAGCTCACATTGGGGGGTGACAGATCGGAAATACAGAATGTGTCACGTTTTAAGACGTGCCATGAGAACCTCTAAAAAGTGGGTAGTTCGAGCTAGTAGAGAGGTTGAGTGGTTGGGACATCTTTTGTCCCAAATCTCCCTTTTGGGAGTCAATTTTGGATCTAATTCTCTTCCTAAAAAGGAATGAATGGAAGAGTTGGGGAAAGAATCCTTCGGGGATCTATTAATACTTTGAGACTGAAGACACAAAAGGACGCAGGAATAGGCTGGCAGTACAGAGCAGGGCATTTTAGTGACGGTGACGGGCAGCCTGTCACGGAACAGAAGGCAGAAAGGTCACGGCTTGGTAGTTGATAAGTAGGGATAAACAAGGAGACTCTCAGTCCAACTCTCCGTTGCTTGAGTTTATTTCACCGAAGCTTGAGGCCCCCAGCGAAGACACCGGCACAGCTACAGACCCTCAAAACCCTTCCATAACCGGCGGTAATCCTACTAACCTTCACCCACCCTGCCAATACGCATGCGCCTGCTCCCAAGGCCCAGGAGCGCGTTCGGGCCGCAGTACGCATGCGCAGCCTTGCCCGCAAGTTGACGGCTCGACCAGCACGCGCCTTCTCCCTCAGCGCGCCTGCGTTTGGGGAGGAGCCCAGACGGGGCGGGGCTTAGGCGCTGCGCGCGCGGTTTGTTGTTTGTCGCCTCACACTCTCTTCGCCTTTCCCGCCGGAGTGACGTTCATTCACTTCCACGCCGGACAACTGCCGTTCGTCCTTCGTGACCCTCGCCTGCGTCCCGAGGGTGGGACGTGGCCCCAGGTGCGTCCTGGCTGTGGCAATGTTCCCCAGAGTAGCCCCTCCCGAACTCGTGGCAAAGCGCCGAAATCGTGGGGGAGAGTCCCGGATATCAGGGCCTTCCCTAGCTTGTTAAAAATGTCGACCCCTAAGAAATACAGGAGGGAACCCACCAGAAAATTTGATAGATGACCCCTGAAATCTTGTCAGAAATAGGAATTGTCAGACTCTGGACCCTGTTGGAGACTCACTCCCTTGAAATCCCCTTCCTCTTCCTCCCCAAATCCTGTCAGATCCCCAGAAATCTTGTGAAACACTCAAAATCCTAATTCCCCTCCCAAATATCAACAAGCTCTGAAATTCAGTCAAAAATCCAGCCAGAGACCCCCTAAAATCCAGACCCCCTTAAAATTCCCCAAAATATTGCGTGAGTCCTGATAGCCCCTCCCCGCCAAAGCCCCCCAAGATTGACCATAGTCTCCCTCCATTTCTCACCCTGAGTTTGTCCCCCCAGCCCTTGGCAGAAGCCCCCAGTGCCTGTCAGCACCCTTGAAATCACCCTTCCTCACTTAGGATTCAGGGTCTTTGCCCCCCCTTCTGCACCCCACCCATCAGCGTCATCCAAACCCTAGAAAGTTCTCTCCTCGACCTTTTTTCCTAGGATATTCTAAAAGCCACCAAGAAGTGTGCATGCCACAGCTGTGAACCCCCTCTGGCGCCAGGGAAAGCAGGGTGTGGGAAATACTTGGTGAGGGAAGGGGAGCCAAACAGGTGAGGTAAGGACAGACAGGCCCCAGAAACCCAATATTGACCGTCTGCCCCAGTGTGCCAGTTCAGCGTGATGGACACCGTTGTCTAATGTAATTTTTTTATTTTTACTTTTATTTTAATCATTTTTTAATGTTTGTACACAGCTGTCTCCATTTCCCCACCACCACTTCCCCCTGCCCTCCCAGCCCCCCACCCTCAATCAGTGTAATTATCAATAGTGACCCTTTCAGTCTGGAGTTGGAATAAGAAGTAAAATGGTCAGCTTCGTTGTAATGGAGGCACGACAGGGCATCTTGGGGGGCACAGAAGAGGGAGTCCCTAACTGCTCCAGGGACCTGGGAAGGCTCCCCAGGGGTCTGTGGACCCAGGCAAGAGGCACAGGTGGAAATGGTGCTACAATGTGGCCTAGGCCTAGGGGAGATGGATGTGGGAAGATGCTAAGTTCCTGTGGTTGTGGTGAGGGTGAGGGACCTGGAGGTAGGCCAGTGGAGAGGAGTGACAAAAAGAGGCAAGGAGTAACAGGGACCACTCTGCCACATCAACCACAGGGGCTAGGGCTTAGTCCTGAGGGTACTGGGGAGCCATGGGAGGGCTGAGAGCTGGGGAGAGATAGGGTCAAACTCAAGTGGGACGCCAAGAGTTCCAAATACAGGCAGATATGGTGAGGATGTCAGTAGCCAGGGTGGTCCAGAACCCAGCGACAGCACCTCCTTTAAAAATGTTTTCTGGAGTAGGGGACACCTGAGCCAAGACTGGAAGGGTTGGCAAGCAGGCAGAGACCTGGGTTGCCAACAGAGAAGGGTTGCCCCAGGCAGAGACCCAGAGGCAGGAACAGCAAGCCTGGTTTGGGGAATAGCATGGCAGTTCAGCATAGCTGGAGCAACAAGTGTGATTTGGGGTGGAGAGATGGGCAGGGCCAGTCATGCAGGGCATTGGATGCCAAGTCCAGAGTCTATGCTGGGTCCTTAGGGTACTGGGGAGCCATGGAAGAACATTGAGCAGAGGAAGGGCAGACCAGCTCTGTGGGGATGGACTGGAGGAGTCTAGGAGACCAGGAAGGAGGCTGCAATGAGAGCCCATGGGAGAGGATGAGGTCGGAGCCTGGGCCATAGGGATGGAGAGAAGGGGACACGGTAGAGTCAGTTAGTCGTTGGGCAGGAAGGACAGGGATGGGGATTGGCAAGCTGTGGGGAGGAGGTCATGGTGAAGAGGCAGTCATCCCCACCCCCTAGCCCCCCCCTGTGATCTCTGCCAACCACTCCTCAGGTCCCCCTTTTCCCAACCCACACCTCCAATCTATAAAACAGGTCCGAGCAGGAGCTGCTACGATGGCAACGGGTGGGTAGACAAGTTCTGAGAACCCAGAGCCGCCCAAGGCACAGGTGAGGCAGGGCAGGTCCCCACCCTCGGGTGGCTGGTCTGAAGAAGCCGTTCCTCTGCTTGTCCTTCCAGGAGCTCTCAAAATAGCCAGTCCCTTTTCGGTCCCTCCCAGTGATGGAGGGCAGCTGTTAGCCTCGCCAGCAGCTTTGGAGCAACAAGGGCGGCCCATGGACCTACCGGAGAACCAGGCGGATGGTCCTGCTTCACAAAGTAGGTGGCTGGGCCCCTATTGACCCCATGAGAGGATGAGGAGGGAGCAGTAGGTGAACGGGCACCAGGCTGTGACTCTGGGACTTGGGACAGGTGGCTTGATGGCTCCACCTCGGTGCAGGGTGGGAAGGAGGGAGCCTGCCGTGTGCCCACCTGTCTGGACCTCATACCCCCTTGGCTCTGGGAGGCCAGAGCAGAGGCCTTTGCATGTGCTGTGCCCCCTGCCTGGCGCGTGCTTTGACAATGACTGCAGACTCACCCCTCGCTTCCCTCAGCCCTCTGCTGTCTGCCTTTTCACACCTTCTCCTCTCTCCAGCTTTACCTCCCTTCACAGCACTGATATCAGCTTGTCTGTCTGCTTGTCTCTGTCTCACCACCCCACCGCCCGTCCCCCAGAGCGTGAGCTCCCCCAGGAAGGGTCTGTATGAGTCACTCTGGCATTTCCAGTTCCTGCAGCAGCGTTGTCCAACGTGCAAGCCACACATGTAATTTTAAATGTTGTGAGTAGCCACCTTGAAAAGAAATTAAAAAAAGAAACAGACCAAATGAATGGCAATAATAGATGTTATTTAACCTCATTTACCCACGATAGTATCATACGATCAGTATTCTCATGCTGACTCTTCAAGGTCTGGCATGTGGTCTGTACTAATAGAGCATCTGGGTTCACAGTGGCCACAGTTGAAGTGCTTAGAAACCACACGTGGTGAGGCGCTGCCCTATGACAATGCCTGACACATAGTAGGGACTCAGTTACTATCCTTGAATTGGCTGGGTGCAAACCAAATGCATGTGAAAGCCAGCTTCGGGAGGAGGACACAAGGTTCCCCTCTCTGACATTTACCAAGCCGGAGCCCAGTGTGATGGGAAGGAGACTCCCGCCCTCGGGGAGAGGCAGGGCCCCTTTTTAGAGGCCCCCGGCGTCCAGCAGCAGCAGAGCCTGCGTCTTTTCTCAGGACCCCACGCTTGGACTGTGGCCTCAGGAGGCTTTCCAGGAAGGAAGGTAGGAGGCAGGCACCTGAGTGCGGGCACCTGAGGGCCTACTGACCGAGTGACCGACATCTAAACTTCACCAGCGCCAGCAGAGGGCGTTCGGCCACCGAAAAACCCATGGGCCAGGGCTGAGCCAGCCTTGAGAGACTCCTGAAGGAAAGGGAGGGAGGGAGGACCAGGCTAGGGCGGGAAGGCAGAGACAGCAGAGTAAGGAGGGAGAAGGCTCGGGGCCCGGAGAGTTGCAGAGACAGGAGAGGAGAAGCACAGACAAAAGAAAATTGACCCAAGGAACATGCAGGCAGTGGAGAGAGAAATGGGGAGGAAGAGGGCGAGAAAGAGACAGACAGAAAACTAGAGATGGGCAGGCACAGAGACAGAGAGAAGCAGAGACACTGAGGAGGGAAAGAGGACGGGGGAGAAGCACAATGACGTCTTCCTGCAGGGCCCTGGGAAGAGACCATAGACACAAGCAGATCCTCAAACCCCTGTAATCTGTAAGCCTACGGTCCTGGGTTGACTCTGTCTTGGGCTCCCTAGCTAAGTGGCCCTGGGCAAGTGACTTCGCTGGACCTCAGGGTCCTCCTCCACAATCTGGGGAGCCCAGTGGTAGGAAGAAAGAAGAGTACAGAGCACAGAGAAAGCCCTGGGGGCAAGCCCTGGTGTTTCCCCTGGCTGTGGGCTCCTGCTCCCCTTCCCCAGGAGCATGGGTTCAACCCAAAGGGGGTTAAATTTGAACTCACTACAAAGAGACCTCGAAGAGTTAGAGGGATGATCAAGGACACTCACGTGTCAAACAGGTGGCCTTGGGCAATTCTTAACTTTTCTGCGCCTACGTCTCCTCACCTGTAAGGCAGGGCCGCTAAGAGCAGCCAGCAGGGTCCCTGCTGGAAAACCCTCAGGAGAGGCTGAGTAAATGTGCGATTCTATTCCTGAGCTTCCACCACATGCCAGGCCCTCTGCCAGGGCCCTTCCAGATTTTATCTCATTTTATTTCTAAGAGGAAGGGAACACCACGCCCATTTTCCAGAGGAAGAAACTAAGGCTCGGAGAGGCTGAGTCACTTGCCTGGGTTGCCCCTTGGGTCTGCCAGATCCTGAAGCCTGTGCTCAGCCTGCTGCTGTACCCAGCTGTGCAGGGCGTCCTGAGGGTCACTGCCAGCCCTGGGAAAGAGGCCAGGCTGCTCCAGGGATTCTGGAGATAGAGGACCTCCTCCTATATCTTGGAGCATTTATTGAGTGCCTACTGTGTGCAGACACTGCGGATACAGCAGCGGGCAAGCAGACTCTAGGTCACGTACAATGTGTGTGTTTGTGTGCGTTCTGCACACACACGGATCTAACCCTCCCAGCAGTGGAGCGGGGGATCGCTCTGCCTGCCTCTACTTTACGGGTAGAGAAACTCAGGCTCCAAAAAGAGAAGCAGTTTGCCCTCAGTAGCGCAGCTGAGCACTGAGCCCCTGGCCTTGCACTCCCAGGAGGCAAGCTCTGCCTGCGGGTGGTGAGAGGGGAGAGGTCAGCCCACCAAGCAGGCTACCACCGGAGATGCATCAGGCAGAATCGATCCAGGCTGCCAGAATGTTATCGGATTGTTCCCAGCTCCTGGGCCTCGTCACCCTCAGCTCCTCCCAGAATCCTCTCCTCTCTGCCCTCCCCAGCCTCTGTCCCCCTCTGAGCTGAGCCTGGGAGGCAGGAGAAGCGAGGAGGAAAGGCTGATGGTTCATTGGCTATCTGGGCACCTGAGTGGATTGGGCACAAAGCATCAGACAGCAGCAGGGACTTCCTGGTCTGAAAGATGGGGCTCACATCCCCAGGGTGGCAGGCAGGGAGCTGACGCAAAGAGCCTCACATTGCTGCCCCCAGCAGGTGGCAGGAGGCTGAAGCCTCCTCCTGTGCCCCACCAGCCCCAACTCCAGGCAGCTCTGAGGGAATCCCCCCGCCCTTTGCAGAAACCTGGGTCAGTCTTCTCCTGACTGGCCCTCTTGTCTCCTCAGTGTACCTCTGGGACCAGCCGGAGGAGGGGCTCCCGGGGACTCCGCTCAGCTCAGAGGAGCAAATACTCAAGTCCACCTTCGAAGCCTGTGACCCCCAGAGGACAGGTGGGAGGGGCAGGACGGGGCCTGGGAGAGACGAGGAATAATAAGGGGCAGTGATGGGGCACTGGGGACTGGGGAGCCATAGAGAGAAGGATGGGCAAGGACCCTTCTCGAAGGACATGGGTGATTGTGGGAAGTTTCAGGAGGGACTGTGTAAGGGGACGAAGGCCTTTTGGGCAAGGACAGCAAGAAGAAAATGTGGGGGACATGAAGGGAAGAGGGTGGTGCTTTTGTGCCCTGAAGGTAGAGGGAGGGCTACTGCGGGCCAGTGGGGCACAGCAGGTCCTCCTTGGTCCCCCTCTGCAGTCGGGACAACTTGTGAAAAAGGCCAGGTGGAAGCATGGACTCAGAGGAGGGAAAGGACTTGCCCCAGTTGCCTCAGCCGGGCTGTGGTGCAGGGGTGCCACCAGCCCAGCCAGTGACGTCCTGATGTCCCCAGCCACCACCCTCCCTGCTTGCTCCAGACTCCCTCATGGCATGCTATGTCCCCAGGCTTTGTGGCTGTGACCCACGTACTGGCCTACCTGGAGGCTGTGACTGGACAGGGCTGCCAGGACACACGCCTCCAAACGCTGGCCTGCAGCCTGGACCCCAGCAGGGAGGGCCCTCAGGCCACTGTGGACTTGGACACATTCCTGGTCGTCATGCGGGATTGGATCGCTGCCTGCCAGCTGGATGGGTGGGTCCCTGTACCTCCCCCTACCCCTGGGAAGTCCTTCTGAAGATCTAACCTCATACCTGCTTACTGCAGCCAGCACCCTTGGAGCACAGGGACCTCCTATGGCTGGAAAGAGGCTGAGGAGAGAAAAAGTGAAGAGAGGGGAGGGGGTTAGCGGAGCAGCGGAAGATCTAAGGACAAAGTGCCTGGGATGGGGAGGTGAAAGGGGGTCCAGGAGGCAGAAATAAAAGGGGCTAGAAGAAGAAAAAAGCGAGGAGGTGCTGGGGGGCTGACAGATACCCCTCATCATCCCTTCTCCACTCCCAGCCCTTGCCCTCCTGCTTTTCCATCTGGCCCCGGGCGCTTACCATCTGGCTTCACCTTCCCCCCCATCGTGCCTGCTCTCACCTAACCTGGCCCCTCCTCCAGCCACCCAGAATCCCCCTGCTGGCTTGGAGGGTGGCTGCAGGGAGCTGTAAGCCTCATCCCTTTGATATAGACGATTAGAGCTGGAAGAGGAGACCGCCTTCGAGGGGGCCCTGACCTCCCAGCGACTGCCATCTGGTGAGATTGCTATATATAGAATGAAGCAGGCAGGCCCAGGGTCAGACACTGGGGGAACTTCCCACTTAGTGACAGAGTGGGAGATAGAATGGGACTTGTACTCAAGCCTGGAGCTGTGAGTTTGGCTTTCTGGGCACCTCCACGATGGACTCCCCACTTTCCCTGAACTTCGGGGGTTTTATTCCTCTGGGGTTCTTTCCCAAGCCTCCTCTGAACACCAGCCCTATTGTAGAGCCCTATGAGGCCTTGCCCACCTCTCATCTGAGAGGGAAGCCCCAGGCTGAGGTCCCACACAGCACTCACAAGCTCACAGACCTGCATTCCTTTCCTGCAGAAATCCCACAGTCTGATTAGTTACTTGCCCTGCTATTTAGTCAGTCACTTTGTTCACGTGGTACCTGGTACCTTAGACCTCCCTCGCTGGAGATGCTCCACAAACAGATGTTTGTGTTGTATTTCTTCAGCCTGGGAAAACAAACGCAAATAAAAGCTTACTTTTCATTCCTTGAACCTCCTCCCGTTGGGCTCTGGGGCCAAGGGAGGGCTGTGAGCAGGGGAGGGGCAGGGCAGCTCTGGGTGCGGAGGGACAGGAGGGAGAGGCCGGAGGCCTGGAGGCTGGGGAGGAGGCCGTGGCGAGCTAGTGTCCAGGAGGACAGAGAGGAGCAGGGAGTCAGGGAGGAGGGGGACTGGGCCTAGGCCCCAGTAGAAGGTGAGGGTGAAGAGAAGCAGGGGACCCAGGTGGTGAGTGGTGTGGGGCTGGGCAGAGGAACAGATGGGGGCAGGGGCAGTTGAGGTGCTGCCCCGTGTTGGGCCTGGAAGTCCCAGGGCCTGGTGGGAGACCCAGCCTGAGCTCAGGGGCCGATGAACCAGAAACTTTTCTGATGTTGGGTGTCAGGACAGCCCTGGGAGCAGAAGGGAGCACCCAGAGGAAACGTGAGGGTGGAAGCCAGAGGAGGACCAAGCCCAGAGGCCTGGGTCACCCTGACACCCAGAGTCACTGAGCAGCCGATCTCCCCGGGACTGTCTCCCTCCAGGAAGCCCAAACGCCGAGGAGCCAGACAACCTGGAGAGCTTCGGAGGCGAAGACCCCAGACCTGAGCTGTACCTATCCTCGGGCCCCTCTCTACCCTGCCCACCCCCACCCGTGCGCTCCAGCCTGCCCAGGGCCTGGCTAGGACTTGGGGTCCTTCGGGAGTGGGTGAGGCACAGGGACTGTGCCAACAGCTCATGGAGAGCCGCTGTCTCCCACCTGTTTCTCCTTGTCCAGAGGAGCGCATCTCCCCACCACCCCCGCCGCCTACCATCCCTGGGGAAAACGGGTGGGGCTGTGGGTGGTGACCCCGGACCATTCTGCTCTCAGGCCCGGCACAGCCGACCTGCTGAGCAGCCTGGAGGACCTGGAGCTCAATAACCGCAGGCTGGCCGGGGAGAACGCCAAACTGCAGCGCAGTGTGGAGACGGCCGAGGAGGGGTCAGCGCGCCTCGGGGAGGAGATCTCGGCGCTGCGTAAGCAGCTCCGCAGGTGGGCTGGGCCCAGGGCCGCAGCCTGTGCCCTTTGTCCCTCCTGACCACGGCCCCAGCCTCGCTCTCTGCACCTCCCGCTCCTTGTCTGTGACCCCACGCCTGTCCCTTTCTTCATTCCCTCTTTTATCCTTCTCTTTTGTTGTGTCCCCGTGGTTCTTACCTCTCAGCCTCTAGGGTTCAGACTTCGTTCGTCCCTCTCTGGTCCTCCATCTCAGCAGCCTCTCTTTCCCCACGCACTGTCTTCCTCAAGTCTGTCCTGTTTAGTCTCCCGCTCTCGAGGGCCCTGACCCACCCCTCGGTCTTTTAGGTAGAAACTTTCTCTCTGTCCCCCATACTCAGCTTTGCCCCCCTCCTTTTTCTCTGGGTCTCCATCCCCCACTCCCTCTGGGATTTTTCTCTGCTGCTCCCGTCTCTCTGGGTGGGTCTCCGTCTGTGGCCTCTGCTTCCTCTCCCTCGTGGCCACATGCCCCTGCCCCTCAGTACCCAGCAGGCCCTGCAGCTCGCCAAGGCCGTGGACGAGGAGCTGGAGGACCTGAAGAGCCTGGCCAAGAGCCTGGAGGAGCAGAATCGCGGTCTTCTGGCCCAGGCCCGGCAGACAGTAGGTCCCGGGCAAGGGGCACAAGGTGTCTTCCTCTTTCTCCTCTTCCTCCTTCCCACTTCTTGGAGTCTGATCAAGAGCCTGACTACGGAATGGGACGTGGCCGAGGTCCCCCAGGCTTCCTCCGTCACTCCAGGCCCTGCTCGCCTCAGACTTTGAGGCCACATCTGCTTGCCATTCCTCCAGTGACAAAGGGGACAACAGGGGCTGTCAGGGCTCCCCAGACCCTTGCCCCAGCCCAGCTCCTCAGTGACTCAGGCCCGAGTTGGTAGGATGGGGTGGTGGGAAGGACAATACGGGGGCAAGGAAGCCCCCAAAGAAGCCTCTGTCCTCTCTCTGGGGTCACCAGGAAAAGGAGCAGCAGCATCTAGTGGCGGAGCTGGAGACTCTGCAGGAGGAGGTGAGCAGGCCCAGCGCCCACCCCCCCTCTTCCCCAGCTCCCCCTGCTGTGCCTCAGGCAGCCCCAGAAGCCTGCGGACCAAACACCCTTCAGTCTGGTGGGGGGACCCCAGGATCCCAGTAATGTGTAATCGTCTCTGTAAGGTCACCTCAATGCATGGGAGAGCTGCCCCGGTCGCTCAGAGTGTAGGGCAGGGGTAGGTGGGCTGCCGGGGTTCACACTGAGGCCACCGAGATGAGCGTGGGTCCCCTCTCTGTGTCTCAGTGTTCTCACCTGTAAAAATGGGCAGAATAGTAGAATCTCCCTCCTTGGGTCACGTGAGGTTTAAATGAGGGATGCTTGTAAAGGCACAAGGCTGGACCCGTGGGGAGTGCTCACTAACAGCTAGTGTTGTTCATGTATTAGTATTTTTTTATAGCGGAAAGAATGCAGGCCTTGAAGGCAGCCCTGAGTTCAAATCCCATCTCTGCCACTTACATGACAGGCAACCTTTAGGTGCGTGGCTGCCCCTTTCCGAGCCTCGGTTTCATTTTCTAAGATTGGAGAGGAGGCTGTCAGTTCACCAGGGTTATTATGGGAATTAAATGACTGCTTTTAGTCCAGGGCCCAGCACGTAACATGAACAGACTGGTTCCACCCCACATCTGGTTCGAGCCACATTTCGTCTGAAGCCGAAATCGTCGTCTGAGCTAATTCTGGGTCCACCTAGTCCATTTAGGTGGAAATTGAAACTCATCACTTGATGACGAAGCTTGTCACTGTCCCCCCACAAGGTGGCATCTCAGTTGCTGGAGCCTCGGGCAGCACCTTAGTGCTCCAGGAGGCGGCGGTCCTCACTCAACATCTGTTCTCCCTGCCGGGCAGGATTGATGTTCACTGTCCCATCTGGCCTGGGCCTTAGTCACCGCTGCGTGCTGGCACCCACTGGGAGTACGGCGTTGCCTTCCGGTCTCTGGACGTACAGTCCTCACTGTGTCTGCTGCCAGCGGCCCCCGCAAAGGCCACGGGGGCTCTCGCTCAGCCCCTTCTCTGCCCTTCTAGGGGCGCAGAGAAGCTTGAGCTGCTTTGCTGACTCGGTGGCCCCAGGGGCCTCTCTGGGCCCTCTGGGCCTCGGCCCCTCACAGGGCTATTTCTGTTCTGTCGCTCGCATGCCTTGCTGGTTCTGTGACTGAGCTGGGAAACACGTCTCTCAGATGCTCAGATGCCCAGGGGTTCTGTGACTCTAGTGCACCCCTTCTTGCCCCCTCGAGGCTGATCCCGGGCGTGGGGTGGCTCAGGGCCTGTGTTCTCTCCTTCAACTCTCCCCACACCCTCAGGATCTCTGCCCAGGTCCGGCAGAGATACTGACCCTGTCTGACCCCCCCAAATCTTTGACCTCTATCTGCACATGGCTCTTGTCTCTAGATTTAAACATTTTCTACTGTTTAAATAGAAACACATCCTTCCCTTGGGGCTGTGGGGATCCGGCTGCAGGTGTGAGGCATGGGATGCAGGCAGGATGTGACTGTTTCTTCCAGAACTTCTCTTTTTAAGAACAAGGAGAAATTTCCCCTAAAGCCCCTGGCAGAACCTCCGTCTTATGTCTCTTTGGCCAAAGTTGCAAATGATTACAGCCAAACAAACCAGTCTCTGGCATGGATAACGCAGCCCTGACAGGCCTGGAATGCTGATTAACACGAGGTTTGGAAGCTCTCTGGGCAGGTTTGGCAGCTCTTTGGCTTATTTGTCTGTCTCGAGCCTCGTAATCACAGGTGGCTGCGACAGCTCCTGACTCCATGTTCTCACTTAGAACAGGACAGAGGGGCAAGGGGGCCCAGCAAATGCGCCTCTCTCTGCCCTCTCTTTCCGTCAGACCTCTCTGACTTCTCACTGGTAGAACTGGATCATGTGACAACCCCCCACCCCAGCTGCCAGGGAGGCTGGGAGAATATCCTCAGCCTCTGGAGGGGGAGAATGGCCGCTGAGTTAGCCAACCTGCCCAGTCTCCTGAATCTGCTGAGATTGCCATCTTGATTCACCCCCCAGGGCTGGGGCTGGGACCCACCTGCCCATGTGGAGAAAGGACCTCCAATGAAAGCAGAAGAAGGAATAAGCAGGGTGAATGGCAACCAGCAGTCTCTGCGTCTTCGCAGCCCAGAAGGCTTACTGCCAGCTCAAGTGCCTTGAGCTGCACGTGGGACATCCTAGGCGCTCGATAACTGGAGCTATTCTTGGATCCCTCCCCTCCACCTTTCCCCTCACTGGCAGCTGCCTACAGAGCATCTATAGATCGAGTTCTCGAGTTACCGAAGAATAATGCTGGAGTAAGGGACACTTGGACACTCAGCTTTCCTACGGAGAACCTACGGAGCGGGGCTCAGGTTACTGCAGAAGGGGGCAGAAGCGGCTGAGTAACCATGTTTCCTGCCGCGTAGCCCAGGATCCAGCCTGCAAATCCCGACCAGGTGGGCAGATGTTGACACAGCATTCCTGGCCCGTCCTTCCTCTGCCCTTCACCTGGCGGTGCAGGCCTGCTGCGACGTGAGAGGGAGGGAGCTCCGCTGATGGACGACTCGCAACCCCAGGGCCAGAGAAAAGGAGGAGCTGGCCTTGGTGTCCCCAGGAGGCGCCAGAACATGGCAAAGGAAGTCAGCTGCCTTCATGGCCAGAAGTGCTTCCCCTCTGTGACTGCCCCACATCGAAACTCAGTGCAATTCACTAGGTTGTTGGTGCTCAGAAACTCCAGAATGGAATTTGGGCCGTTTTATTCTCAGTCCTGTTTTGTAGCTCACCCTGCCCACTGCCCTTTCCCAGCCCCCTGGCCTCCTCGTTTTTCCCAGTTATTCTCACTCCTGAGGATTCAGCCCCAGCCCCGGCTCCTCAGGAAGCCCCTCATCAGGGCTCCCAGAGAGCCCAGGCCGCAGTCCTCATCAGAGTCCTCCTCACACGTTATCAGTTTCTGCGTTAGTCTCTACCTCCTGTGATGAGCTTGGGGCCAGGGATGAAGCAGGTTCCCCATTCTCACCTAAGGCTTCATCTGGCTCATCGGAGAGTCTGGGGCTTATAAGCACAGGGTTTGGAATTAGAGTTTTGAGTCCGCTTACCATGTGACCTTGGGTAAGTTTCTTAACCTCTCTGACCCTCAATGTCCTCTATAAAATAGAGGTTGATGGCAGTAAAAACATTGTTAGGACAGCCAGACATCACATTCTTCCTGAATGGCACAGCATGACAGGAACAAGGTCTGTCCAGGGAAATCCAACCAGTATTAATGTGAGAATGGTTTGTGTGACATTGATGGGACCTGGCAGCCAAGGAGAGCAGACTGGATGCACATGCACGAACAATGACAACTTCACTGTACTGGTCAGTGGGGGCGGTAGACACTGTTGAGTGAGCCTGTGCATTGTGTGGCTGTCACATTCAAAATGACTGGGAGAGTGGAGCAACACATCTGCATCAAATTTTGCATTAAGCTTGAACGTTCCTCCATGGAAAATACTTGGATGTTTCAGAAAGCCGGAGCTGTGGCCAAATGGTGATTGGCAGCTTTGTCACGACAATGCGCCCACTCCTGCGTCACATCTTGTGCAGGGTTCTTTGGCAAAATGTAAAATCACCCACGTGACTCAGCTGCCTACAGCCCAGATTTGGCGCCCTGCAACTTCTGACTTTTCCCAGAACTAAATCACCCTGGAGAGGGAAGAGATTTCAACTGTCAGTGAGATTCAGGAAAATACAGCAAGGCAGCTGATGGAGATTGGGAGAACTGTGTGAGGCCCCAGGGTGCCTACTTGGAAGGGGACTGAAGTGTCATTGTCCTATGCACAGCGTTTCTTGTATCTTGTGTCTTCAATAGATGTCTCAGTTTTTCATATTACATGGCTGGAAACCGTCTGGACAGACCTTGTATAGCAGCAGCCCATGAAATCCACCTGCCAACAAGTTGAGCAAGAGTCTGGAAAAACCCACCAGTTTGCAGGAAATAAAGATGCGGAGACATGGTCAACATCACCAAAGGGGAGAAGAACCCTATAACCAGTTCAGATGCACCAGTGCTGCAAGACAACCTGGTTTCTTCCACAAAAGAAGGGCCCCCAAAAAGTGCCAGGGCTGGAAGGCAGGGGATCACTGTCAGATCAAGAGAATGGAGACATTTCAACCAAAAGCCTGCGGATCCTCTTTCAAACACAGTCAATGTGAAACATTTGTGACACAGGCAAAACAAAAGAAGAATGCATGTTGGCTGTGAGATGATACTAAGGAATTGTTCATTTGTTAAGGGTGACAATGGTAGGAACTGTGGTTTTGCTAAAGGAAAGGCCCTTGAGTAGGAGATTAAAATGCTGGAGTAATTATTATATGTGAACTAATACGATGTTTAGGATTTGCTTTTAAATCATCTGGTTATGCCAGACACTTGGTATTTGTCAGGCACTGTTTTTTTTTTTTTTTTTTTTTTTTTTAGGTTTTATTTATTTTTAGAGAGAGAGGAAAGGAAGTAGAAATAGAGGGAGAGAATCATCAATATGCGGTTGCCTTTCATGCGCCCCCTACTGGGAACCTGGCCTGCAACTCAGACATGTGCCCTGACTGGTAATCAAGCCAGCGACCCTTTGTTTGGCAGGCCGGCACTCAATCCACTGAGCCACACCAGCGAGGGCTGTCAGGCACTATTCTAATGCTTTGTGCTATGAACATGTATTTGTACTAATTACCACTTGTAGACTTGGGGCAAGTCACTCAGCCTTTCCGTATCTGAGTTGCTTTTATCTTTAAAATAGGGAATAGGAACTGAGTTAACATGTGCAGGGCACTCAGTAAATGTTAGCAATTAGCTCATTTAATCCTCACAGCAAACCCGTGAAGCAGGTCCTGTCTTATCCCCACTTGGACAGTCGGGGGACGGGGAACGCCCTGACTGAGGCCCAGAGAAATCGAAGCTGAAATTCCGTAGCACGGTCAGAGGGCTTCCGTAGGATAAAACACATACAGTGGTCAGCGTGAGGCCTGAGGCACATCAAGTGTCAGTGAAGGTCGGCTGTGAGCATTAGCTTCACGGTTTGCTGAAGTGAACGAAACTCGCTGTTCCTCCTTCCAGAATGGGAAGCTGCTGGCCGAGCGGGACAGAGTGAAGAGGCGGACTGAGGAGCTGGCGGTGGAGAAGGACTCTTTGAAGGTGCCGCCCCTCCCTAGTGCCTGGACAGCTTTCCACCACCCCCAGGGCCATCGTTGCCCCCTCCAATTCCAGCCACTGAGGCCTGGAGAGAGCCGGGAACTTCAGGAGTGGGCAGGCCCGGGGAGGGCGGGGCTGAGGAGGGTCCCCGGAGGCAGGAGAGATGGACGGGCTCCTTCCCTGGCAGCGGCAGCTCTGTGAGTGTGAACACCTCATTTGCCAACGAGAAGCCGACCTCTCTGAGGTGAGGGGGCCGGGGTGGGGGTGACATCTGTTCCCATGTGCACCTGCCCGTCTTCTGCCCCTGATTGTGGAAAGTGAAGTCCTGCCTGGCTCTGATCCTTGGATAAGCAAGCAGCCCAGAGAGGTCAGAGGGTTCTCCTGAGGTCACGAGTGTGACCCTGCAGTATCTGGAAGCCCAGTTCTGTCCCTCGGCCCTGGCCCTGCCCCCAAGCTCACCCTGCCCAGCCCCCACACACACCCCACACCCTCACCCATTGCCTCAGTGTCTCTGGGGCTGGACCCGGCCTCAGTCGGCTTTGGGCTTTCCCAGCGCGCTTGCCACGCAGAGAGTCTGGCCAAGACCTTGGAAGAGTACAGAACAACAACTCAGGTAACCTGGGTTCCCTGGCCCACCCTCCGAGGCCCCCTGCTGGCCTGGGTCTCCTCACTTCTCCCTTGCCTCCTCCAAGATTTACTGCCTCTTTCTGCCTCTCCATCTTGTCTCAGGTCTCCTCATCTCGCTTCCACCTCCACTGTTTTCTTTTTGTTTTGTTTTGTTTTTTTAATTTTTAGAAGGGAAGGGAAGGAGAGAGGGAGAGAAATAGCAATGTATGGTTGCTTCTCATGGGTCCCCTGCTGGGAACTGGCCCCTGCTAGGAACTGTCCTGCAGCCCAAGCATGTGCCCTGACTGGGAATTGAACCGCGATCTTTTGGTTCACAGGCCCGCACTCAATCCACTGAGCTACACCAGCCAGAGCTCACCTCCACTATTTGACGGAGTGTCCCTCCCTCTTTCCACCGCTCTCTGCCTTTTCACTTCTTCCCCGTCTTTCCTTTCTCTCTCGTTCTGTTTTCCATCCTCTGCGGGTGTCTTCTCACCACACCGCTCTCCTTATGTCTGCGTATCTGCCTGGCCGATTTAGGTTTTTGTCTCAGCTCCTCTCCGAACCTGGCCTGTCTTCCAGGGTGACACCTCTCTCTGTCCCTGGTCTTCAGGAGTCTCTTGTACCTCGTGTGTCTTGTCTCTCCGCGAATGTGTCCATCCATGATTTATCGTTCTGGGTGTCTCTGTGTCTGCCTTCCTTTGCTTAATTTTCCTGGTTGGTAGGTTATCTTCAGGGTTCCTACTGCTCTGTCTCTCTGTGGCCTCCTATGTTTCTTCCCCACTTCCCTTGGCAGTATGTATCTTGAGGAGCTGTAGGGAGTCGGGGAGTGGGATTGACCTTGGAAGAGGAGCCTCGCGGTGGGGGTTGGGAAAGAGTGGAAAACCAGGTGTCTCCTACTCTCTGCTTCGCAGGAACTGAAGCTGGAAATCTCACACCTAGAGGAGCAGCTGAGTCAGATCCATAAGGGGCCAGATGAGTGAGTGGAACACGAGGGGGAGGGGGAGGCAGGAGGAGGGCCCCAGGGCAGGGGCCCCCAGCCTCCGGCCCGAGGTGGGCAGGGTGCAGCCCCAGCATGGGCCGACCTGCAGGCGGTGGGCAGGCACAGAGGCCTTCCCCCTCCTACCTGTGTGGCCAGGCCGCCCAAAGGGACTCAGGCAAGAAGAGAGGACTGGGCCAAGCTGCTGCCCCCATCACTGGGCATGGAGATCCGGGCCCTTCAGCAGGTGCGCCTGGCCCCCCCTGGAACACCCCAACCCACATGAAGCTGTAACTCTGACCCAGCTCAGACTCTTACCCTGCGCTGTCTCTCCTCGGGACCATCTGTCCTGACCTCATCCCTAATTCAGTTCTTGGTCCTGGCACCAAACCCTCCCTGGGTCCTGCCTGCACCCACCCCCCAGTCCAGCCTCATAGCAGCTCCCTTCCTCTTCCTGTCCGCACGCTTCAGCCCATCTCCGTCCCCACCCTTGACGCGCCTTCTGCCTTAGTCTGACCCTCCTTGACCTCAGAAACCACTTCTGTCCCAGAAACAAGAAGAGGCAGCCGCTGATCTCTCCAGCCCCCTGTGTGGGGTGTGGCAGTGGCAGGAGGGCCTTGACGAGAGCAGTGAGGAGGCTGAGGGACAGGTGAGCACAGGAGGGGCGCCGAGACATCCAGAGCAGGGGAAGGGGCCTGGGACTCCATGTACCTGTGCTGTCCCTCATTAAATGTGCAGACGTTGACTGAGGGACCCCTGAGGGACCCGGAGTCCAAGCCGTCCAGGACTCCATCCCTGCCGGGTAGGGGCTGGCCTGCGGGTGTGGCAGCCAGAAGTGAAGAAAGCAAACACACAGATTCCTTAGTGCTGGTGGTGGTTGTTTAGGAGACACTGTTAGAAATCACCTTACTTTAAATGGTGTGATATGCGGTTACAAAATAGTCACGGGAATGTGAAATACAGCACAGGGAATATAGTCAGTAATACATAGTAATAACTATGTATATGCCAGGTGGGTACTGGAAATAATTGGAGCTGGGGGGACACTCTGTAAAGCATACAGTTGTCTAACCATTCTGCTGTACACCTGAAACCAATGAAAAGTAACATTGAAAGCGCCCTGACCAGTGTGATTCAGTTGCTTGAGTGTCGTCCCTGCAAAGCGAAAGGTTGCTGGTTCGATTCCTAGTCAGGGCCCACACCTGAGTTGCAGATTCAGTCCCTGGCAACTGACTGATGTTTCTCTCTCCCACTGATGCTCCTTTCCCTCCTCCCTCCCTTCCCCTCTCTCTAAACATATGCAAATACAACCTTTAAAAGTAATAATAATATTGAAAGTAAACTGTAATTGAAAACGGTTTTAAGTGAAGCAACTAAATCCTAAAAAAGTAAAAATAAAATAAAGTAAATGGAACAGTCCTGCAGTGGGGAGTGAACTGTTCTCGCTGACACCATACAGGCACGGTAAGCGTCTGCCTTAGCAGCCTCCTATGGAATCCCTAACTCAACGATAGCTATGTTTCATGACTTCTGTAACTACCTGAGCAATAATACTACATCATTTAAATAACTGAGAAAACTCAGCTTAAATGTCCACAGCTAAAAAGTGAGGTTCTAATCTAGTAGTGCCGGAAGAATTTCTTTAAAGAAAACTTGGCTAACAGCTCTGTAAACAACTTACTGTCGTGAAATCTAACCGATTCAAAGCTGTTCACCCTTCTTAAGGGAGACGCACTTCTCTGCTCACTTTCTCCCTGGGTTGAGAGAAGCTTCTGGGTTTTTCTTTGACGTGATCACTCTTAATTTCTCACTTGCCTCTCCCAGATTCTCTGTAAGGTAGGCTCTCTGGTCTCTCACTGTTCTCCTCCTGGGAAACTGAGGCTCAGAGAGATCCCATGTCCACCGTCACATAGGTGGAGGGCACCACTGCATCTCTCAAAGGACATGAGTTTCTGCCACAAGCTCGCTCTCAGACACCCCACCCAGGGGAAGACTGACCCGGCCTCAGGCCGCTCCCTGCCCTGAGTCCCGGAGGCCAGCGTGGCCTCGCTCAGGCCCCAGGCCCCGTAGCACGCAAGGCCTGGTGGAGATCACACAAACAGGCCATCGCAGTGCCGGAGGACAGGTGTGCTGGAGGTGGGGGTGGGCCCCGAGGGAGCCCAAAGAAGGCGGTACCTGGGTCACAGGGAAACTAACACTTGAGTTGATCTTGAAGAAGAGAGAAGTTAAGCGGGGTGAGGAAAGCATACCTTCCGGGCAGTGGGAGTGGTGTACGTGGCAGCAGCGTGAGACTGCAGAGTATGCGTGGGGAGGAGCCGACAGTTGGGGCGACTGGTGAGAGAGGAGGCCCCGGGCCGGACTGTGAAAGGAGCTCCCTGGCAACCAGGCTAAGAGGTTGTGCTTTTCTCCGTCGAGCCAGCGGAGGCTCTGAGCAGGGAGGGGCAGGGGCATCTCTGGATGCAGAAGGATACCCCTCGGGAGCCAGCCACGTGGGGACTGAGTGGGGAGGCTGATGCAATGGTCCAGAGGGGAGGATGGAGCCTGAGCCAGGCCAGCGCCTTTGGATGGAGGAGCAGGGCTGGGCAGAGAGTCGGGGTCAGGGGGAGGGGGCCGCAGAGAGGTGGGCTGGCATCCGGGGTGACAAAAGGGGATGGGAGAGGGGAATGCTGAGTTTATTTTGTGATGTTTTGAGGGGAGGGAAGTGGCGGCGGGGGGGGGGGGATGGGGGCTGCCCAGGGGCAGTGGGTACGCAAAGGCGGGGCTTGGGTGTGTTTAGAGAACAGTATCCGGTTGGTTGAAGCCATAGTACGAGCCGTGTCTGGAAAAATCAGAGACCTTGGTCCTGAGGGAAAGCACATGGTCAAGTGCTTCAAGTCCAGGAACCTGGGAGGAGAACGGGGCCTGAAAGGGGAACACTGAGCCCCTTCTGGGCCCAAGTGAGAAGTGTGGGGGACCTGGACTCCTGGGCCCTGAAGAAAATAGGGGCTTGGTGGGGTCCAGAACAACCCTTCAGCTTCTGGCTTCTGCTCCTGGGGTGAAGACAGAGCCGCCCCAAGTCGGGGGGCGGGCAAGAGGAAGGCAGGCTTTTGTTTGCTTATTAAAGATTTTATTTACTTACTTATTCTTACTGAAATAAGAGGGGAAGGGAGTAAGAGAGGGAAACATCAATGTGTGGTTGCCTCTCGTGCGCCCCCTACTGAGGACCTGGCCCACAACCCGGGCGTGTGCCCGGACTGGGAATCGAACCTGCAACCCTTTGGTTTGCAGGACGGTACACAATCCACTGAGCCACAGCAGCTGGGGAAAGCAGGTTTTTTAAGAAGATGGTGAGTTCTAGAGGTGTTGCAGCCCAGGAGACCTAACCTTTTTTTTTTTCTCCACAGAGAAACTTCCAGGGAGAGCCAGCATACCGTCATGAAGGAAGGAAGGGGCAGTCAAAGTGGTAAGAAGCCTCTTCCTCCCAGAGCCCAACCGGGTGACACTCGATTCTCAGAGGGGTGGAGTACAGGAACTGGAAGAGCCCTGACAGAGCCTCGAGTCGCTCATTCATTCATTCATTCATTCATTCATTCATTCATGCTGAGGCAAACCTGGGTCTGTGGACCAGGATGAGGCAGACCCAGCCCTGCTCTGGTCTCGGGGGAACCAGCCCCGATCCAGATAATTCCAGGAGGACATTTGGGCAGCTGACCCCACCTGGGATGGGGGGAGAGGGACACCTGGGGAGGTGATACCTGAATGGGGTCCTGCAGGGGTGGTATTCACATAGGAGACTCTTAGGTAAGAGAAGACAGTCGTCAGGCAGATGGGACAGCTCAGTCACTGAACACGTCTAAGGCCTCCAGGGGTAAATGAGCCCCAGACCGGACCCCTGGAGAGCACCCAGCAGGGGGAGATCATGAGAGGTCTGGAATCAGACACCTCGGCTCTGATCCCTGCTCAGCCCTTCTGTGCCAGGGTCGGTGGGAGCATCCAGCAGAATGCCGCGGGGCTCCCGCCCACCCTGTGACTGTTCAGGGCTTGTGTGCAGGCCTTTGAGGAGAAAGCATTGGATGTCTGCGCCCAGCCTGGCCTGGGGGCCTCCGGTTTCCTGTGGTGCCACCCCCTCTTCGTCCCCACTCTCAGACTCCCGGCTGCAGCTGCTAATGAGGCTGCCTGCCACTCTAATTGGGCTTGTCTGGGAAAGCTGACGTTGGGTGGGCTGGGGGCTCCGGAGCTGCGACCTCCCCTCAGTCACCAAGAAATGGAAGGGAGAAGGGGCCGAGCAGCAGCCAGGGAGGGGGCTGCACATCTGAGTGTCGGGGGCAGGATGGCCCGCACATAGGAAAGGCCGGGAGAGAGGGAGGCGGTGAGATCCTGCGACCCTGGAAGTGGCTTGAACCCCAAGAGGGTCTGGATTCCTTTTGGGGTGCTATATCAGGAAACAGATATATCCTGAGGGGGTGTGCTCTGAAACTGGAGGACTGCATCCCTTGTCTCCAAGAAAGGTGATGGCTGGTAGTGTGGACATCTGGGTCCCCCAGGGGCGTCCGGCCGGGCAGCTTGAGGCCTGTACCCCTAAAGAGGCATTTCAGGGGCTCAGGCTGCTGTGACCACAAGGGGCAGGGGCCGGGCGCTCACACCCTTAAAAGAAATTATTTAGGATGGAGATGGCGCTCACACAGTTGGGTTCAAGAGTCCCAGTCCTGAAAAAGACCCAGTAAAACTGACACTCACTTAGAATGGTGCGACCCAGCAGGCAGGACACAGCAGGCAGGGTCTCCACAGCCCTGGTCTGACTGGTGTTCTGGGGAGCGAGAGTGGAAGCCTGGGCTCCTAGCTGCGTCAGCTGGGAAAGCAGCCGCTGAGAAAGCCAGTGAAACGAAGAGAGCCTCTTGCCCTTTCTGAGGTCACAGGCTCCGGGTCCGCCCATTCCTCTTTTAGACCCCAGCTTTCAAGGTTCCCCTGAGCCCCTCAGTGGGCAAAGGGGGCCAGGCCCAGGGAGGGCGCTCGCAGGGAATTTGTTGTCGCCCCAGGTTGCCCAGAAGAGAGGAAGAGGAGGAAGCAGAGACCCGGGTCGTGGTAGGCAGTCCCCGCACCCCTCCCCACTCCAGGCCCTTGGAGGGGACTGATGTCATCACAACCCCTCCCCAGCTCCCACCCACATCCCCACGTCCCCAGAGCAGACACAAAAATCGTTGGAGATAACAAGGCCCTCGCTGTAGCTAATGAGAGCGGATGGTGCTGTGGGCGGGTGGCCGGCAGGCCAGTGGGCGGCCAGAGCGTTCCCAGGGGACCCCCCCCCCCCAGCACACACCAGGCTTCGACTGCTACCAGCCTCACAGACGTGGCTACACCCCCGGATTGCGAAATGCGCGCGCCCACGCGCCCACACACAGGAAGGGGCCGGGCCCTCCCCAGCCGGCCTCCGAACCTGCTGGGGCACAGCACCCCCTGCCCAGCCCCACACGGACGGGCTCCTTTGCTTCTCTAAGAGGCAGGTGGCAGTCCCCACCCTCAGTCAAGGAAAGGGAGGGAAGGAAGTGCCGTGCGGGGCCTGCAGTCCTCGGCCGAGGACGTGAGAGCCAGAATGAGGGGCCCTGCCAGTCACGCCGCCCAAGATGGCCTCTCCGAGCAGCCTGACCCCAAAGCCCACCTCCTCCCGCCGCCCCTCCCAGGAAGACTGGGCCCCACCTGCGTTTCCTCGCCAGTGTGGGGATGACCTTCCCCAGCTCTCAGTGGAGAGGAGGGTTGAGGATCGTGTCCTGGAGGCCGAGGCCTGACACAGCACAGGCTCACAGCAGTGGAAACGGTGGTGTCTGGGACTGCTGCGCGGTCATTATTTAGTTATTACGTAAGGTATTGTTATGGCCGCTGGGTTCTTCCAGAGCCCGACAGAAGTGGAAGTGATCAAACCGAGTAGCTCACGCAGTTACCAAACACCCACTGTGTGCCAGGCGCTGTTCTGGTCCCCTAGTCAGCCTCCACTTCAGGCCTGGGAGGTGGGCACTGCCAGCGTCCCTGTCCACCAAGTGGGGGAAGTGCCCCACGGAGAGGCAGGGTGACATGTTGGGGGACACACAGACAAGCTGGCAGAGCCGGGCCCCCAACCCCTGTCTCGGGGAAGCTCCCGCACTGAGCCGTTCACCATGTGCCGCCTCCTTCCGTGGGGTCCCTTATGTCCAGGACCCAGTGTCTCAAGTTTGGCATCTCCTTTGTCCTCCCAGACTGACCTGTCCATCCCTCTGAGAGACCCTCATCCTCGGCACTTTCCAAGCAGCACTCCTGAGAGGTAGCAGGACCCACAGGGCCTGGGAGGGGACTTGGGGACAAAGTCCAGCGTGACCGCCCCGCCCTCCTTTCTGTCCAGCAGCCCTGCCGCACCGGACCTGCGCCAAGCCCTGGTGCCTGTGGAGAAGAAGCTGGTTCCTGCCGGGAGGCCGGTCTGGGGCCAGCTCTGCCTGTGCCCCCTGCACCCCCGCGGACTCAGGTCAGCCCCAGCGCGTCACCAGAGAGAAGGTGGTGGTCAGACACCAGCCCCCCCCCCCCCCGCTCCCCTGGGCCCCACCCTAAGCTCCGTGCTACCTCCCACCAGGGTCGCTGGGCACCGGCTGACCCCCGCCCCCGTCCTGGGCCTGCTGCTGCTGCTGCTGCTGCTGTCCCTCCTGCTGCTCGGCCAGTCCCCGCCCCCCACCTGGCCGCACCTCCAGCTCTGCTACCTGCGGCCGCCTCCCGTGTGAGCCCCTCAGAGCAACGTCTAGTTCAGTGAGTTCCTCGGCTCGGTTCACCGTCTTGCTGTTGCGGTGCCACCGTGACCTGGGATTGTTACCCCAGTGCCCCCGGAACCCCAGACGGTGCTGCCGGACCCACAGCCCCATATGGAGGGGTCTTTATGGGAAGTCTCTTGGTTTTTTAATGTCAGCAACTACATTTCTTTTTTTTTCTTTCTTTCTAAAATTTATTTATTGGTGTTAGAGAGGGAGGAAAGGAAAGGAAGAGAAACATCGATTTGTTGTTCCATTTATTGATTCGTTCATTGGCTGGTTCTCGTATGTGCCCTGACCGAGGATTGAACCCACAACCTTGGTGTATGGAGATGACACTCAAACCAATCGAGCTACTGGCCACGGCAGCAACTACCTACATTTCTTAACAGTAGTGAAACACTCCCGGGGACGGAGTGAGTGCTAGGGGTTTATATTCTTCACAAAACAAGCCCCGGGGAACAGCAGTGGGCCCACCGCTCAGTCTCCCCACCGCAGGCTGGCACGCTGTGACTCTGTGGTCCTCCTGGTCCTTGTGCCCAGAGGATGGAGGGCACTGAGCCATCATTCATCATATCTGCAGGGAGAAGGGGACAGAGGGGTCCATTCTTTTTTATGAAAAAAAGCAGTAGCCTTCCCAGAGCCAGCAGCAGACCTGCGTTTCTCGTCTCGTTGGCCAGACTGCCTGGCGGCACCACCCCTCGCAACAAGGGAGATGGAGCGCCTCTCCGCACAGAAAGAGGGACGAGGAGATGTGGCCCACGGCACAGATGTCCACTGTGTGTGGTGCAGGCGGCCCCTGGGCAGTGGGCCGCTGTGTCATTTGCTCAAACCACAGACAGTGACCATCTGTTTGCCACAGCTAGACCTCCAAAGGTAAAGCTGTAGCCAGAGGGGCGCTGCAGTGCCAGGCCGAGGGGCGTTCCTCCTCCCCAAGGGCGATCGGAGTTTTGGGGGGTTTCATTGCTTGTTTCTGGTTATTTGCATTTTAACTGAGGTATCACTTACATTCAAATAAATGGGCAGATTTAAATATTACCTGGATGAAATGTTCGCATGTGGGGAGGACCTCAGAACACCCAGAATTTATTTATAAAAGTCGTGTATTTATTCTTACACGTCTAAACTTCAGTCACCTTCAAAGCGCTCTCCGTCTGAGGTGACACACCTTTCGAGACATTTTTTTCACTGCTCGGAACAGTTTGGAACGCCTCAGTTTTGGTGTCTTTTAGTGCTTCTGCCCTTTTTTGTTTCACCTCTTCCACATCAGCAAAACGTTTCCCTTTAAGGACTTTTTTCATCTGGGGAAACAAAAAAAAAAGTCCCTCGGGGTGAGATCGGGTGAATGGGGCAGTGGGGCACAGGGGTCATGCCATTTTTTAGTCAAAACTGCTGAACACCCAGGGCGGTGTGGGCAGGTGCGCTTGTAAGTTGCCCATCATAAAATGGGCAAATACATTTAAAATCTTAAAAAAAATTTTTTTTCACTGAAGCCAAACGCAGCCTCTCACAATACCACCAGTTGGTACACTGATACAAATGGGTTCCTAGAACTGTCACCTGGAAGGGGGAGCCTGTACTACAAGGGGCCTGCCCTCCAGAAGATAATTCTGTCCCCCCCCTCACGAAACCAAAACCCAACCCAGGTCAAGGTGTAGAACAGTTTCAGGAACACAGAGCCACCCTTGGGAGAGTTTTGAGCAAGGCAGGGACACAGTCATACCTGTATGAAGACAGATAGTGATAGAGGGAGCTGCAGGCTCTGTGGGAGCCCCCCAAAGGCACCTAACTCAGCCTGGGAAGCTGGAGATTTCTTCCCAGATAAGTGACATCTGTGTTTACTCCTGAAAGGTGGCTATGGTTGGTTACAGTGAGCAGGGGCCGAGGGGGATGTCACAGGGAGGGAACAAGGCATGTGTGAAGACCAGGTGGCAGAAAAGCACCTCTGTGTGTGGAGGCAGCACCATGTTACTGGGATTTTAAAAATCCCACAAAGGGTTTTGAATACCAGCCTGAACTTTACTCTTAAGTGCCTGAGATAGGGCTGTGAGCAGAGAAGGGACAGAATCAACCCACAGTGGGAAAGAGACCTTCTGAGCCTGCACAGGGGGTGAACGATGGAGTGAGGCTGGGCCAGGAAGTGAGGGGGAGGCTGGGGCTGTGGCCCAGGTGCCAGAGGGTGAGGACTGAGCTGGGTGGGGCAGGAGGGTGGAAAGAAGGGCAGTGTGGGGAGAAGCAGGGCAGGAAGGACAGAGTCGGGGACCAGCAGACTGCGAAGGGGGATGAAGAGGGAAATCCAAGGACAGCACTCGGCCTGGTGACTGGTAGACTGTGGAGCCGTTGCCAAGGTGGGGCACACGTGAGAAGAGGCTCGCATGGGATGGGGCGAGTGTCAGGGTCTCAAGAGGTGGCCAGAGCCCTGAGCTCTTTATCCGGAAATGTAACATCGGGGTGGCATGAGCCGTGGAGATCTGGGAGGAAGCAGAGTATGGGAAGGGTACAGGCCACGGCCCAGCTGCCAGGGCCTCCGGCACAGGGTCTGGGAGATCGCGGGGCGTCTTGTTATCTTTTTTTGTAAATTTTGGCCAACCCGATGACTTTGACGAATACAGTTCTTCATTATTAAGTGTTTCAACAACATCGAAATGGGCCCACCTCAAGGCCCTAGGGGTCCACCTTCTGGAAATGCAGATAATGGGAGAGCTTGTCAAACAACGAAAGCCCGGCCCCGCCCCTTCCCACTGATGGCCACGCCCAGTCCCACCCTCTAATCTACGCCAATCACAGCGTGGTCCGCGCAAGTGGTGCCCTGGGCTTGAAGTTAAGAGCCTTCAGCATCTGGGAAGAAGTGAGTTGCCATAGCCACCATCGAGGGGCGGGGCTGAAGGGCTAACGAGCCTAGAGACCAGAGATTCGGGTAGTCCGCTAGTCCCACCCCCTACCACCAGGTGTCTGGCTTGTAGTCCTCCCACTCCTCTCTTCCTACCCCATCTTGCTCCTCCGCTGCTGGCGGCAGCTGCCAGAAAAGGGGAAACCCTTTTCTAATAGAAGCGTTTGCTTCATGCGGAGCGCTATGCTGATGTCCTCTCACAGTTATCTGGCCTAATCCTCAGACGAGGAAAAGGAAGTTCAGAGGTTAAGCCCTTTCCAACACCACGTGGCTAGGTTTAGGGGAACCTGGTCTTCACTGGCAGGTGCATCTCATACCAGCGTCCCCGATCTGCCCACCGCGCCCATAGAGAAGTCAGGGCAAGAGAGTGGAAACGGCGAGATTTAGAGAAAAATCAGAGCCGGAAGAGAGTGGGGAGACCCAACGGAAGGAAGAAAGAAAGGAAGATACGAAAGAGTCAGGCAGCGGGGCGGGAAAGTACATGGAAGCAAGGGTTTTAGAGTCATCAAGAAGAGCAGAGAGTGGAGATAGAGATTTCTGGGAGGGTGAAAAAGAAGTACGGAGACTCGGAGAAAGGAGGACAGACACCTGGAGAGCGACAGAGACCAGAGAAGGAGGTGGAGACTCAGAGGAGGACCCAGACCTGACAGATGAGAAAACCCGAGCGGGGCAGAAGCCCAGAGGAGGGCAGAGACTCGGGGTTGGGGGGAAGCAAGAGTTCAAGAGGTAGCGTAGGCACGGATGATGAATGGTGGGGAGTGACTTTTTTTAAGGAGGAAAGGGGACTGAGGGCTGAGACGCCAGTGTAGGCGGTGGTGGGCCTGCCCCCCCCACACACACACAGAAGGAGGCGCAGTCCCAACGCACAGCAGGGTCTTTATTAACGCGCCAGCGGGCGCGCCCTCAGCGCGCGTCCAGCACCAGCAGCTTGTGCATGTACGAGTTCAGCCAGTGGCGGCGCTCCAGGGCGGCCAGCATCCGTGCGCGCTCCCGGAAGGCCACGTCGTCCGCCAGCGCCAGGCTCCGCCGCCACACGCGGGTGGCCGGACCCTCCCAGACCCGGTTGGGGGAGCGGACCCTGCGGGGAGACCGAGAAACCCGGTTACTGCGCGCGTCCAGGTCCTCGAGCCCGCTGCCGCTTGTCCTTCTCGTGGTCCAACTCGAAGCCCTGTTACTGCACCGTCAGTGGAGTGACTGCGCCTCTGTCCCTCTGTCCCTCTTCCTCTGTGTGGGTCTGTCTCTGTTCACCAGGTTCGGAGCTCCTTAAGTAGGGCGATTCTGCGCCCTGGTCCCCCTCCACACTCAGCCCACAGCCAGGCACACCCCGAGAACCCAATCATCCTTGTTCAAGGAACGAATCCGTTTCTGCTTTGACTCCTTTTAAGTCTCTCAAGACCCTTCTCAGAATGTATCTTTTCATTTCTCTTTCTCTTGCTGATTCCCTGTCCACCTGCCTCTCTCCTCACCCCAGTCTCTGTCTTCTCCCTTTGGGCCTCTGCCCACCTCGCTGAGTCCCCACCCCTCCCTGGGAGCCCCGGGCATCCCACTTACCTGAAGACCCCCTCGGGGGGCAGGGCAACGCCCGAGGCGGTGCCAACGCCCCAGGGCACAAGCAGCAGCAGCAGCAGCAGCCGCACCCAGGAGCTCCTGGGCACCTGGAGAGTCTCCATCACCTGTGGAGAGACAGGGAAGGGCTCCGTGAGACCCGTGTTTTGGCCCAGAACCCCAGAGTTCACCCACCCCTGGCAGCCTGATGGCAGGCAGGGTCCCCTACCACGCAGTAGGCTCTGATGACCAGGCGGACAGCCCCCTTATATCCCTTCCACAGCCCTCACAGCGGGCAGTGACGCAGACCAGGGGCTGGGGGCTGGGGGCGCAGGGTCAGCCTCCCCCCAGGCTCATTAGGAGCCGCCAGCTGTAATGAGGAGCAGAGGGTGGGGGCTGCGCCACTGCCTTGGCAGCAACCAACTAATTGGGACCAGGATCTGGGACCTCGGGAAAAGCGGGAGGGGGAGAGACAGACAGACAGAGAGGTGGACACAGGGGGTGTGTCATAGGGATAAAAATAGAGACTGGCAGAGGGACCATCAGAGCAGAAGCCAGAGACACTGGAAAAGCCACAGTGGAGGGACTAATGGGGAGAGAAGCAGGGACACAAAGGGGTGAAGTAACCATGAGAAGGAAGGACAGAAACAGAGTGACAGAGGAAAGGGGATGAAAGAAAGGCAAAGGAAGGAAGAGGATAGAGATGGAAATTGACAGAGGGCCAGCCAGGGGTGGCGGAAAAGGCTTCCAGGAAGACAGGAGGAAGTGGAAGGGCCGCCCGCCTGGGCAGAGATCCCCAGAGATAAACCCGGGCCGGGAGAGAACCAGAAAGACGGCGTGAGACAGAGAAGGAATAAAGGCAAGAGGAGACAAAGGGCGTGTGTGGTGGGGGAGTGTGAAGGCAGGGAAAGTGGCAGGAAAAATCAGGAAAGTCTTAGCTGGCGAAGAGGGGAAAGAGCCAGACAGGACCGTGCACTACCCCGTGGATGTGTCTAACCCCCCTCAGGGAGGGTTTTTGGGGGTGTTATGAACATAAGCCCCAATCCACATCCACCCTGGCTCTTAAGGGGGTGCACTCTGCACAGTGGGGAGGTAGGCAAAGGTTGGGAAGTCCCAAAGGCAATAGCAATGTGGCAAGACCCCTAGTTCCCCAGAGAGGAGGGGAACTGGGCCTGGGCTGAGCTCCTGGGTTTAGCAATGAAGGAGACAGGGACCAGACTACTGGATTCTGGTGGGGGAGGGACCTGGGGATCTACATTTCTGGCTCCACTCGCAGGAGAAGGGACTGAGGGGTTTGGCATAGGAGGGCACCAGGGAGCTGGACTCAGGCTGTCCAGAGGACGGAGCCCTGCTTCCAAAGGGAAAATAGCTTAGTTGGGCCACATCCATCCACCAGATCACCCAGTCCCTGGACTCCCTTCCCCACTCCAGAGACAACATCCTTTATCCCTTTAAGAGCCCAAGCTTGTTGCTAGGCGCCCAAGGTCCCCATGGAGGGGGTCAGGTGCATCACCCACGCCCCTGGGACCGAAACCTCCTGCTGCCCCACCCAGAGCTATTCAGCAGCACTCACTGATCTCCGCATCCCGCTCTGCTCACCTGCTGTTATCTTGGACCCCACTCAGCAGGTAGGAGACCCCAGGGCCCCGTGACCTTGTCCATTCCAGATGTCTGCCACCCCTACCTGCGTCTGGGCACAGACCTCAGCACCTCTGCCCCAGACCAGCCCCCTGAGTTCCTGAGAGCTAAGCTGCACCCTCAATAAACAGAGACCTGCTTCCCCCACAACACTCCTCCGCTGCAGGCTGAGGAACCCAGATCCCTGCACCCCTATCTCTGGAAGACCCTAGACTCAGAGTTCCCAATCTCCTAACTCAGAACCCAAGGGTTCAAGGCGCCCATTTCCGTTCTCCCCTGTATTCCAGCCACCACCCCCTCCCAAGCTTCACCCCCTTAAATTTCTAGGCATCTGAACCCTCAGGCTTCTCTCCTCTAAAGAACCAGGAATTTAGACCCACAGCGCCCTCCACCCTCTGGAAACCGGGTGCCTAAACCGCCAGGAGCCTTCTCGCCCAGGGCCCAGGAGTCTCCCTCCTCCCTCAGATCCAGGCCTGCAGACCCCCAGCCCCCGTCATTTCTCCTATCCTCCAGCATAAACAACTGTTGGAGTCAAGGGTCCCCGGGGCCCTCGGAGAGGAAGGAATCCATAGCCACTCAGAGAGCTACATCCTCCAAAGTAGAAGTTGAGGATATCTGGGAGCTTTGAGAGGTGTCATCTTTTGCCAGTTTTTCTGAGACCCCCTCTTGGGGAAACAGGTAAGGAAATTAACTATGACTCCCAAGAAGCCTCACGCTTCAGTGTCTCTTAGCTACGGCGGTCAACGCCCCAGCCCTCCAGCATCCGCGGTAGGGTTCTCCTGCTTTCCCTGGTGAGGAGCTGGGTGGGGGTGTGGTCCACCTGGGGACCAGTGGGCGAGGCCTGAGGCAGTGGGCGTGGTCTCTGGTGGTGGGCGTGGTCTCCAAAGTGGGCTAGGACTCCCCGTCAACTTCCTGCCTTAACCCTTCCTTCTCCTCGGCTATTATAGGCGTCTGCCAGAGCAATGAAACCCTTCAGCCCCATCCTCTTCCTCACCATCTTCCTCCTCCTTGAGCTGGGTTCCAAGGCTGCCCCCTCGGTCTCACCGACTGTGGGTGCCTACTTCCCAGGGATGGAGCACCCCTCTGAAACCTTCCTTCATTCTTCTGAAAATTCCACTCACGATCACCCTTCCCCAGAACCCCCTGGGATTGCTTCTCCTGAGCCCTCGGAGACCCCTTCTGCGTTTTCCCCTGAGCCCTCTCCCCATGAATTCTCTGAGACTCCCAACCCTGACCTTCGAGAACCCCCACACCCAGAATCTCTTGAGATCTCCAAATCTAACTCACTCAACACCTCAGTATCAGAACCCCTGGAGAATCCCCAAAGTAACTCCTCCCAAGTGACCCATCCAGAACCTTCTGAGACCCCCATACCTGATCCCACTGAAATTCCACACCCACAATCCCCTGAGACCCCCAAATCTAATTGCTGCAAAACCTCACACCCAGAATTTCCTGGGACCCCGAATCCTAACCCTTCCCAAACTCCACACCAAGAATTCCTAGGGATTCCCAAACTTAATCCCACTGAAATCTCAAATACAGAGGCCCCTGATCCTGACCCCACCAAAACCTTTCACCCTAAAACTTCTGAACCCCATGACCCCAACACCACTGAAATCCCTACCTCTGAATTCCCTCAGACTCTCACCCCTGACCCTGCCAATACCCCCTTCCCAGAATCTCATGGAACCCACAGCTCGGGCACCACTGAAATCCCCCACCCAAAATTCCCCACAACCCACTACCAAACTACGACAGAGATCCCCAAGGGGTCTGACCCTGAAATTCCCACCAGTCTTCTCCCAGAAACGCCTGCACCATTCAAGGGCCAAGTTCCTGCCCTAAATGAGGTGTCCCTAAATATCGAACCAGAAACACATGTAGCCACCCAGCCCAGCTCCCTTAAACTGACCTCAGATTTTCCCGGGACCATTGTGCCCAAGACCTCCCCGCACTCTAGCCCTAAAGGGCCAGATGTCCCTCCTCCCTCCTCCCGGATTGCGGACGCCCCTGCTTCCCCGGAACCCCCCAGTCAGCCAGCCTCTGCCACTCTGCGCGCCCCCCAGCGGCACAACGGAGGTGAGAGAGTCAACGCTATCATCCTGGTGGAACGCGTGGAGGAGACCGGTGAGGGTCTAGGACCCGGAGTCCTGGGTCTGAGGGAGGAGGGGGCAGGGAGTTCAGATTGCTCATTCCCTGGCTCCTTCCTTCAGGCGTGACCCTGGTGGGGCGCCCCCGTGGCGCAGGGGGCGGGGCCCTGTGCTTCTTCTTCGCGGGGACCGGGCTGCTGATCTGCGTGTTCCTGCTGCTGTGGTGTCTCTACCGCCGGGGGGCTCGGCAGCGGCCCTTCTCACATCACCGGCTTCCAAACGACGGAGATGAGCCGGGTGAGCGTCCCTTACAGCGCCCCGCCCTGAATAATGTCTGCTCCTTTCCTTAACCTGCTTTCCGCTGGCATTTTAGGGCGCCCCGCCCAAAAGTTCAGTTTCCCCCATTCAGGGTCAACAGAAGCCCTGACCCCTCCATGGTCAGGTTCTGTCCCCCAGTTCTCAGAAAATTCACACACACACACACACACACGCACGCACGCACGCACGCACGCAAGCACACACACATCCAGTGTCTCCCCCTAGACCAGCTGGGTGGGACTGGCTGCAGACTCGGAGCAAAGGGTCCCTAACAGGCCCCTTGCCCTCCACAGCACGGTAAGCCCCGCCCTCTCCACGTCAGGCCCCGCCCCTAATGCGCAAAGGGCACGCCCTTTTGAGGCACTTGCCTTTTGATTGGAAAACTCAGCTCCAATAGGGTGTCAGCATCCTCCCTCTCCCGCCCCCTCTTTGGCCAGCAGTGCAGCGGTGGGGATAGGCCCCTTGTCAGCCTGGGAGTGACCTCGCCCCTTTGCTCCCATAGTTATGCATTTGGACACTCCGAAGGAACCCTACAATCTCTACTTTTATGCACCGGATGCTTGGGTCCCTTCCCACATCGCCACCAAGCAGCCGCCGCCCACTCCTCCGCTGCCGCCCAAGCTGCCCCCGCCGCCCCGCGGGGGGCGCTCCCAGCGCCTGGAGCCACTCTCCCCCGCCACGCTCCCCAATAATTTTGCGTGAGCCCCGCTCCGTCCCGCCAGACCCGCGGGGTTCCCGGACGGAGGAAGGGCCCACAGATCCTATGCTCCCGGCACGCTTTGCTACATAGTGGTACTCTCGGATAGAGTCCAGCACAGAGATGCTTTCGCTGTGACCGGACGATGCCGGCTGAGGCCAAATAAATCACGTGTTCCCGCCAGTAGACACCTCTGGACTGCGTCCTGGGGCCCTAAAATACCAGGTCTGCAGGAGGAAAGGCGCCGAGGGCTGGGGTTCCCGGGTCCGAGGAAGAAGGGGGTGAGGGGCTGAAAGTCCTGTGACCTCAGGGCCACTGACTGAGCCAATGATAACGAGGTGTGTACACCAAAGCATTTTATTGGGAGTGGGGCAGGGCAGGATTTACAGTCACAGAGACAGGGACACAAAGACACGCCCTGCCCCAGGAAAAACACCCCTTACCCCCAGCCCCATTCCCTTTCCTGGGATGCCTTCACCTGCATCCGTTCCCCAAAATCTAAGCCGAAAGAGAGGTCTCTGAGAGGGGCTGCGTCCCAGACTTTGGGTCATTTAGCCCTGAGGGACACACGAATGGCCACTGAGAAAATGCGGGTAGCTTGCAACCACCCAGGAGAATAAAGTGCAAGGAATTGGGGGGAAGAGGGACATCTTGAAGCCACCATGGGGAAGTTCAATGCCGGTGGCTTCAAACCATCGATAGACTTGAGCAGCCGTGCTAAGTCGACCTGAAAACCGTGTCAAAAGAAGTGCATAGGGGTGAGGTGGGGCCTGCTGATAAAACCGCCATTTGGGTTGCTTCCCTAGAAATTGTGCAAAGCTCGGGAGGTCTTAGGGAATTCTGCATTTCCGCCCAGTCTGCTGGTGGAAGGAAGAGTGAAGAGGTGGGGGAAGGTGTGTTGAAACTGCCGTTTTCCCTCCAAAACGCTGGTGAGAATCAATCTCTAAAACGGTGGGGAGGGGTGATTGGTCCAACCAATCCGGAAAACGCAGAGGACAGTTAGGAGAGACTTGAAACTTCTGGAAGAAGACCTTGAGTTTTTTCTGAAAGGAGAGGGGGTGCTGAGTAATCCCAGGGGCCTCTGGGGTTAAAGAAAAAGGGGGAGGTGCCTCAAAACCACGAGGGAGAGGGAGAGGTTCAACTGTCCATTCAAATAAAACCCTGGAAGGAGAGACTTGAAACCACTGAGGCAGCACAAGTGGAGAAGGGAAGCTTTAGGGGAATATGGGCCTCCTTGAAACTGCCAGTCTGCAGCTTCACTACCCCTGAGAGGCAGTTGAAAAAGGAAGAGGATTCGACAGCACTAGGAACGAGGGAGAGTGCGTCTTAGGCCTGAGGCAGGACAGAGAGGACTGGGGTTCCTTGACACTGCCACTCGGCCCAGAGATGTGTGGCGTGGAGGTTCTGGAAACTGCCATTCAGTGGGAGGCACGTGGTCAGTAGTCCCGGACAGGGGGTGGGGGTCTTGGGGGCTGAATTGTGCTGTGCGTGGCCCCATAGGAGGGAGGGGGAGCAGGGGGCGCTCCAGGGGGCTCAGCTTCATCCTCCATTTCGCTTTCGTCACTGCCAGCCAGCTGGTCGTGGCCGACAAAGCCACACTTCTCTTCGCTCATCTCCTCCGGCTCTGCCCACGGCTGCTTCTCTCCAGAAGCGAAGACCCCGTAGAAGATAACGCCCCCATAGTGCACCAGAGAAGCGATCAGGAATACATACTGCCACTCCTCCCGAGTCTGTGTGGGGACAAAGGGGAGGGGAGGTCGGAGGCCAGAGAGAGAGAGAGAGAGAGAGAGGAGCTGAGAGGGGGAGGGGAGACCCAGAGAAAGGGAGGCAGATCCTAGAGGGCAGAGCTGGAGCCCAGAGAGGGTGCCCCGCGTCAGGGAGGGACCGTGCACAGAGGCGGAGAGCGAGTGGGTCAGGGTGCCTGCACCGACCTTGTGCTTGGTCATGGCGCCCACGATGATGGGGCACACCATGCCCGACAACGTGCCCACGCCGTTGGAGATGCCCATGAGGATGCTGGCGTAGCGCGGGGCGATGTCCAGGTGGTTGACATTGAACCCTGGCAACGTGAACCAGGAGGCATCACACCTGAATCTCCCTCCAGCGACTCCTTCTCCGTCCCTTCCCCCACTCCTAGCTCCCCCCTCCCTGGGGCTCTTTCTAGCCCACCTTTGGCGTGGCTGGGAGGACCCCTTCCTGAGCTGGGAAGGAAGTTCCCCAACAAGCTCACTGTCCAGATTCCCACAAGCTGCGGGGTCGCAGTTCTCACCAGAGATGGCGAAGCCGCTGAAGCCCACGGCGAGGACCAGGAAGGAGATGGCCACGCCCTTGGAGTGCGAGTAGCCGACCACCAGCAGCAGCGTGGCTTCCATGCCGAAGCCTGCAGAGGGCCACCTCATCTGAGCGCCAGCCGCCCCTCACCGTCTCTCCGGACCTAATCTCCCCCAACCCCCGTCCGCTTCTATCCTCTCCACCCCTGTCCCTGGTTTTGCCCTCATTCCACCAGCACCAGCCCTAAGCCTGGCCCTGGACCACCCACCCGCACAAACTCCAGCGCCCCAGCTGGAGCGCCCACCCGTGCACCTTCACACCTTCCATCTCTTCCCACCCTCCTTGGGCAGCGCACCGCCCTGACCCCGTCTTTCCAGGTCCCCCACTCATAGCCCCTGTTCATCACACACTTAGCGTCCACTCCGCCCTGTCCCGTGGAGGTCCCGCTCTTCCAGAACCAACTAGGCCTCGCCTCTGCTCCGCCTGCACAGTCTCACAAAATGCCCCACTGCCCCAGCGCCAAAAACTGCCACCTGAGATTCGGTTCCATCCAGGCTCAGCCGCACCTTGACTCCGCCTTTGGACACACCCACCCGAGGCCACGCCCCTGAGGCGCCCTACCGCGCTCCGCCCGGCACAGGCGGACCCAGACCGGCTCTAGGCCCCGCCCCACTCACCCCCACAATTCATCAGTTTCCGCACGTTGGTGGTGGACATGATGCGGCGGCTTCTCAGGAAGTCAGCGATCTGGCCGCCGATGGGCACGATGATGGTCATGACCAGGTGGGGCAGTGCTGACACCAGGCCCACCTGAGCCAGGTAAAAGTAAGTACAGGGCAGGGGCTCAGGAGCCTCCGGCGGGGCGTCTCCACCCAGTCCCTGCACCACTGGCTCCTCCATGTGCCTCATTCCAACCAGTGAGACCCAGGCCCGGGGGGGCCCCACCCCTCCATCAACCCTGCAGCGCCCCCTGCCCTCCGCGCCTGGGCGCAACCTTGCTGATCTCGAAGCCGAACACTTCTTCGAAGTAGGCAGGCTGGGAAATAAGGAGCAGGTAGAACGTCCAGCTGCGGCAGAAGTTGGCCACGATGATGGCGTAGACCGGCATGGACGTGAAGAAGCGCCGCCAGGGAGTGTTAAACTTCTGTGAGGGGCGGGACGAGGGGCCGCTATGACAGAAACCTAGGCTGGGCGCTCTCCGTGTCCCTTCAGGGACCTCACTAGAGTCCCGCGAAGACCCTGGTTTCCCGACTTCACTAAAACCTCCAAGTCTCCAGGGACACCGGCCAACTCAACCGCGTCCTGGTGGGGACCTGCTGGCACCCCAGCCTTAACTCTGATCATTCAGGGATGCAGGGCTCCTCAGGCTCCTCAGTTTCACATGTGTCCGGACTCGACGATGACCCTCAGGGACCCATGAATGTGGGCCCAGGAATCTCTGTTCAATTGCGATTTCTAAATCTAGCCTCAGCCACCCCAAGGTCTGGGTAAAAGCCCCACATGCTAATCCCGCCTCTGCTGGTTTAACCACGCCCACCTGGCGACCTAGGCCTGCCCTCAGCACCTGCTAATTGGTCCTCCCCAGGCTTTAACCCCGCCTCCTAGGTTCTAGCCCCGCCCATTTGGATTTTCTACCCTGTCTCCTCTGAGTCTACTAGAACCCACCACGATCTACAGGCTGCCTCCCTGCCTGGATCTCTCTCCTCGCCCCACAGCGACCCCGCCCCGCTGTCCTGGGCCCAGACCGTGACGGGGTTCATGAGTTTGGCGCTCTCCCCGATGGCTTCTTCGATGTACTTGCGCTCCTCCTCCGAAATGCTGGGGTGCAGCGCGGGCGACTCATAAGAGACGATCAGCCAGAACAGGTACCAGAAGATCCCAAAGCTGCCTGAGGGGGGCAGGAAAGGGATGGAAGCCAGGTGACGACCGCCCTCCCTCCGCCCCAGCTCCACCTGGACCCAGGTGTCTGGGCCCCTCACCGTAGACGTAGAACACAGAGCTCCATCCTGAGTACTGCACCAGGACCCCGGCGAGGGGCATCGCGACCACCGCCCCAGCATAGGAACCTAAGGGAGTAATGCAGGGGAGAGAACAGGCCTATCTACCCTCAGGATCCAGGAGTGCGGACCTTCCGGAACACACAAGCCACACAGCCCCTTCTCCCACAGGTACCTCTGGCGAGGTCCCCCTCTGCTCTCAGACCCACAAATCTAGATCCCAACACCTTCCTCTCACCGCAAAAGGCTGTAGTCGCCAGGCGACTCCGCTCTAAGGGCGGGGCCCATTTGCTCCAGATCCCGTGGCAGGCAGGGTACGTCACCCCCTAGGGAGAAGAAAGCCAAAGTCAGCGAGAAGAGGTGGGTCAGACGGGGGCGGGGTCCTATGGGGCGGGGCTTTACCTCTACCAACCCCTGCAGGATCCTCACGAAGATGACGCAACCGTAGTGGACTCGGGCCGCCGAGGGGATCAACATGTTTAGAGTGGATGTAGCAACAATAGCGAAGCCGAAAACCCTGGTAGGAAGAGTTCGTGGTCCGACAAAAGGGTTCAGCTATCCCACCTTGCCTACGATTCTACTCTTTATGTCCAAAACAGAACCCAGGTTCCCCAAACCCCAGGCCCCACCTTCTCTGTGATTCCCACCTTCCACAAGCATAAGCCCCGCCTTTCTCTAAGGCCCCGCCCCCAGGACCGTCCCATTTTCCCAGTGGCAGCCCCCAAACGTCAAGCCTCGCTAACTCCACCCACGTAACTGAAGTCCCCGCCCACTTTGAGATCGCCCCCTCTACCGTACCTGTTGGCTGCGAATTTTTGGCAGATAAATCCCCCGGGAATTTGGGTGACAATGTAGCCCCAGAAAAAGGAGCCGTGTATGAGGCCAACGGTCTCTGGATCCCAGTTGA